ATAGAAACATCAAAACTTACAAATTAAGAACGGGACTAACCAACAAGCAATGAGGGATAAACAAAATGAGTGGAAACGACTTTGAATCCGAAGAATCTTTCAGCGCCGGAGAAGAGATGATTTATTTAATATTCTGCAGGCGACTGTCATACGAAAGTGAAAGCTCTTAAACCTAAATAAAATTCCAATGACTTATTTAAGCGTACATTCTCTTCGTATATAGTCCTGCACATGTTTAAAAAAAGTATCACAATAGAGGATAAAGGCAGAAGGCGAAAGAGTACCAAATACAGCAAACTACTGTTACTTCTGTTAATCCTACAATATGAAATATGATTTATATGAGCATTCAAATATTAGTTTTCAGAACCTGAATTCAGGATAAAATTTCTTTCCAGGCCTTTCATCACTGATCTACTTATTATTAATAGCCTTAAATTTATTGTGCTTTCAATCAGATGAAAAAACCTGGCATCAACAGGAAAATTAAGCCAGATAGGACCATCTTGCTACCAAATTTGATGAGCTTATCCCAATAAGAATGCTCCAGATCATCTTCCCTGACTACAACGAACACAACCAACATTATAATTATAAAGCCGCCATGACTCAAAGCAATTTAATAGTAATCATATACACATAAAAATTAAATCTACGCACAACATCTTCCATTCATGTATTTGAACTACATTCATCGGTGAAGGAAAAATATACAGCAAAAGTAATTGCTCAAACCTCAATCATGAAGATCGCTCAAACTTGAATTTAACCCCTTGAGCTGCCAAAACGTGTAACTCAAAAATCAGAACCGCTCGCTTCTAAAAATTAAATTTGAGGAAGCCAATATTCAAAACAAAATAAAATTCAAATAGGGTAATCTGGACTTTTTCAGCTAGGGTTTGAAAAGGATGGATGGAAAACAAGGAGACTTTAAAGGACGGCGAAGGACCTGATGCTTAGAATTCGTCAAGTCCAAATCAATCGATTCGTTGTATAGGTATTACAAACAAGGAAGAGGCTTTCTCCAGGACAAAACATACTTCTATGAATGCATACCGCCTCGGTTTCCTCAACTTGGACTTCATCCTCACTCATCTCTACTTCTAAGTTCTCCTCCTCCTCAGATTCACTTTCACCATTCTCTACAAACCCCAAAAGTTAAACTACAACTAACTTATCCACGTTAGGATTCGAGAATCAAAACAGATAAAACCTCCGCCACATACTTTCACAATAGTAAGAGCATTTAGAAGGAAAACGACACAAAAAAATGCAGAAGTGGAGCCATGGAACGTTCAGCAGATAACATAATATCAGAACACAAATCCAGAGACCACACAACGGCTTCAATCCTTGAAAGGAAACAGTACGATGAAGCAGAAAAAGAACTAACCTGAGTCCAAAATTTTGATGCCATGGTTGTTTCTTCACTGGCTTACAGATTCAAGTATTCGCAGAAACTGCAATAAAGCAAAAAAAAAAAAAGTAGAAAATCGGAACAAAATCGAAAACCAAAATCTCACAACAGATGCTTAAGAACTTGGGCTCATTAAAAAAAATAGTAAACATCGTTCACCAATTCAATCCCAATTAACAATTAACAATTCAATTAAGCAGGCGAAGAAATAGCACATTCGAAACAAACTTGATTTTAGGATTGAGAATCAGAATCTCTGAAGGCGCAAAACAATTGGCTCTGAATCTTGTTCGAGGGTGCTTCTGGATCGAAGATAGGAGCAAGTAGAATCAACTGGAAGACGAATGCAAGAGAAGAGAGTAAAAGAGAGTAGAGAAAAGCATCGACCATCAGCTTAAATTCGCAGAGGTTGAGAACAACGGGGGGAGGGATTTTTGCCTTATGTAGAAGTTTCAGTTTGGGAAGGAAGATGGAGAAAAGGACATCGTTATTACTTCTTATTTTTATTTTTGATAGCTGGGATTTTTTTTTCCCAAATTCAAATTTCTTATTAATTATTAGTGGAAAACTGAAATTATGAATTCTCGTTTTTTCCCTTAATAAGTTGCTGACGTCATATCAACCCCATCCGAAGGACGAGATCGCTTTGACGGTGGTCTTTAATATTTTTTGGGTATTATTTCTTGCCTACTGTGCCTTTTATTTAAGTATAAGGATAATATATGATGTGATATTGGAATAAAAATAAAAATTCTTGTAATCAAATAATATTAAAATAAATAAAACACAAATACATCAATATTAGAACAAACCAAATTAACATTAAAGTAAAGAAAACACAAATACATCAATATTAGAACAACTAAATTATCGAAAAGTAAAACAACATTCAACTAACCAAAACATACGTAAGCACACTTATTAAGAAAATAAATAAAATGCTTAACTAATAAGCACGAATAAACTACGAAAAATCATCCTCGAGATAAATTGCATCTCCGCCATTGTTGAATAGATCGCTGAAAATAGTATTTGGTGGTGGTTGCATTTGCGCCAATCGTTGTTGAAGAATTTGTTCTCTTTCACCAATGATAAAAGCACGATAAATAGAATCGGTAATTTTGGTCACATCTTGCGCCATAATTCTGTTTTCTTCCCTCCATTGCTTCAAAGCCAACTTTTGCTTCTGTAGTGCTATTAACTCTTTTTGGTTTTCACTTGTCTTTTTTAAAACATCAAGAAGTTATTGATTCTCTTCTCTATGCATTTCCATCTCACGAGTAGATTGTTCATCAATTTTTCTCTTATTTTTGGCCTTTTTTACACCAATAGGTCTTTTGAAAGAAGATCCGCTAGTATCACTTTCAATCACCATTTGAGAATCAAAGTTAGACAGGATAGGAGACTCAGGTATCTGGGTTTCCAGTGTTGGATTATGAGATTCAGATGATACAAAACTGGAGGTTTGGTTGAATAGGTGTCGTGCTTGCGTGACACCATCGTTATATTTTGTAAAATCTTTGAGCGAATTCCAGACGTGGTCGTATTTGAACCCTTTTTTAAATCCTTTTTCAAGTACAAATAACTGTTTGGCACGATTTAGCTGAAATAATATTTATACAATTGATAACCCATTGATAAAAGATATATAAAATTATAAATAAAACACAAATAAATATTTAGTTACTTACATAATCTTATGCATTTTCACCACTAGGATGCATATCCTCCACTTGTTTATACAATCCACGTAATTTCTTAACGGGTTTCTCTATTTTTTGCCATCTTTGCATCAAAGATTTTCCATTGCGTTGAGCCCACCTTTTGGGATTTGCATATCCTCCACTTGTTTATACAATCCATAGAATTTGGGACAAACCAAAAAAAAAATCATGGAGATGTGCAAAATGTATTCTTTCACAAATGGTTGCTTTTGTCTTTTTTCTTTCTCGTGTAAGAAAAAGAAAAATGTCATCAGTTTGGAATTTCTTTTTTGAAAAAAGTTGCTATTTTTTCAGCTTTGGCACACAAATTTAGATAGACATATTTGTCAAAATTATTTATACCAATACATTGCATGCGTAACCTATATAAAATCTATTGTCCTTTTGTGCAGATTTTCTAAGAATTTTTTTTTGTCTTCACATTGACAATGAAGACTTTGTCCCTTTGCTCTAAGTTTTAGACGTGCATTCACAAGGAAACAAAAGTGTATAGATAATATATGATTTCTTTATTATTATATATACCGTTAGATTAGATTTCAATTTTATCTTAACCGTTAAATGGATTTTTCTTTATCCCAATTGCTTAGAAAAATCTCTATAAATAACATCCCAATAACACGTATCAAGCATCAAAGTTTCTTTTCCTTAATCTATTGATAATTTTTTTCCTCTCTTTTTGTAAGACAAAATAATGAGCTATTATGAGGAAGGTTCTTCAAATATTGAAGACCATCAATCGTTATCATCATCGTCGAGTGATGATGAAGTTTTAGTTCAACTACAACAACTACAAAAACAATGTCAATCAATCATACGTCATGTTATGCGGAGAAACACAATAGCAATGAATTTGCAGTTTAATCGTCAACAGAACTAAGTTACTCTAGGCGGGTCAATTCTGGGATGAATCGTGATCAACCGCGACCGTGATGGTGTACATTTGCGATTGGTTGGTGATTATTTATCTAAAAGTCCACGATACACTGACCAACAATTTCAACGACGTTTTCGTATGTCTCGAAATTTATCCCCCCGTATTGTGGATGCTCTTAAAAATCACGATCAATCTTTCGAGCAACGAAGAGATGCTTTTGGTAGATTGGGGTTTTCACCCCTACAGAAAACAACTGCTGCCATCCGAATGATAGCATATGACAATTCTGCAGATGGTTTAGACGAGTATTTTCAAATGAGTGGGTCAACTGCTATTGTTTGTTGTAAGAATTTTTGTCGTGGAATTGTTGAGATTTTTGCAAAACGGTACCTTAGATCACCAACTGCAGATAACATTGCTACTATATATTGGTGAACAACATGATTTTCCCGGCATGTTGGGAAGTCTAGATTGCATACATTGGGAGTGGAAAAATTGGCCCTATGGTTGGGCCGGACAATACACAGGACGTTCTAGTAAACCAACAATCATTCTTGAGGCTATAGCTTATTATAATCTGTGGAGATAACACGCTTATTTTGGTATGCCAGGTATAAATAATGATATTAATGTTTTGAATCATCACATTTATTTTATAATCTTACTCAAGTTATTGCACCTCCAGCTAATTATGTTCTTCAAGGAGAAGAATATAATATGAGATATTATTTAGCTGATGGTATTTTACCCGAAATGGGCCATGATAGTGCAGTCAATCCAAAATGCTAAACTCCGAAAATACAAGTATTTTAAAACCAAGCATAAGGCTTGTAGAAAAGATGCGGAACATGCCTTCGGAGTTTTGCAATCAAGGTTTAAAATTATAAAAGGATCCGCTCATTTTTGGGACAAGGAAGTGTTGCATGATATTATGATAGCTTGTATTATCATGCACAACATGATCATGGAGGATGAGGTAATACAAATATTTAGTGGAAGGGAAACACCACAGCCAACAGTAGAAAGGAATACAAATATCTAATGTTCCAGACTTCCATTGGTCCATCGGGGACTCTTCCGGGGTAAGTTGTCCTTCAATCATTGATGTTATGCTTCTTAAAATCTTGTCCTTTGACTTATAGAAGATATACCCACATTATTATATATCTTAATTTAGAAAATTTTTGTTAGCATTTTAGTTAGTTTTGACTTGGCAACTAACTGCTTTTGTAAAAAACTTTTGCTGTAGTTACATACGATGTGAGACTGCTCAAGGTATCTTTGTGAATATCAAGGATTTATACTACTACAATGGGAGCAAGCTACATTTTGCTACTGCACAAATTGGACAAGCTTTCAGGAATGAGGTTGGTAGCTCTTTTTGTAGCATTGTTTGTTAATTTTTTGCCTGTTTTGTGACTTGTTTTGGACTATGTTGGTTTAGCAAAGCTTCTGTGGTGGGATGAAACCCGTGGTGCTTTTCACTGAACTTTTGGGTTGAAGGAATAAGGATGTAGGAGGCTTGCTAAGAAATTATAAAACTTTGTTTAGCACTTCAAACTGCCGACACCACAGTGACAAAAAGAAGACTTTTGTTGTTGTAACAATTCGAACTGCTGATTTTATCCTTTTAGAATCTTGTGTCTCTTTGTCAACTTTTCCTTGCAATTCATTCTCTGCAAATATTCTCCATCCCAGTTATCACTTCCTCTGCTGTGTTCATCTTGGGAAATTTGATGTTTATCAATTCTGTTCTGAGCACTTGCAGCATAAATCTTTAGGAGCGTTTTGTTTTAGATGCATTTTAGATGTTTCTTCTTAGATACGATAAAATACCAATTTTGAGTATAAGTTATTGTTTGGAAATCGAAAATAGAGGGTGCTACAGTCTTTTTGATGATTAGTCTTTGAGTTGCCTTTGAGTTGCCTTGATAGAAGCAAGTAGAAAATCATCATGTATGTAGTTTTAGATGCTTTACTTAGCTATATATGTATATAAATGCAATATGCATAAGTCTATGCTGATAATGAGCTGAAATATTATGGACTAGAGTTCAGAACCTATATTGACAATATGCACTTTTAAGTAATCGATTATTCTCTTACTGAAAATGAATGGTTCATGATAAACCTTCCAGATGCATATTGTTTCGGAGCTCTTCGTATTCCCATTCCAGTAAGGCCGTAATAGAGGAGAAATTAGGCTACCTTTGGCGCTTTTTGTTTGCTGTCGTTCACATATTCTGTATTGGAGCAAAAAAATTTTGTTTCTTTTCTTTCATTCTATCTATTTGCAATTCAGGGACTGTTTAGATCGATTTGTGGAAGACTGAATCTACCGGAGGTGAGTTTATAATTATGTACTTCGTCATTTGATTTTTTTGGCTTTTCTCGGGTTTTCTCGCGTTCCTATTCTTTGCCACCATGGTACATATTGTGTTTCTTTAATTTGTTTTAAACTTACCTTTAGATTTGGGTACTAAGGAAAGTCGTGTGTATCCCCAGTTCGAGTGTTTGATGTGCACTTGAGGTCTTCGTTTTTTGGTTTTTGTGAGTGTGCATGCTGTATCTGAGTGTTAAACGTTTACATTTGAACTCTGATTGACTCCATTATATGTAAATAAATCAAGAAAAACACATAGAATGGCAATTTGAAATTTAAGAGTGTGGAATTTAGCTTTTACTTGATGGTTTTCATATTTTGATGTCACGTCTTCAGATTTGGGGATCATTTATTTGTAAACTCCATATCTTATTAACTTCTCCACTGTTATCGTACACAGGGATAAGTCTTATTCCCTGATTACTGATCAATTTAGATGGTATTTTATTCCTTTTCGGCTTCTTTCAAACTATTACTTTGCAATTCTAGGTTCCTCTTCCCCTGTTGATTTTTGTCCCTATTTATATAAATCTGTATATGGCTAAACCGTGACTTCAGTTTCAAAAAGGGACCATTGTTTCCCATTCTCAAAGAAAATACCAATGATTGTGCTTGAACGATATAAATCGATCAGATATACAGCAAATATAGTTAGCATCAGGTAATCATCCATTCTTCCTTTCAGGATATTAACTTTATAAGTGTCAACATTTGTATTCATGCGCTTTCAACAATAAGATGGTCTCTTATAAGTATGCTTCTTCGGATGAGTACCATTGGAAGCCTACCCTCTTGGTTGCTCTATCTATCAGTATTACTCCTTCCAGTATGTGCTTCGCATCTTTTTACTCACTATATTGATTCTTGTTTCTGATTCTAATGCTGTAAAAATGTGTTAAGAGTGGTATCTCTTGCAATGTATCGATATCTGTTCGTATTGTTCCTCTAGAAGTTCTACAAAGTCGTTTGTATTTCTTTGATCCAGTAGTTTCCACTCATAAGTGAAGTCATTCATAACTGATTTTCCTTGACAGCTCTAACTGCTATCGGTGATTCGGAGGGCCTTGTGTATGCCTATTTTGTGCCTCGTGCTATTTCATCCATCCTGAGTCAAAGAAGTATTTTTTGCATTACTGCTGCCGATATGGTAAGCTCACAATCAATTACTCCATTTGGGATTATCTATATTTGCTGACAGGCAAATGTTCTCGATGATAACAAGAAAATCTCAGCTTTTAGCTAAATGACAAGCCCTTTCTCTACTTCTTATGTTCCGGGGAATATTATCGCACGTTCTCTTCCTGAAAAAACACTTTTGAGGTAAAGAAATTCCTCTAATTGAGTGTTGTATTTTCAGTTTATTGGTTTTCTGCTTTTTTAAAACTGTTACTTTGCAGTTCCAGGTTCCTGTGCCCCTATGGATTCTTGTCCTTGTTTATATAAATCTGTATATGGCTGAAACCGTGATTTCAATTACAAAAAGGAACCATTCTTTGTCATTCCCAAGAAAATACCAAAGATTGTGTATGAACGCTTTAAGTCGATGAGATATACAGCAAATATCGTCGACATAGGTAATCATCTATGCTTCCCTTCAGAATATTATGTTCATAGTTCCACAGATTCTGGTAACACTTGAATATTGTAGCTTTTACTTCTAAGTATCGACATACTTTCTCACATAGACTAAAAATCTTCATTCATCTTCTCAGCTCAACTTTGAAACAGGTTAATCTTATTTTATTCTTCTATGAATTGAGGATGTCTAGCATCAGCAACATCTTACTGGTATGTTTCTACAACACTACTTTAGATTACTGAATAGCTAATTCAACAATGAGGTGGTCTCTTATTAGCATCATGTGCTTTCAAAACAGATAATGTGTCTTTTTGCAGTATTATCTGAAAGCAGCTTTTGGTTTCGACAAGAATTAGTTCTGAAAAATTTTGACTGTTATAGGAATTAGTTCTATTATTCTCCAGGCACTCAACAATACGTGTTTCCTTCATTTCCAAACCTTAACTTCTACGATTTTTGAATTAATTATAAAGCGTTTATCTTAATGCCCTCCCTATAATTGTAGGCGGTTTTACTTCTAAAGTGGGCGGCATCCGAAACTGGCAAAATGCACCTTACATGGAGATGAAGACCTTCACTTTGCTCTTTCGTTACGAAATTCACATACTTGTATTAAGTTGTAACAAAAGTTTTGTCTCTCAATTTATCTATTAAACTGCCATTTTAAGGTTAAAAAATGCTCAGTCCTTTCTTAGTTCTATTAATTCTATGTACCTATAACAGTAAACATTTACTTGGTTAGAACCTGGCAAGATCATATATTCACAATTCTCATAATAGAATTCTTCTTGTTCTTTCCATACGGTAAAACTTCGTATTTCTCATTCATTTGACAATCAATCAGTTGTATAAACATTAAAATCGCTTACTTTTATCTGACAGGTAAGGTAATAGTTTTCCTGAATATACCTATTAAGAAGATTTCAAGAGCTCAGACACAATTTTACTTCGCTTTCCTTTCAGTTTTCTTTTTTTCTATATTGAATATAAAAATTTACATACCAAAATCTTAGCTATATCTATACATGTTACGCGGAATAAAATTCCCTGGGCTTCAATCCCTATTCGGCTGCACATTGTGCAGCACTACTCCCCTAGTATCTTCAAATGAGGTTAAAGTAATACGGGTGACTGGTGAGTTTTAACTTTTTAAGTGGTCTTTTCAACTGGTCTTCCCAATTTGTTTTGGGCTCTGATGATGTTAATTATGTCCCAAAGATCTGTTTTGATCTAAAATCCTATTCACTTCACGAATTAATTAAATAGGATCTGTGGATTTCATCAATTATTATTATTATTTGCAACTCGCGAACGAACTGATTAATTGACCTCTTGATCGATCATTTGTTTATTAATCCGTGGAATGGGTGCGCTATGTTTCCTTTAAATAGTGTATCTTTCATTGACCAATTCATCTTTAACGCAATCATTTGATGTGAAACATCGTCAAATTATTCTCCTCATATTAACACATACTTGATTGTACAATTTCCTCAAACTGTGCTATCAAAGATTTATGTATGCCGTTAATTGTGGTTTATAGGAGCTTTAATTCCCCAACCAAAAGAAAAAAAAGAGGAAGAAGAAATTATACAGCACTTCAATTAAAGAGGCAGCTGAAGGATTATAATAACTACGAAGATAAATGATAGTTTTTCTTATGATCCTTGCTTCATCTAGGATTGTTAGAAAATTCTAGTAGTTATAGCTTCTGTTACCTGGCTGAAATCGTTTACTTAGAAATAGTTCAAAAGAAGAATATTTTGTTGTTGAGGAGTCTTAATTAATAATAATTTAGAGATCATGAGGCAACAATAATGTGAAACTGCTTATAGTATAAGTCAATTAAAGTTTGAATATCTTGTTGTTGAGGTGTCTTCATTTTGGCATCTCATTAGTGCTAGAGATAAACCATTTGAGAAGGAAATCCGAACAGACAGAAGAGATTCAATAAGTGAAACTGTGAAAGAAGAGATTCAACTTAGAGTCAAAAGTTACCATATGCCTACAATCAAAAAAAGTAAAAAAGAAAAAAAAAAAGAAAAAAAAGAGGAGATCTGCTGCAATTGTTTCAGCTTGCAATTCCAATGAAAACATTTCTAATGGTTATGGTCCTGGTCTCCTGGACCATATGCCTACAATCAAAAAAACAAACGAAAGAAAAAAAAAAAAAAAAAGGAGTCAAAAGTCTAAACCAAAGAATTAAAAATTGAGTTCTTTACACATACAAAATATTTCTCATTCCTTTAGTTTACCATTGTAAGCCTCTAAATTACTACTACATGACCTCGATACGTAGAAAATTAAGCCCCATCGATTGTGAATGAATGAATGATGTTGGGGGATTCAAAATTACAGGAGAATCACTTATTATAAATCTAGATACTCGGGGTGGTAATTAAGTGACCGACACCTTAATTATCTCCATGTTGTTTTGTTCCTTCAATTAATGATGATGGCATCGTGCAATATCAAACTGAATATTCTAAATCAAAATGGAAGATGTGGAAGTCGTGGACGAGTATTAAAAATTTGTCACAACCCAGTTGAGGAGTTTAATTAGTGCCCTATAAATTCAGCCACGAAATGCCACAAAAAAAAAGTGCATCTGATCTCTCTTACTGTGTTTTGGTTCATTTCATTATTCTCCCTGGGGCAAACAACAATGGGCAAGTACCGTTTCGGTTGTAATTCGCAGCTGTGTGTACTTTCTTGTAAGTCTCTTTCACTCGTTATTGTTCTAGTTTTTCTTTTTTTTTCTTTTTTTTTTCATCGTAATCATTGACAATTACTTACTATGTTCTGGAAAATAATCATTGTGTTCAGAATTTTAGTTTTCGTACAAACTGAGTCAAAAAAAAAATAATAATAAATCGGAGCGAGTATTTCACTAATTGATTAATTGTATTTTTGATATCAAACAACACTAAACGTACGTTAAAAATGAATGATTTAATCATTGGATCCATGCATGCGTAAATTAATGCAGTACTAGCAGCACTTCTTGCGTCAACGTCTATGGCGGCGGCAGTTGAGGGTGAAAAGGTTCTCCTCCCGCCAGATGCGGCTTCAACAAGTAAGCTGCTCGATGGTTGGTTTGGGGGTTGGAATTGGAATATTTGGGGCGGCGGCAGCCCCTCCGGCTGCGGATGCAGCAACCCGCCTCCCACCGGCGGCTGCGGATGCAACAATGTTAATCCTCCAGTAGTTCCAACTCAGCCACCGTGCAGCCCCCCACCGCCATCACCGGCGGTTCCACTTCCCTCGCCACCCCCGCCGGAGCTTCCTCCATCCGTTCCCCCGCCGCCATCACCGGCGGTTCCACTTCCCTCGCCACCCCCACCGGAGCTTCCTCCACCAGCGCCGGTATGCGGCACCTGCACCCCCCCATCGCCGCCGGCACCGGAGCTTCCTCCACCCGTGCCCCTCCCGTCGCCGGAGCTTCCACCTCCGACTCCACCGCCACCGCCGAGTTGCATGGCGACGCTGGGTGGTTCATGCACAACCGATGCTCAGTGTTGCGGAAACCGGTGTCAAAGGGTTTACCGCGAACGAAACGGGCAGGTTATACAAATTGTGAAGCCTCCTCGGTGCTGTATCTGGCAAGGCGGGGACTGTAGCCAGACTCCTCAAAACTGTTGCGACGTTAGAGCTAGACCAGGCGTCATTAACCAAGGAGTTTGTGCATCAGGAATATGTACGGACTCGGGAAGGAGGATCGCTTAACACCCGCGAGAAGGTGTGTACTGTGCCCGAAATTGATGACGATCAAGTTGACGTACGGGGTTGTGCATGAGACATGCATTAATATGTTGTTATTTTTTTATGTTTGCTTTTGAAAGTTGTTCCATGTGGTTTGGTTCATCGTTTGTTAATGGTTGTATTTGTGTTTATTACATTTTTTCGCGCGTGTATCATTTCATGGTGGAAAATAATTTGTTGTTGTTGTTGTTGTTGTTGTTGTATTTCAATCAGCTGAAGAATTTTTGTCACTTGTTTTTCACTTCTCGTCTACACAAATGAATCAATTGGTGTGCATGTAAAAAAAAAAAAAAAAAAAACAAGGCTATCAATTGGACACCGTATTATTTTATACCATTTAATACATTTCTGTTATGAAACCAACATTTAGCAACCTAAACACGAAAATATTTAACTTCTGGATCACGGTAGAGAGATACCGGCAGAAGCCTCATTCGAGCCACATTCGAGCATGAAGCCTCATTCGAGCAGCAAGTTCTTGTTCATGGATGGTCCATATTGGTGGTACGCTTTTAAAAGGTTCCATCATCAAACTGAAGCAAGTAAAATAACAATTCACTTCCGGATATGATAGTAATTAAGCAGTAAATATTAGAGCAGCAAATCACTGGGGAAAAAATTGTTATCTTTTCATCACAGTTGTTAACTGAAAAGGTGTCCTCGTAAATTTCGAACTTTTCACATTCAAGAGTTTCCTCATGGCCATGTGATTTAGAGCTTATAGCTACTCAACAACATAATGGTTTGCATGCCAAGAATCCATTGCTGTAGGATCTATGTCCTGAACGAAAATGTGCTACACATAAACAATTCTCCCAACACTAAAAGCCAATTAATAAAAAATTCCAGCTAGGCAGAGGAAATATGAGAAAGAAACTAAAATATAAATTAGAAACCCATGACCTTGGAAGCTCACAGATAACAGCAGCCAGAGATGGTATTTCAGGAACATAATTTTAATAGAATCATGATATTTTGCAAACTGACAAGTGATTCAATTATCCGGTAAGATATCACCAAGATAAACAAGTGATAAAAATCTGCTTTCAAGAATATGAATCTTACCGAGAGATAACTGCTGCAGATTCAAGAGAGTTCACCAGTACGCCTTCATAGCTATGACAGAAGGCAAAATTTTCAGGGAACACTGAGCTTCGTTGCATAAAATTTTATTATTAAATTCAGTCCGTTAAAACTAATATAATTGAAAATGAGAAAATGGTAGGAACTAAAATTATACTCCCTTCGTCCCATAATTATTGTCCATTTTGCCCAAAAAATTTTGTCCCATAATCATTGTCCAATTTGACTTTTCATAGATCAAGTTAAACATTTGACCTTAATAAAAAACATTATCCATAAAATCTTAGTGGTTAAATAATTACTTATATAGGGGTATATCAGGTTGTTTAAGATAAAATATAGTTAAGTTTGACTAAAAATAAAATTTTTTATTTTAGTAAATTGGACAATAATTATGGGACGGAGGGAGTAGATGATTATTGTCCCAAACAATTCAAAGCTTCAAGCATAAAACATAACCACATTGAAATCAACGGGGCATGGAAAATACTTTAATGTCTAACGGAGGGAAATGATATCTAATCAACAATTAGAAATCTGTGGAAGCTAAGGGAATACAAATGTCTAATCAAGCACAGGAAATTATCAAATTACTTCTACATACAGAATGGTTTTACCGGAGCTCGTCATGGATGTTAGAAGAGCCAAAATACAAAAAAAAAAAAATAAATAAATAAATAAATCTTTAATCTCTAAGATATATAAAAGTAATTTTGATCCAGAGATACGTGTTACTCAATTAGGATGTTTCGAACTTTTGTAGTAAATTTTAAAAGGTAATTCGGTTAATAAATTTTTACATTTATCCCATGTAACTTTTTATTTAATCTCTACTAATTACTTTTCTATATTTACTTTTTTATGTAACAATGATAAAAAAAAAAATTGTGGTACAGTAAAGAATATCTCCGACCGTCCAGATATTAACCGGTGACGTGTCCCCGTCGAGACAGGAAAAAATCGGCCGCCATATGGAATTTATCTGGCGTCATTGTCCCCGCCGGCTGTTGGTCCGGTCGCATCTAATACTTTCATCCTTTAAATTTCCCATGTTTCATCGGATTCTCTGCCGCCTTCTATGCGATTTCCGATGCAGACATATGTGGACGGACGGCCGCCTTCATATTGCACCAGCCCTATCTCAATCCTCAAAGCTCTGCCGCATTATCGAACATCTTCATTACATGTCTTTCATTTCAATTTTTGATCGTCATGGAGGACTTGCCCCGCTCTTCATCCGCTCTCTTTCCGTTGTTGTTGCTCCTGCCGTAAGAATGGATTCGTGGGTTTCCTCTGCGTAAGTAACTGTAGATGACGACCGTATTCTCAGGGAAGAGAGCGGATTTTCAGTGTCTTAGTGATTCACTTCCGCACCATCAGATCATTCATTAATTCAAAGGGTGATTTTGATTTAATGTTTAAATTTAAGTTTATGCCTTTCCGTCTGAATGTCAGAGTTTTTTTTTTCTCCTTTTGAATCAAATTTCACTTCATCTATTTAACATTTTGTAAACTGCTTCGTTGAATGGTGTGCCGACCTTTCTGTCATTTTCTTCCTATTTCGTTTGAAATGGAAAATTTACAGAAACTGAAATGGAGATTATCTAAAGTGATATATTACTTTTTTCTTTTCTTTTTTTTTTTTTGAAAACAGATATATTACTAATGTGTCATGGTTTTCTCATTTTTTGGGGGGATTTTTCGTGTATATGTATATATATATATATTTGTTTTTTGGTATATTTATTAGTTATTTATCGTACATGATTACTTACACCCTATAAATGTGTGTTACGGCTTCATAACCCTGAATGATGCCTCATTCTACCCGAAAAATATTTTCAAATGTTGATTATGAAATATGGGTTAGGTTAATCTATGAAATCTTGAATATTTATTTATTTTTAATCAAATTGTGTTTTTTTTTTTTTTGTATGCTGCAGGACGAAAAATAGGGGTTCCATGCTGAAGTAAGGAACGTAGAATTGGTTCATCTTTTTTTGGTTTTTAATTTTGGCGTGCATGATATCATAAACGAAGGCGTGTGTCTATTTGACTAATAAAAATGAAGTGAAACTATGAATTGTAAGCTATATATCGAAGTTGTTTCGTATGTTCTGCAATTAAGTTGCTAAGTTGAGTTTTACAGTAATGAAGTTTTTGTTTTGCCACAACATTGTATAAAAATTTCCTATTACTCTGAGTGCATTAAGGACTGTGAAGGGTTCTTTTTGAGGAATGTAATACTGATCAAAAGCTTCATTATATTTGTCTATCAAATATAATATGCCATAATGGCATAATACGTCTCTTATATTAATCACCACTACAACAAAAAGTGTTTATAAGGACGCCGTTAAGCGTCCCATAAAATACTATATAAGAACGCTTAGAGGTTAGAGACGCATATAAATGCGTCCTCTAGGTGGCCGTCCCAAAAAGTATTCTGGACGCATTTAAGCGTCTTGTTAAATTATGCGTCCTAATAAATCTAAATATAATATTTTAATAAAATAAAAATTTAAGTCTCTTTTATGCATCCCAATATATTCATTTCTATTAGGACACTTAAATATGTCCTATATCATTACAGACGTTGTTTTCTATTAGGACACTTAGATGTGTCCCATATCATTACAGATATATTGGGACACTTACAAAAGACCCAATATGCATCTCAATATTATAATTTATTTGCATATAATATCATACGGATCGAAATGGAATTCCAATTCCATCAAGAATACCAATTCAATCAACCATCAAACTTTGAGTACCTTAACAAAGCAATAACCAAAACCATCTAAATACTTCCAAAACAGATTATACTACAAAAATCAATGCCCAATAAACTTCATTATTAAGGAAAAATGTCAATGATAGTACAACTATTTTCCATCCAATGTCAACGATAATTTGTAAAAGAAAATCGAAAATTCTTATCCAACTATTGAAATAATAAGAACAACATGTCCTTGACCTCTGTGATCTACCAAAGTGAATGGATCAGCTCTGTGCCAAAATCAAAGTCATTCTTGAGCATCCTCATTGATTACCTACATTCAAAAAATGGCAGTATCATGATACAGCGAAGTACTACTCAGGTTAATACGTGCTAAGAAGAGGGAGCAACATATTTTCTGTAAAACAGCAATCAGCAATTACATATAACAACCCTAATTTATTTGTACTTAACAGGAAGAACACGTAATTGCCTAAATATTATTATACAATCAATAGTATATTTAATTACTTAACAAATTATAAGCATAAAATGGGGCGAAAATATAAATACTAGGATGCCACACTATTATAACCTAAACTTTATAAGTAATTGTAGATAAATCATTTCAATTACGGGAGTTATTCTATAAATTTTAGGGTGTTAGAAAATACATTTATTAAAACGTAGAAGCAAAGCAACAATATGTATGCACAAACTAATCCCACTTAAAATTAAATTGTCATTTGAGTCCCCGCGAATGTATTTCAATCCAAATCTAAGTAATTAATTACAAGTATTACAATCTAACTTTAATTTTTATAAGTATCTAATCATATGTTATTAGCACAAATTTAATAAACAAAATTGACTCAATTAGTGTACATAGGCCCATAAATATGTAAGTATTGCAATCAAACCTAAATCATTATTTACTTTTAATAAAAAGTTAATGAGTTAAAAAAAATAATATTCTGATAGAACCTTTTGAAATGTCCCGTTTGATATAGATATTGAGACACTTATATTTAATGAGACACTCAAAAGCGTCCCATTAAATATTTATATATTGACACTTTTAAACGTCTCATATAATTGTTATTGGGACATTTTTAAGTCTCATACTCTTATATCCGGACACATTATATAAGGACGTATATAATCATCCTGTTAAAATCTTATATAAGGACGCCTTTTTGGAAGGGTCCCAATTCATATATATTGGGACGCTTGTCATGAAAGCGTCCCAATAAATGTGTCCTAATAACTACATTTTGTTGTAGTGCACTGATTTGTGGTAAAAAAAAAAAATCTTTGTTTTAATATTATTTCATGAAATGATTAATTGGATGATATAATATTGCAAACGCATATTTTGTGGGATTGATTTATAGAAATTATTTAAAATTATGATTGTATATCCTTTATTAACAATTCAAATATTTTAAGATATAGTATCTTAACATATTTAAATTAGTCAATATCTTCACCCCAACCACAATTCAACGTGCTATCAAAAGTGAAGATGAACAAGCGAAAATGAGGTCAGAATGAGATACGTCAGTTTTTCTTTTTTGGGGGGTTCAACAGGGTGTTAAAAAATACAAAAAAAATAGCAGACAAAACCAATGCAGGTTTTCAATCTACCAAAGATTCGAAACCTTTTAAGTGTGACGATTTAGAGTAACGTGTTATTAATGATGAAAATAAAAATGGAATGGAATCTTCTAAAAATTAGATAACACTTTTAAATAATTTATCTTTAAACAAGTAAATATTTTTGGTTCTTATTCTTTTTTATTTTGGTTCAAATAACTGTCGAGAATGAAGATAGAAAAATAAAAATAATGATGAAATGAGATTTTTTGTTCTTTCTTTTATTCAACGTCACAAAAAATACTAAAGATTTTTTTTTCATTAACCATGATGGACAAAGACTTTTTTCACAAAAAAAAAAAGAAAGAATCACAAAAAAAAAAAAGGTGTTGAGAAGGCCGTTATAGTTAAAATTTTCATTAACCATAATGGACAAAGATCTTTTTCAAAGGAATTTTTGTGCATACTATTCTTTGGTTTTTGTACACATTCTTTTTTAAGCTTATACATTCGATACTTAATTTTTAATTAATTGAGTGTTTCGTTGATTATGTCATGAAACGGGAATTTTTGCATTTACTAAATATGGCTTCCCATGGATTGAGTTAACGTGGATATATATACTAGAGGCCGTGTCCATTTAGGAGTTTTTGAATTTTTGATTTCAAAATTTTGATACAACCTTCGTCTCAAAGTTATTGTCCAGTTTGGATTTTTATTTTTAGTATAACTTAAATTAAAAGTGAAAATTCAAATTAAACAATAATTTTGAGACAAAGACATACTATTTTAGTGGGCCAGGAAGAAAAAGATCTTGATAGTTAAAAACTACCAATTCCAAAAATACAGTTTTTCTATTAATTTTTGCATATCGTAGGGTGTCTATCATTGGCAACAGTGACTAATTCAAAATCTTTGTTAATTTGAAGAATCAAAATTTGTTAATTTGAACCGTCTTTTTATTAATTTGAACAATCAAAATCTTTCTTTGTTTCTCTTTATATAGAATTTTTATTTTTTGAACAAAAAAGAAAACAAAGGTAGATGTTTATTGTAAATTATACAAAAATATGAAATAATGATGGTTTACGTTCAAAAATTAAATAATTTTCATTAATGAATGAGTTATATTTATACATGTATTATTTTAACATTGTACCGCAATATTGGACGATCTTTTAACATTTAGTAATTTATCATAATTCCATGAGTGGAGAATTCCCTACATCAAGATGATGATGCTGTCCAGCAATGAACTCCAAATTTCGTAACAAAGAAGACTGACGATCTCTATATATAATAATATTCAATGATCTTTTCCGATGTAACATTCCATTTTCTTGATTGACGGAATAATCTAGCCTGAATTCATATTCCCTCCCCGGTAATGTTCCCCCTGAATGGATGGTGGCGATCGGCAAAACAAATCGTGTGCTTCCTACCGTGCCAAGTATCGAGCCGCCATTGATTTTTCGCGAGGTTAAGGAAATGCCATGGAGGAAACAAAGTTGATAAATTAGAGTTGTGGTGGTGGTTATCTTCAGGGACTTTTTTTTCTCTATTTGTTTTCTTTATTTTTTAAATAATTTGTCAAAAACATTTTAAAGTAATAAATCATTGATAATGGATAAAGGAAAATTAAATCTCCCAGTTAATGAATGATCATAAATGTTATGATATTAAGTGAAATTTTAAAATTTTAAAATGAGAGTTGTGTCTGCTTAAACCGAAGGAATATTTTGGATCGAAGTTCAAAATACGTAAAGATAGATTGCAAAAATATGTGGATAGCCATTTAAAAATTTAATATATTTAAATAAAAGATAATAAGTAAAATGACAAATTGTTAAAGGTAAAAATGAAAATGGAATGACGAGCCAGTTTTTTTTTTCTTTTCTTTTTTTTTTAACTACTATCAAAGATATTAAAATAACAACCAAAATCTTTACAAATTTTTAACTTATCAACGACTTGAAAAATTTTAAGCGGGACGCTGCAGAATGATATACTATTAAAGATGAAAATGAAAATCGAATAAAACTTGTTGGTTTTTCTTTTTCATTTACTTAGTTCAACGGCCTGTTAAAAATACTAAAATAGCAGTCAAAATCATTGCAATTAAAGATGAAAATAAATATGAAATGAGACTTCTTTTTTTTTTGGTTCAACGGGCTGCCAAAAGTATTAAAATAGCAGCCGAAACCATTGTAGGTATTTAGCCTACCAAAGACTCAGAATCTTTTAAGCGACACAATATAAAATATATGCTATTAAAGATGAAAAATAAAAATGTAATGAAACCCGCTACAAGAATTTTCATAATTAGATAGAACTATCACAAAAATTCCTCTTTAGAAAAATAAGTAATGCGTGGTTCTTTTTTCGGTTCAACAGGCTATCAAATGTTCTAAGTAATAGCCAAAATCATTGCAGATTTTTAGCCTTCCAAATACTCAAAGCCTAAAAATGACAATACAGAGTGACATGTTGTTAAAGATAAAAATGAAGATAAATGAGACCATCCAGTTCATTTTATTCTTTTCTGTTTGGCTCAATGGGTTTGTCAAAAATACTAAAAATAACTGCTAAAATTATTATAAATTTTTAAGCTATCAAAGAATTTGAACCTTTTAAATGGGACGATACAGAGTAGTATACTGTTAAACATAGAAATGAAGATTGAATTAGACCCATAATTTTTTTTTTTTTTGTGAAACAGACTGTTTAAAATACAAAAATAGCAGACAAAGTCATTGTAAGTTTTTAATATACCAAAGACTTAGAATTTTTTAAGTAAGATGATGGAGAGTGACAGGCAGTTAAAGATTTAAAGAAAAAGACGGAATAAGACCAGCTGGAAGATGGCCCTTTCATAATTAAATAACAATAGCGAAGAAATTATCTTTGGGTAAGTAATTATTTATTCTTTTTTGTTTTTTTGGTTCAACAAACTGTCAGAAATATTAAGAGAAAAAAATAATATTTTTTTAATGTTTAAGTATCCTACCATTTTACTTTTCATGTTTTAATATAGAAAAATTATAATTTTCTAAAGTTAATGACATCGTTTTCTCACCAAAGATTGTTCAACCAAACAAAATTTTTCCTTTTTTTTGGTACAATAACTATTCAATAATTGATACACCTCACGAGCATCAAAAAACAAACGGAAAAAAGAAACAGTCAAAAGTCTAAACCAAAATTTTTTTAAAAAAAAATTGAGTACTTTACACATACAAAATATTTCTCAATCTTTTATTTTACCGTTGTAAGCCTCTAAATTACTACTACATGACCTCGATACGTAGAAAATTAAGCCCCATCGATTGTGAATGAATGAATGATCTTGGGGGATTCAAAATTACAGGAGAATCACTTATTATAAATCTGGATACTCGGGGTGGTAATTAAGTGGCCGACACCTTAATTATCTCCATGTTGTTTTGTTCCTTCAATTAATGATGATGGCATCGTGCAATATCAAACTGAATATTCTAAATCAAAATGGAAGATGTGGAAGTCGTGGACGAGTATAAAAGATTTGCCACAACCCAGTTGAGGAGTTTAATTAGTGCCCTATAAATTCAGCCACGAAATGCCACAAAAAAAAGTGCATCTGATCTCTCTTGGTTCATTTCATTATTCTCCTTGGGCAAACAACAATGGGCAAATACCATTTCGGTTGTAATTCGCAGCTGTGTGTACTTTCTTGTAAGTCTCTTTCACTCGTTATTGTTCTAGTCTTTTTTACTTTTTTTTCTTAGTAATCATTGACCAGTACTTACTGTGTCCTTGAAAATAATCATTGTGTTCAGAATTTCAGTTTTCGTACAAACTGAACCAAAAAAATAATAATTTAAATTGGAGCGAGTATTTCACTAATTAATTGTAGTTTTGATATCTTAACAACACTAACCGTACGTTACAAATGAATGATTTAATCATTGGATCCATGCATGCGTAAATTAATGCAGTAGTAGCAGCACTTCTTGCGTCAACGTCTATGGCGGCGGCAGTTGCGGGTGAAAAGGTTCTCCTCCCGCCAGATGCGGCTTCAACAAGTAAGCTGCTCGATGGTTGGTTTGGGAGTTGGAATTGGAATATTTGGGGCGGCGGCAACCCCTCCGGCTGCGGATGCAGCAACCCGCCTCCCACCGGCGGCTGCGGATGCAACAATGTTAATCCTCCAGTAGTTCCAACTCAGCCACTGTGCAGCCCCCCACCGCCATCACCGGCGGTTCCACTTCCCTCGCCACCCCCGCCGGAGCTTCCTCCACCAGTGCCGGTATGCAGCACCTGCAACCCCCCATCGCCGCCGGCACCGGAGCTTCCTCCACCCGTGCCCCTCCCGTCGCCGGAGCTTCCGCCTCCGACTCCACCGCCACCGCCGAGTTGCATGGCGACGCTGGGTGGTTCATGCACAAGCGATGCTCAGTGTTGCGGAAACCGGTGTCAAAGGGTTTATAGGACTACCGGACAGATTCTGGTGCCTTCTCGTTGTTGCATCTGGCAAGGTGGGGATTGTAGCCAGACACCTTCAAATTGTTGCCACGTCACAGTATCACGCGGCGATGTTCGACCTGGAGTTTGTAAATCAGGAATATGTTCCTACTGATCGATCATTGGCATGCCTGCCCTCTCTGTCCTTCCCAAAACAAGACCATCGAGTATTGACGACTATGTCAAACGAACATTCATTGTCGTTGTTGTTGTTGTTGTTTTCATTGTTTTGCTTCCGAAAACAAGCTGTTTGATCATCAGGTTTATCTTACGTTGTTGTTGTTGTTGTATCTGTGTCATCGTTGAGTGTGTGCGTGTGTGGATTGTTCTTTGTTTGTGGATCCATTGGTAGAAATCCGGGGAAAACCGGAATCCATCCACCACAATGTTCACCAAAAGTTAGTAAATTATTACTTCCTCTGTAGAACTATGGACTAATATTTTTATGATGCGTAGGAAGTAATATTTTGTGGTTTGTGATTTCATATTGTCGTTGCATTTCAATCAATTGTGTGGTTATATTGTCACTTCTCATCAATAAATTATTACGTACTAATTGGGGGTATCCCTTCACCACCACCAGGAATTGTTCCTTTTCTTCGAAATGATGTAATTAGTATACCTCATGCACTAACATTGTAATCCCGTAATAGCTATAAAACTTCCATCATATCACCAAAAAGAAATACTCCATCCATCCCATAATTATTGTCCTCTTTGGGTTTTCACTTTTAGTACAATTTGAACTAAAAATGAAAACTTAAACAGGACAATAATTATGGGACGGAGGGAGTACAATATATATGTATATACATATATATATGTATGTGTTTGTGTGTACTAAGTTGTGATCACTTTTCTTTTATAGAAATATTGAATCATCAATAGTCGTGTCGGACAACTGTTGACCTAATAACTGTTCCATTTATCTTAAAGGATTATTCAGTTTGGCTTTTAAAAATTTTTAGTACATTTTTTTTATTATTATTAAGAGTGAAAATCTAAATAAGACAATTATTTAGAGATGAAAATTGAAATGAGTATTTTATTAGACTTTCATTTGCTAACACTCAAAATGTTGAATTCCATCAATATGTCACCCATGCAGCATAACCTATTTACCGGTTGTGGGATCTTTGCCGTGGATACATCTATGTCAATAAACAAATATTAGTACCTGGCTAGGTTGTGTTAATTGATCTCTACTGTTTGGATTTGGCAAAAGATCTCATCACTTGAAAATTGAGATCTAAGAAATTGAAGAGTGCAGCAGGTTTTTAGGTTAGTGATCATCATCATATGCTTTTTTAACTCGTTCCTAATTTTCTTAACTAATAATGTATCTCGCGTACGTGAATCAAGATTAATTACGCAACTTGTTACTTTTACTTCTATTTTTCTTAACTAATAATGTATCTCGCGTACGTGAATCAAGATTAATTACGCAACTTGTTACTTTTACTTCTATTTTTTCTTCTTCTTCTTTTGTTCGGTGCCAGCTAATGCTACTCTAATTTTGGATCCAAGCCAAAGAGTGAACGTAATTTTTATTTTTTTTTTTTTGTGAAAATTATGACGCCGATTTAGTGAAATTGATGATTGTCGAGGTATATGAATGCTGAAACGAAAGTGTGATGGATCATTAATTTGCACATATTGTTTCTTACGGTACATTGAGAGATGGTATAAACTGAAATAAAGATCAACATATGTATTATCCTACAACATTTTACTTCATATACGGTCTACTTCCCAGTGATGAAACATCTTAAGTTATAATTGAATCAATATTTGCAGATCACATGAACTTTGACCGTAGCAATTAATCAATCAATTATAAATTTGCCTCATGAGATGTGTGTATAAACTTAAAATGTTCGCGTGGGAGCCAACAAATCTCAGATCCTACGCACTATTGATTAAGTCCGCTATCAACCCCGAAAAAACTCTTATATCTTAATTCATTCGACCACGATGATCATTAATATCGAATCTACGCGTATTTCAGTTAGCTAGCCTGTCTATGAAATCAGTGAAACAAGATCATGCAATAAAATATACAAAAGAACAATCAAAGAGATTTTTTTTGGTTAGCTAGGTGTGTGCGATTTTAATATCAGATAAAAATATATAGATTAAAGAGAAGTTTCGTGAATGGTGATTGGAATTAAAATTTTGGAGGGAAGATTGCACCGATTGTGCAAGCACGTGATCAAATCCTCATCATCTTAACCTCTCCATGTTATTTTGGTAGTTTGATTAACTAAAATTTTAGCCATCTTTATTATCAGATTGAATTAATTACTACAAAAGTCCCAAAAAGTTGCCTACTATTTTTTTTTTTTTTGAAACATTTCCTATTATATTCATTTAAAACTATAAAGTTGAATGGGAGTGAAGTTGATGGTATTCACAGAAGTTTGCTTATGGCCATCCGGGAGTTACAGAACCGGAGGTGGGAAGTCCAAGTGGTACATGTGTTTCGTGAGGCGAATTTTATTGCAGATTTCTTGGCATCGTTTGCGTTCATGGGAAGTACTGGCTATTCACGTTTGTATGATCCCCCATCTGAAGCTATTCCTTGGCTATAACATGACACAATTGGTGTCTCCTATCCAAGGAAAGTTGTAATCACCTAAGCTAGGCTTATGCCTCCTTTCATTGTACCAAAAGAAAAAAAAAAAAACTATAAAGTTGAAATGTTTTAAGTGCCTCAAAATGATTAATTTTGTTTTTTGTCACTTTTCGTCAAGATTCTGTCCAAAAAATAACGGTCAAATGTTTAAGACAATTGACTTATTAAAAGATAATTTTGTCTTTTTCTTAAAAAAAATTTCTTTTAAATTATGCTGTTGTAATTTTTTTAATTAAAAAAACCCTAAAACTTTTGTTCTCCCTCGTGACCTTTTTTCTTCCTTCAGCCTCCACTTCTCCGTCGCCACCACTACCGCCACCACCTCCATCTCCCCCACCGAAAAAAGAACCAATTCCAAAATATAACATTAACAAAGTAATCTTCAGTAATCCCCTTCCCGACCCTTCCCTTTCAATCCAATCTAGAATTTTCGAATGGTTCCAGCAATCAGAGCGGGAGTTGGGGCTGATTTCAATTTCTATACTCAGCAGCAGGTAATATTTTGGCCGTCAAAGGAGGAAGTATACAGAAAGCACCATGGCTACAGCCACAACGGAATCCGTTCAATGTTTCGGCCGGGAGAAGATGGTGGTGGCTGTTACCCAATGCTAGCGAAGTCGTGGCCTAAGCGAGATCAATGGCGTTCCCATCGAACTAGTCCAGCCCGAAATCCTCCCTACAAGGCTTCTGAACCAATTCTGCTCCTCGACCGCCACTACTTCGCCAGAGTTGACATGCGCATCCGCGTGAAAGGAGGCGGTCATACCTCCCAGATCTATGCCATCCGTCAATCAATTGTGTTTTGGATTTCTGAAAATTGTGTTAATATCGTGTTGGCGAATGATGCCATTAGAACAATCGTGAGGTTTAGATTTCGAAAGAAAGGTGGAGCCAGGCCAATTTGGTGATTCTAAGCTTCCTCTGTTTTGGCCGGTAAGTTTTGTTGTTTAGGCTAGAAACTAGAATCAGAACTCCCTCTCGAGGCTTAAAATCCACAAAAAAAAAAAAAATAATCTTGGGATTTTCAATTGTTTTGGATGACTTAAGCAGATTGGTGAAGTATTTGTTGTCAATCGGATGTGTCCATGATCTTGATAAGCATTTGGCTATGTTTGGAAGGTTTTTTGAGTGTATTTTTTAATATTGAGAATGTAAAAAGTTGCATTGAAAATATAAAAAAATATATTAGAAATATAAAAAAATATGTTAGGATGGGATATATATTAATTAAAAATTCTGAAAAAAAAATACGTGAAAAAAAAGAACCAAACATAATCTTAACACTGATTTTTCCGGTAACTTGAGAAGTACTTCCAGTAGTATAGCTCCCGGAAGTTGGTCGGGAAATTGTTCGTGGCTGGTGGACGTGGTGGATTAAAGACTTTTATGAAGCAATGAGTGAAGCAATTTTGATTTCATCAAAAAAATAAATAAAGAAAGAAAGAAAAATAACGGAAGCAATTTTGAGGAAAAATTCGGGACTGACTATTTGATTAATTAAGTGGTTGTTTTCTTCTTAGTTAATTGATTAATTATGTCGCTCCGATGTTAAAAATTTTACGGGTAGTTATTTCAAAAAAGTAATCTTAAAAGAAAGACCAAGTGCTTTCTCGGATGTCGTCCGACCTATTTACAACAATATATTTTAAAATTAAATATACAAATGGTGAAAGTGTTTTTTAATTTTAACTCAACTTGTATGTTTAAATTTTAAAAATAATAAAAAAATCATTTATTTATATCATTAATCCATTAATATTAATTGATTGATTATAATTAAGGACAAATAAAGTTAACACAAATAAAGATTGTAGGAATCAATTTATTTGTTTCACAAAACTACGTAGTTTTTGTTGATGCGGAAATGGATGCATGAGAACGCCACACGTCAGCCTTATTTTTTCTCTTGGACTATTGTTTTAATATGATATATAGATAAGAGTTATAAATTGGATTTTAAAAAATTTTTAAAAAGACGAAATTATCCTTTTAATAAGTCAACGTCTTAAATAGTTGACCGTTACTCTTTTGACAGAATCTTGACGGAAAAGTAATAAAAAAACAAAATTAATCTTCTTGGGGGCACTTAAACAAAATTAATCAGATTCCTAGAGTTGATAATGTGGTGACACATGCAGTTGCAAATTATGCAAAATCGAGTTCTTTCGACGATACGTTTTGGCACGCCTGGTGTTCTAACTTTTTTTATATCAATCAGGGTTAATTGAATTCTAATAAAATTGATAAAAATAATTTTATTCAAAAAATAAATAAAAAATAACAAAGCCATTATATATCTACTAATAAAATATACTCCAAAGAAAGAGCAAAGTATTTTTTTAAAAAGAATTTTTATATTTTTGCAACAACCCAGTTGAATTATTGAAACCCATGCGATTTCGGGGGGAAAAAAAAAGAAAATGAACGTAAAGAACAGTTGAAAGTTGAAACTAACTTGTTAATTTATTGGTAAAACTGTCTTGTAAGTCTCTTTCTCACTCTAATAATATTGTCTGTCTTGGTATTCAAGGCAGCTATAATAAGAAGCACCTAGGTACACCTATACCTACCGTGTCTTTCACGCTCCAAAACACTCTTAATAATAGACCCTTTTTTTGGATCCTTTTTTTTGGATTTTTTAATTTTCAAACAATCATAACAACAAATATAAATACCTAATTATCCTTTTTTTTTTATCATTTATCTGCTTTTATAACTGCTCAAGCAAGAACGAAATTCTCTCTGCGGCTGCGCTCTCGAAATCGACTTTGTGTATCGAAAATTTTGATTTTATAATCGAATAAATATAAATTAAAGCGAGAATTACGGTAATAAATTATCTTATTCATCTGTTTTTGTGGGTTTCTCTTTGTGATTTGTTTAAAATGTTCTTTGATGAATCTGTGGGTTTCTATTTGTGGGTTTGTTTCAGATCTTGCTTGATGAATCGTCAGAGGTTTGTGGATTCAGATCTTCTGTGAAAAAAATTTTTTTAAAAAAATAGATTTGGTGAATTGTCAAAAGATTTATGAATTCAGATCTGCTGTGAAAAAGATTTATCGTCAGAGGTTTATGGATTTAGATCCCTTTATGTATGGTTATTTATCCATTCTGTATGGTTATTCATCTTGTTGTTGATGTTGGAAATCTGGCTTTTATAATTCTGGGATTTAATGTTGTTGTTGTTCATCAATTTGGTTATTCATCTGTTGTGTATGGTTATTCATCTGTTGTATATAGTTATTAATAATGTTGTTGTTGGTTATAAATTTGGGTTTTATATTCCTGAGTTTTTATGTTGTTGTTCATCGATTTGTTTATTCTGTTGTAAAAGGAACCATTATTCACCAGTATCAGGTTGCTCATTCATGTGACCTTGATGAATCGTCAGAGGTATATGGATTCAGATCTTTTGTGAAAAAAAAAATTCAGATTTGGTGAATTGCCAAAAGATTTATGAATTCAGATCTGCTATGAAAAAGATTTATCTTCAGAGGGTTATGGATTCAGATCCTTTGTGTATGGTTATTCTTCTATTCTATATGATTATTCATCTGTTGTGAATGGTTATTCATCATGTTATTGTTGGTTGGAAATCTGGATTTTATAATTCTGGGATTTAATGTTGTTGTTGTTCATTAATTTAGTTATTCATCCGTTATGTATGGTTATTCATCATGTTGTTGGTTGGAAATTTGGGCTTTTTAATCATGAGTTTTAATGTTGTTGTTGTTCATCAATTTGTTTCTTTTGTTGTAAAAGAAACCATTATTCATCAGTATCAGTTAGCTCATTCATGTATTCATCCGTTGAGTATAAGTGAGCTCATTATCATTGATTGCATCGTTATTCATCAGTATCATTGAGCTAATTCATGTATTCATCTATTATCAATTAATCAATATTTTAGTATAAATAGAGTTTTGATGGAATGTAAAATCTCATTTATTGTAATGTTTTCTTTGTTTGATTAGCGTCAGAGATGTTCATCAAAATAAATTCGATCGGCTGGGAATCAAATATTTGGAAAAACTACTGAAATCAAACAATCAAGATAGACGTATCGAGTATCGGTGATTCCTTCAAGACTTTATCTATTAAAATCAATGACTAGTTTTTTTTTGTTCAGTTTTGGTATAGTATAATACATAATTAGAAGTTTGTTAGTTTAGTTGCTCACATTAACCATTGTAAAATATACTCTTGTTAGTTTTATTGATCAAAGTTATTCATTTTGTTACACATTATTCATCCAATAATATTACCTCATTCATTCATTAAAGTACAATTATTCATCTAATAAAATTATATAGATTCTTTTTTTTAGTATTATTATTAATTTAGGATGTGATCATTATTCATCAAGATTTAAATTGAGCAGAATATCTTATTCAGTTGACTTGTACAATACTAAAATGATATCCTAATAAAATAAATCGTCATAAAAAATTTTTCTAATAAAATAAAATAATATAAAAACTAACATGATAAGATAAAAAATAGTTTGAAATTAAATGTGTGTGAAAAAAGGGATAAATTTTGGAGCATGCATGTGGTTGAATTTTGGGGGAAAAAAAATCTATTTGCATATAATAAGAGTATATTACACTTGTCCACTAAGTAAAGGTGTACCTAGATGCTCTTAATTATTTGCCGTATTCAAGGGGTAGTGTAATATAAACAAAACTGAAATAAAATTCAGGGGGTTATTTTCGCAATTCCATAACCCCACACAACTTTTCCTTGTATTTAACTATTTATTGATTTTGTTTCCCCTTTACCCTTACCGTCTAAATAAAATGAAGTAATAATTAAACATAAAGTTGGGATCAAAAGAAAAATCATCTTTTGCAAATCCTACTATGATTTTCTCTCATATCTATTATTTCCTCCGTCCCACAAAAATAGTTTACATTGAATTTTGAGTGTTGTACTGTTTTTAGTACAAATTTGAAAACTCAATATGAATTATTTTTTTGAGACGGAGGTAATAAAAAAAATCGTCCCGGCAAATCAACGTTTGTTTTTGAACGTAAGATGAAGATGTCAAGTGGTTCCAAAAAAGAAGAATGGTTGTGAGACAACTGGTTTTCAAGATTTGGTTTGATGCGCAGTATATCTTATGCTCAGGTAATCAGGTCATGGCCTGGTTGCTGTATTCGCCCGGCCTTTTTCAATTATAATTAAGTTAATTAATTAATTAGATTTTTTTTCGTTTCTTTTCTTTTTTTTTTTTTTTTTGGTTCGTGTTTCGCTTCAATTTCCAAGCATCTGGTTTCTGATTTATTATAATACGGAATAATAGTTATGATGTCAGATGAAGGTATTTGTACATCATAGTTTAACTTGATTATTTTCGCTTTTATAATGCAAATATGTGGATTAGTATATTTGATTCATTTATTCGTAGGATGACACGATAATCAACAAACTAAGAGCTTGTTTGGTCAACATTTTGTTTTAATTTTTGATTTGGATTTGAGATGTGATTTAAAATGTGGTTTGAGATAAAATTTAAAAAGTTATTTAGGTGATATTTTAAATAAAATAATAATATTTTATACCACTACTGGACCACCTCCACTGGACCGTCGCCGGCCAGTGACCTGAATGTAGCCGGCGGTCGTCCGCCGGCGGCGGTAGGCGACCCGGTGGTGGCGGGTGGTGGTGGAGGTGATTCGGCGGTGGTGGACAAAAATTGTGTAAAAATAATTTTTGGAATATTTTTTAAAAGGTAAATTAAAAAGTTGTTTGGATAATATTGGAATTTGTGTTTGAGGGGTGTTTTAAGAGGTAAAATAAGAAAAAAATGAAAAATAAGTGTTGGTCAAACAAGCCCTAAGCTTTCTTATTGAACATTTTCAGAATTAGTGTAAATGTCCATCCTGCTAATTGTAAAATCTTAATTTTCATTATTACTTTGCAAGAATGAAATTCAACTCAGTTTGATTTGATAATAATTGTGTCATTGCTACATATAGTTAACGATAATAAACAGTACTAGTATCTTGTATTTCTTTTGTAATTGTATCAATTTTATCATAATGACAAGGCTGTGTTGTTCCTTAATTACACCCCACATGAAGCAAGACTGTTATAATCTTTTTGGGAGTTTCCCAACACTATTCTACTCAATAATAGGGATGAAGGGGATGGTTTTTTTTTTTGTAATTTGATATTATTACTATTTAAAAAAAGAGTAGTAACATATGAACGGTAAATATACAGAAAAATTTACAAGAATGATGTGTCAAGTTAATAATCAAAACTCTACTAAAATATTTAAACCTTAAATAGAAAGTATTAAAAAATAAAATAGTTATGATTTATTCCCTCTAAAAATTCTCTCTAAAATTTCCTCACACAAATCTTTATCTTTAAAGAAAAACATGAGTGAGCTTATTATAACTGAACATTAATACATCATTAAAATTAAATGGAGTGATTGATCATTCAAGATTGCACTTACCTCGTGTTTCTAGTTGTTATTTACTTGAAAAGGTTGAGAGAGTTTAACCCAGGAAAAAAAAAAGGGTGAAGAGTTCATAGTTTCTAAAATTATAAGGGCTTTTTAGTTATTTAAAAAAATCTGAGGTAGGTCATGCAATTCACAATAAACTTGTTTGCGTGCGGTCTAACCAATCATTGACACCCACGTCACTACGAAGACTATATTTACTACGTGTCATGTTTTTTTGCGGTTACCCCCAAATTATTCCGGTACGTCTAAATCCACTGGAACTCTACCTCACCAGATATATATTTCTAGGGTTTCTCTCTCTTCCGTAATCTTATCGAGTTTCAAACATCTTTCCATTGATTTCCCTGTAAATTAGATCAAACGTATACAGCAATCTAATTGACCACGGATATTGTTTTTTCGTTTGATTTTGGATCCATATTTTCATAGATTTGTAGGAATTTCTGGAGTTTTAATTGAATAATTATCGGTAATTAATTAGGGATTATGCCTCCAAGATCAGCGAAGAAGTTGCCCCCGGGGCCGGGGTCGAAGAGAGGTGGAAGGGTTGGGAGAGGCTCAGCCAGAGCCCTGGCCCAAGCACAAGCTCAGGTTCAGCCAGAAGCTGAGGAACATGTGACAGCAGAGGAGACGCAGGTTGTGGAAGTAGCTAAACCGGAGATCAATCTACAGGATGAAGTCGCCGAGGATAAGACCTCGCCACCGCCTGAGCTGGTGGAGGAGCCAAGGAAGGCAGCTCAGGTGCAATCTCTGGAGAACACAATGGTTTCTGTGAAAAGTAAGTCGCCTTTTTTCCCTCAAATTTGCGATTCTTATTCGTGTCCCCCCCCCCCTCTCTTTAATCTTCTGGACAGATATAATTGCCTGATAATTTTTGCTATGACCAAAATCTCCGTTCTGTTTTTTTGAAGTTTTGGTATTCTCATTTTTTAATTATATACTTGATTGGATGTGAGTGTTGTTCTTGTTGGTAATGTCCCTTTACTAAAAAGTTCTATTCCCTCCTAATATCGATTAGGGAAAGTTCAGGTATTCGTTCTTTAATTTCTTTGGAGGGGGAAGGTGTGGGGGTCTTATTATCGGTTACTTTTCAAGGTTTTATAGTAGGAAATTGAGCCTCCATTCGTGTAAATAACACATCTTTGTGAATGTCGGAGTTTAAGTAAGCTGTTGTGCCTTGTATTCCTTTTCTTTTGTTGCCGAACTGCTGACTCATAGCATGTGAAAAAGAGAAGTTATTGAGCTGAAAGGTGGCGTATTTTTTAGATAGATATTACCGTACTTTGGTTTAAATTTGTCTGTTTTTTGTATGGATGGATAAGTTCTTGGTCTATAGAAACATAGTTGGGAATAATAATATGTTTCTGTCGACAGCTGCTAGTCCTTGCTGCTATTGGTCGACACTTAATTTACTGGACGTGTTTGCATGAGGGCGTTGGTGTTTATGGATTAGTTGGTTGTAAGATGCATGTGGATACGCAAAAAGTGGCATGCCACTCTATGTGGTTAAGAGATCTTTGGACACAAGCTTTATATCTTTACCTAAACAAGTGAAACTCAATGAATTATAAAACCAATACTAATTCCTATTGGGCATGGGGAAGGAGTTAATAGATTTCTATTTAAATTGGAAGAGAAGTTATAGTTTTGAGTTACTCCAAATGGAACAGATTTTTCTGGAAGGAGGAAAGGATTTTGTTTCTTTTGTCTGAAGGAGAAAACCAGTATAGTTAATAGTTGAGGAAAATGTCAAATACGTGTTACTGACATCTTTGGAGAACATTTTTTTTTTTTTTTGACAATAAATGTGGAATTACCCCAATCCCAATGCTAGTACATTCTAACAGAAGCATGCAAGATACCTCCTTTTCAAGTATGATATGTCCACCATTGGATTTACTTTTATTGTAAAGTCTTACTATTACATTTAAGTTGGTTATAAAGAGACGTCTGAAACCCTCTTTGAGGAACTGCTGACTCCTGTTGCATGACAGAAGATGATGATTCAAAAGAATCTGTTGATGAATTAGAAAAGAGTGAGAAGTTAGATTTGGAAGATAATGATCCTGAATATGAACCTGAGGAATATGGCAGTGTTGATTATGATGAGAAGGAAATTGAGCAAGAGGATGCTCAAGAAGAGGGGGATGAAATTGATGAAGACCTGGGGGAGGAAGAAGGTGATATGATGGGTGAGGAAATAGAGGATGTACAAGAGGAGCTTGAGGGTGAGGACAATGATGTTCATGAAGTTGAGGAGCGTGATGAAATGGTTGACCATGAAGAAGATGAGGACCACCATGAGCTTGTAAAAGAGAGACGCAAAAGGAAGGAGTTTGAGGTCTTTGTCGGTGGCTTAGATAAGGATGCTACTGAGGATGATCTTAAGAAGGTTTTCTGTCAAGTTGGCGAAGTTGTTGAAGTTAGACTCATGATGAACCCTCAGACTAAAAAGAACAAGGGGTTTGCCTTCCTCCGTTTTGCAACCGTAGAGCAAGCTAAGCGTGCTTGTACTGAGCTCAAAAATCCAGTGGTATTTTTCTGATTCTGTAGTTTGCTGGTAATTGAATATAATTGGTATGCTGAGTTACATTTTGGCAATCCCGATTCCAGGTCCACGGAAAACAATGTGGTGTTACTCCTAGTCAAGACAGCGACACCCTCTTTTTGGGTAACATTTGCAAGTCATGGACAAGGGAAGCTGTAAGTAGAATTGGACAGTATAATGTCTCCAATTGAAGCATCAAGCTATGTGCATTAATTATTAAGAGTCATCTATTTTTTGTCTGATTGATGTTCAATTTGGTTCCAGTTGAGAGATAGATTAAAACATTACGGCATTGATAATGTGGAGGATCTCACATTGGTTGAAGACAGTAATAGTAATGGAATGAATCGTGGGTTCGCTTTCTTGGAGTTCTCTTCTCGCTCTGATGCTATGGATGCTTTTAAGCGCCTACAGAAAAGAGATGTTGTCTTTGGACTTGATAGGCCGGCTAAAGTATCTTTTGCTGATTCCTTCATCGACCCAGGTGATGAGATCATGGCTCAGGTAATGCATTTGGCCAAACTTCTTACACTACTTGAAGGATTCCGTGGCTGATATAGGTTGAATTTTTCATTCTCCATGATGTGCTGGTATTTATCATTGGTTCTCGATACCTTCTCGGACAACTTCGAGAATTGGGATAGGTCCGGAACATTGTATTTCTTGGCTGTTTCTAGTGATCCTTTCCTGCTTGAGATTTTTATTCCTAAACCTACTGAGTCTGCAAGGAGATGAATTATACATTAGATGACAGTCTGAACTATTGCCTTCGTTTACTTCTAAAAAATTCTTGTCATTTTTCGTCACTGTTTAGTGCATGAAAATTAAGTCTGCTCCAGTTTGATTACATATTTTTATACCTGGGTCCTTCAAAAGCTGTAAATTATTTGTTTTCAGTTTTCACATTTGCCTTGACTGCTGTAATCAGGTTAAAACAGTGTTTGTGGATGGGCTTCTTGCATCTTGGGATGAGGATTACGTACGTAAACTTTTAAAGAGTTATGGTGAGGTTGAAAAGGTTGAGCTGGCAAGAAACATGCCTTCCGCCAAAAGAAAGGATTTTGGTTTTGTGACATTTAATACCCATGAGGCTGCTGTAACATGTGCCAAAAGCATCAACAATGAGGAATTGGGTGAAGGTGATAGCAAGGTTGGTTATCGAGTCCTTGTGACGTTCTTTTCTGTTGTTGGCAAAATTGCAAGTTTTGATATCCTAATACTGTCGTTTCAGGCCAAAGTTCGGGCCAGGTTGTCTAGGCCTCTCCAGAGAGGTAAAGGAAAAAGTGGTTCTCGTGGAGAGCTTCGTACGGGTCGTGGCCCAGTTCGTGGTTTGCGAAGTCCTTGGACCCGTACAGTCACTCATAGTGTCCCTCTTCGTGGATCTAGAGGTGTTTCATCACGCGTGCCTCCCATTGTTGACCGCGGATTTAAAAGACCTGCTAGTTTTAGGGATAGACGTCCAATCATGGCTGTTCCTACCAGGTCCAGACCTCTGCCTCCTCCTCCAAGGCCATATGAAAGAAGGCCACCTGGTATGTAGATATCGATTTTTTTGTTACCATGGAGCTTAATTACTTGGACGTAATGGGCCCTAATGTTTTCACCTTTTTCAGTTGCTTCATATCCCAAAAGCAGTTTGAAAAGGGATTATGGTCGGCACGAGGATCTTCTTCCAAGGAGCAGATCTTCTGCAGATTACACTTCAAGAGTTCCCTCTGAGCGTCGCACATCACTGAGAGAGGATTATCCTTCTCGGGGATCTGGCTATTCTGATTTGCCTAGAGTCAGTTCCCGTCCTGTGGCGAGAAGAGAGTATGTTGATGATGGTTATGGACACAGATATGAAAGGCCTCCTCCGGTTTATCGCGAAGTGCGGGGTCGGGAATATGATTCTATTTCTGGGTCAAAACGTCCATATAGTGCCATGGTTGGTGAATTTTAATTTTTATGTATTGTAATGCATGTTTGTTGTTACATTTTCAACCTACTTTCTCTTGTGTGGGAGATCTGAGTTGACTTTGTTGCATGTGCCAGGACGATGTTCCTCCTCGTTATGCAGATCCTGGTGTACGCCAATCTCGTGCTCGTCTGGATTACGAACTTAGTGGAAGCGCTTCACATTATGGGGATGCTTACGGTGACAGGTATGAAGATTTTGTTCTTAGAAAATGTTGCCAGGTTCAGTTTCCGTTTTGGATGTTTTATCAAACATTAAGCTTCAACATCTGGTGCTATGCAGACTTGGGAGATCGAATCCAGTATATGGTGGTGGTGGTCGAAATTCTATGTCTAGTCAAGACTCCAGTTCCCTTTACAGCAGTCGCCATAGTATGGGTTATGGTGGAGGTTTGATTCCTTCCCTTTTGATGTACTTGCTTTAGTGCTTATAGTTATTATGAAAGAGACTTGTACACATTCGTCCTTTTTTATGCCTTACAATTACATTGAATTAGGATTGTGTGGTTGAGGCAGGTTAGACTGTGTTGGGCTCCTAGTCTGATGCCTTGGCAATTTTTTCCTCTTGTTTTGCAGGCTCTTATAATGGTGATGGTGGTGGAATGTATTCATCAGGCTATGGTGGTGATTACATGTCTCGTGGCGGCGAAGTATGCTTCTGCTGTTGCTTTTATTAATCCTTAATAAATTATATTGTGGCTTATATTTACATTTGCTTATTCTTCCTTTGTTTTGCCCATGTGCGCTATAGGTCGGTGGAAGCTCCTATACCTCACTTTATTCTAGTCGTGGAATGGGTGGTAGTAGTTATATGGGAAGCAGTGGTTCCGGATCGTACTATTGAGGTATGTGATTTTGCTGCTTTGTGATACATGACTTTCCCAATAAGAGGTATCATCTTCAGCCAAAGATGAACGCTAAGGAAGTTTACTGTTGAGTTTTCCTTGATCTGAGCTATACAAACGGGAAGTGCTCGGTTAATAACTGCTGCATAGAGGTGTGCTAACACCTTGGTTATTTGTGTATGTCAGAGATCTGGGCTGGCAATAAGGGGCTAGGCTTGTGTTGAACTTTGGAACTCTTCTAGATTTAAGTTTCATCAGTTTTGGGACAAAAGAGGTTTCATCAGATGAGAAGGTGAAGTCTCGTGGAAGGAAGCTTTTGATGAGATCAAAATGTGCAAGTGAACGCTATCCAGGATTTCTATTATGAGTTTTAGTGGCATCCTGGATATTCCTGCATTTAGTTTAAAGATTTGCTGTCAGGGAACCTCTAAGAGGATGGAAATATTTTAGTGTTTCCTCAAAGTTTACCCATGAGCAAACTCATTGTAAGATTTCTCTCAAGTTGCTAGTGGTTAAGCCATTGTATCATTTGTCATTAGGGGCACAAGTAGTCTGGGCCACAAAAGCAGGGGATTCTTCATTGTTGTTTCTCAGTGAATGATTTTCCGAAATAATATTTCTACCATGAAAAGCAGTTAAGAATGGGTGTTGCTTATCTCTCTTGTTTTTAACTCGAAAAAGTCATTAAAGATGTTTGAGGCTCTAATGATGAGATCTAAATCTATTCATTAAAGATGTTTGAGGCGCAAAAGATGAGATTTATTCGGAAACCGCAATCAGAGCATCACAGTGCTCATCTTTCTCGACTCTTTTTTTTGTCAGTTACACTGCGAGTCTGAGCAAAAATATCCCACCTCGAAAGGCTAGCTAGGAATATACGGGCTAAATCAAAGATTTTACTTGCAAATGAATGCTCTTCCAAGCAGAGAAGATTAAAATCAAGCACGTGACAGAGGATACGGATGATTATGCTAGTTGGAAAAGTTTGAAATATTAATCCGTGTTGTGTGAAATGCAACTAAGGTTACTCGGGGAATGTTTTAGTTCCAGAGTAGAATGAAATTCGTAATTACAAATCAAGTCCCATTTCTCTACCTTTATAATGGTTTTTAACCACAGTCGAGGATTCGAAACTCGCTATGAGCATGGAGTAACTTTACAGACTTTGGTTAGTTATCTTACCCATCGAAGTGCCTACAATTCAACGAAAATGATTAGTTATTGTTGTCTATGATGGACACCTTGCAAATATGAAGAAAAAAAAAAGAAAAAAGAGACTTTACACTCGTCCGATCATAATGTAATGATTGAAAACAAGTGATTTGCATAAGGATAAAATGTGATTTGCGGTAAGTGTGCGAGGAGAAAAATCATGGTGCGGAGGAAGTTTGGCGTCTCAATTAAAGAGTATATATAAAAAAGATTTCGTGTGAATGTTCACCAACCGGATCCGTGGCGCAATGGTAGCGCGTCTGACTCCAGATCAGAAGGTTGCGTGTTCGATTCACGTCGGGTTCAAAACCCCGGTCACAACGGATTTCCTTCTTTTTTCTTTTATTTATTTTTTTCGTACTCAAGCCCTTCTACTTTCGTCCCTCGGACGTGCATAGCCAAAAACACCACTCCATCTTCTTCTTACAAAACATTGCATGCATCTTCTTCCTTTTTTAGCCACTAGTATTGTGCTCGTACTTTGTGCGAATTTTATTATATTTTAAAATAATATTAATATATTATTATTTTTCTATGAAAAAAGTCTTCTTTTTTTTTCGTTTTTGGTATAAAAGGTATTCGGAGTCCAAAATCAAGAGTATTATATGTTTTTCTTTTTGGTATATAGTGTATTTGGTGTGCGAAGTTAATTTTCAAACTAATCCGCCTTCGAATCGGGTAGATCTCTTTCGGAAGACAAACCTCTCCCAACAATCATTACTACATGCCCATGCGCAAATTTAATCATGGATCGTAAATAACTTGGTCCAATACTTTTACCACTTTGATCAAGTATTTATTAGCCATATGAATTTTTTTTTAAAATACAAATTAATATGTTCAACTATCACATATGCTTCTTGTTTAGAAATGTTAGTATATCAAAAAAAAATAATAAAAAATTCTAAATATGAATAAATATGATCAATTATCTACTATGCCAATTGTTTAAGGATGTAAGCATATATTGATTGAAACACATCTATTGTTTACTTGTAATAATTGAATCAAATATTATAAATAATTATTTGTTAGACATAAAGTAAAATAGAAAAGGAAAATTCCAACAAAATAAATAAAACTAAAAAATATGGGGATAAAACTAATCTCTTTATTTTTGAAAAATATATCAAATAAAATCGTTTAAGAAATACTATTAATCTACGTTTAATGTATCCAGAATTAGTTTCAAATTATATTTATAATATAATTATTTGGTAACTAATCTCTTTTTATTTTTTGAAAGTAATCTCTTTTATCTCTTGAAAAATATATTAAATGGAGTCATCTGTAAAATAATATTAACCTATTTTGCATATATACATACTTGATTTCGAATTGTATTTGTAGTATGATTATTTAGTAACTAATCTCTTTTTATTTTAAAAAAATATATCAAATAGAATAATCTGAAAAATAATATGAATCTACGTTTAATTTATCCAAACTTAATTTCGAATTGTATTTGTAGCATAATTATTTGGTAAATTAATTTTTTGTTTTTGTTTTTGGTAACTAATATATTTTTATTTTTGAAAATATATCAAAGAGAATCATTAGAAAAATATTATTAACCTATGTTTAATGTATCCAAACTTAATTTCAAATTGTATTCATATAATTATTTGGTAAAATAATCTTGTTGTTCTAGTAAGTAGTGTCTTTTTATTTAAGGAAAATATACAATTATTTAATAAATAATATTAACATACGTTTAATGTAGGCAGACTTGGTTTCGAATTATATTCATAATATAGTTATTTGGTAACAATCTTTTTTGGTAACTAATATCTTTTATTTTTGAAAAATATATCAAATAAGACGATCTAAAAAAAATATTAACTTACATTTAATGTATCTAGACTTAGTTCCAAACTGTATTCTTAATACAATTATTAATTTGATTATTAATATTTCATTATGTCATATATTTGTCAATAATTACCAAAAACATGATAATTACTTTTCCGAAAGTAACTTTTGATTAATTACTTAATTCAATTTAACAACATTACGTATTGTTAATAAATTTTTAACTGTTTAATGAAGGAGAATTTTGGTGATGACACATCGGCGACACGTGTCGATTAAGAACTCTGTTTTAATATATAAATATAGATTCCTGATCGCCAAAGAAAGTTTCATGTCTACAATGATAAGTTTCATTAAAATTAATACGCCAAATCTTGATTGAGAAAAAAAGTTTTGTATCAATACTATTAAGTTATAATAACATCACCCGCCTCTGATCTAGTCTGAATTATTAATAAGGACGGGAAATCACATACCGAAACAACCGGTTTCTCTAATCTCCAACAGAAAAAGAGATAGCCACAGTTGAGTCCACGGAATCTTCAGAAGTTGAAGCTCTTTCAAGTTTCATCAAGCACAAAGCCTTATTAATCAAAAATTCTAATAAATTATGTAAAACTGACGAAGGCAAATCCCGATGGCAGCGAGTCAACGGTCAACTAGGACGGAGACCTGCAAGACAAGGGTTAGCACTCTGATGCCAAAGTTAGTCTTAGTAAGAGAAATAAAATAGATACACACTTGGAGAGAGAATTAGAAGTGTGGATTAACTCCCTGAAATGAACATTTTGGGGTATATATAGTTCATTATTTTTAGGAAGTGTCTAAAAGAGAGTCCCATCAAATCCCATATACAACTCTTTATGCGTTTGGGCCACTGGGCCTGTTCCTCTAAAAGCCCGTTAGGGTTCTAAATAGGTTGTGTTAGAAATGTTAGGAATTTGCTTCTTCAAAAACCAATCCGTAAAAGTATTGACCCCTAGCGAACATCAATCCATTTGCTACATCTATAATATGCACTCAAACACCAGCGAATTTAAGCTTCTGTTCTGTCTTGGAAGCAGAGTACTGGGGCTTTTTTTTTTGATTAAAGATAGCCTGGCAACTTGGTTTGAGAAAGATCCAGTTGCAGCTCGACAATATCACGGCTGTCAATGCTCTAATGGAAGAGGACGCATCATTCGCCTCCAGTAATGTTCTCTTGCGTATAAGAGTCCTCATTCATGGCCACTGACAACTAGAAATTTCACATATCAAAAGAGAGGGTAACGAAGTTGCCGACTCTTTAGCAAAACTATGTTTATCTAGTGCATCGGAGTTACATATTTTGTCGGTTCTCCCGGATATAGCTTTAGCTAAGCTATCTTTTGACTACCTTCCGCCTCTTCTCACCCCTGGAGTGGTTTAGATATCTAGTATTTTTGTAATCTAAGTGAAAATTTCCCCAGTATATAAAAAAAATAAAAAACACCATTGCAGTTTCGAGCTAGATGTAGAGACAACCCCATTAATAAGATGAACCATTATACTTTGAAACACAATTCGCATTTCTTTGTATGTAAGGACGTAGTTTATTTCTTACCACGTTAGTTACTAGTATAAGCATAATTCAATTTTCATTATTTCACATATCATAATTTTCCCAAACTTACAATAAAAATTGAAATAATCAACAAAACAAAAGAAAAATTATCCATGACGATTTTCGAAAAAATAAAAACAAAAAATAAAATCCATCATGTGTCCACAATTGCGAGTTAATCGATTTTGTGTATACATAATCAATTTCATAAATGTGATAAAAAAAAAAAAGAGAGTTTGTTTATTTACTGGTTAAAATTTATAAACATTTGCAAGCTGTGTTTGAATTTTTTTTTTTTCCTTTATTTTTTACGTTACAAACTTTAATTTGGGCAAGTTTTACCGAAAACTGTAGTTGTTATAATTTCCCCGGAAAAAAACCCCAAAAGAAAAGGAAAAAAAAAAAAGAAAGAAGAAAAGGATAAGACACGTGAGCCATTTTTGGCAGAGGCGTAAGCCGCGCCCCCACGCCCGCCACAAAAATTGAATCAGAGACGTCAAAACACCGCACCCCAAAACCCACCTCCCCCCCCGGACCCCACCCCACCCAAAGCACGCTTCATAAATCATCATCATCATTTCTCATAAAGACAACAAAAACAGTGTCAATTTTGGCAAAACACCACCGAAATGGCATCATCCTAAAAATTTTCCCTACATCGTAAAACAGTGTCAATTTTATCATTAAGGGCTTAATCAAATCTCCTCTCTCCTTGATGATGATGTTAAAAATTCAAAACTTTAAAAACCAAAACGCGGTTGGGCGGTGCCGTGGACTACGACTTCCCCCCTCCGTACCGGCCCAACCCAAAAAACCTCATCATCCGCCGCACTCATCCGTCTTGTATCTCCTCCTAGACCGTGTCAATAATAAACCACACCAAAAAACGGCCCGCCTTCTTCTCTTTTTATCATTTTCTGCCGCCCCCAAAATAATGCCACTTTTTTTTTTTTTTCTTTTGAAGAAATGGTTGCTAAGGTGCGCCAGCCTCTCCACCCCGTGGCGCACGTTAGCCTCCTCCCCACCACACCACCCTTAGCGGTGGCCACTTATCTCATCTTTCTAGATCCTCCAACTCAGCCGCAATCCCACAACCCCTTTTATACCTACCCTTTCTTTACGCCATTCATTCCATTATGACCCTTCAACCACCACCATCTCCGCCGCCGCTCCTCTCTCTTCCCCATTTTTCTATCCAGGCTTTGTTTTATCTTCACCACCATCTCCGCCACCGTTGACCGTCGTCATCGTCATGGCTTCCCTCTCTCCCCAGGACAACTCTGGCTCTCCCCTCCTCGACCGCCCGCCGGATGTCACCATCGCCACCGCCGCCGCCTCTCGCCGCCTCCCTCCGCCGTGCTGGTCCCACGAGGAGACCATCGCTCTCATCGATGCTTACCGGGACAAGTGGTACTCCCTCCGCCGCGGCAACCTCCGTGCCGTTCACTGGCAGGAGGTCGCCGACGATGTCGCCGCCAGGTGCCCCATCGGGACGCCCAAGACGGCCGTCCAGTGCCGTCACAAGATGGAGAAGCTCCGGAAACGCTACCGTGGGGAGATCCAACGCGCCGCCCCGTACGGCGGATCTAAGAGCAACCGCTATTGCTCCGCCTGGGTCCACTTTAAGCGCATGGATGCAATGGAAAAGGGACCCAACGCAGCTGCTGCTGCCGAGCCGGAGGAGGAGGAAGAAGATCCTGAAGATTCTCATGTCAAGAGAATTGGGGATATCTATAAGAACAATACCGAGAGTTTTTTGAATAGCAACAGCAACCGGAGCAGCTTTCCCGGGGGCATGGTTAACGGCAATTCTGGGTTTCGGATTCGGATCCCTGGAATTCGAAGCGTCGGGGCCGACTCCGGAAATTTATATACTAAATTTGAAGATGTGGGTGCCCAAATCCCAAACCCTAGTTTCAACCCGGCTGTGAATTACGTGCCTAATAAAATATCGAGGGATGGGTTTGCTAGAAAAACTGATATGGGAAAAAGGGTTCTTGGAGGAGAAGGGCAAAAGGGGGACCCTGTGTCCGATGTGGTCGCGGCTATTCGTGTTTTAGGGGATGGGTTTGTGAGGATGGAGAAAATGAAGATGGATATGGCTCGGCAAGTGGAGGAAATGAGAATGGAAATGGAGATTAAGAGGACCGAAATGATTCTTGATTCGCAGCAGAGGATTGTGGATGCGTTTGCTAAAGGTATTGCAGAGAGGAGATTCAAAAGGTTGAAGAGAGTGCAGAACTCCGAGAGTTAGAACATGGGAGGAAATTGAATTGGGGCTTTGGTGGAATCCTTTTTATAAGGTCTTCGGTGGATCAAGGAAAGCTCGAGACTCTGATCATTTTTGCAACCAGTTTTTGCTAATCGATGCAGAGATATGGCCTCGTTCATAGTCTATGTAAGTGTAGGCGTTAGAATTGCATATTAAGTTAGATGGATGAGTGTTAGATTACTCTGTTCAGCAGTAGACCTTTTAGGACTTGGAAAAAAACATAGCGGTAGCTATTTATGTAGCCTTCTTCTGAAGTAGCGCTTAGTTGTTGCCAATGTAATCTAAGATGTTTTGTCAATGCAAGGCATGGGGACATAATCAGTTGCTAAAATTACTTGCTTTTGAGCCAACAAGATTTCTTTAGTTTTCTGGTACATGCTTGAATAGTTGCTGAAGAGTGGTTAGTATTGGTTGTGGATGTCAAGTATAATAACAAGGCAGGAGTGTTCGGATAAGTGGAGATCATGAGTTTAAAGCTGGTTGTGGAAAAACTTCTCCTGTGATTGCATGTTTTCAGACTTGTTTATGGAAAGTTTCTGTAAGGCAACAGTGACTTTGTTGTTTGACATTAGGGAAATCTTCTCGACTTCATGTGTTGTTGTATTAGTTCTGAAATATCATTTTCAGTTCCTTGCTTCTGCATCTCCCGTTTCGATGTTTTTTGGGGAGGGGGTGGTCATTTATCTAGAGGCTTTGTTTGTTTGGATATGTAGGTGTTTAGTTTCATCTAGAGGGATTAGGAACTTGCATTACCTTTTTTGTTTTATTTAAGGAGTTTCAGGAACCTACATCTCCTTGTTTTCATTAGGATAAAAGTCCATGAATAGGGAGTATCCCATTGATTTGAATACATAGCTATCGTTGTTGGTGCTAGGTTTGGAAATTTGCTTGTGATAAGCAAGCTGCCATCCCTTCTTGTCTTTGTTTCATTCCTTCATAATCTGTTGCCATTGTGCCATTGAATCTTGATATAACTGTGCTGGTCAGGTATGCTGTGTATGTACATCACAGCAAGACGGTTATCTTCCGGCCTGTCGGGTAATGTAGTTGGTAGAAACACAATAATGTAGTGGTTTTGTGTTTGTGCTTCGTGTTTCTTCGCTTTGATCCAATTTTGGTTGTACTTTTTAACATTTCGAAGGTATCCAGTTACAAGTCGGAAGGAAATTTACACATTTCTAGACATGGTGTGAGAAAATATTAAGAAGTGTTGGGGGTTGTTGACCATTGAGACCTCAGGCCGCGGCTTGAAAAAAGTTGCTGCATATAATAATTAGTCGGATAAAAATACGACTACCCAAAAGTGGCCTGAAATAAATCATTTGCAGACTGCAGTATCACCAAAACTTGTGTTTTTGCTGCTCTCAAGTTTCAACTCGTCAATAATCATCATTGAGATAAAAAAACATAAAAAAATGAAATCGACTACCACATCTTAACATTTGACGCCTTGACGCAATGGCAAATTAATTTAGAGCATGGTTTTTCATCTTTTCATCGAAATATTATTGAAAAGCATACGAATGAAAGTAGAATAGAAGATAAAGCATACAAATGAATGGTTGATTCTGCTTAGGTGAATAAAATACTGATAATACTCTTTGTTCAAAAACGAAAAAAAGAAAGCTACCATCAATTTTGAGTTTTGTAATTATTTTTAGTGTACAAATCTAAAAAATTCAATGTAGATTACTTTTTAGAACAAACAGTTTATAAACTAAAAATGGTCGTGATGATATTTCTTCCATTACATGTGATGGAGAAAGTATTGAAATATCAATATGTTTAGTGAAACTTAATTAACTTTACCAGATGTTAAACCCGCACGTTGTGCGGGGTTCATTCATACAATTTTATGGAAAAAATATTTAAATTTTAAATATGCTATATATAAGTGAAGTTATTGATTTACTGTAATAAAAAATATATGAGTTAAAATAAATAAGATTTTATTATGAAAAAAATTATTACATATGTTATGAAATGATAGTATTATATAAATTGTAAGAAAAAGTTTAAGAATGCAATAAATACAAATATTATACGACTAAAAGTGAATGAGACCCTCATTATAATAAAGAAAAAAATTATATGTCTTGCAAAATGGAAGTATTTTATAACCACACCAGAAAAAATAATAATAATAAATAATCATTAGCATACAAAATATTAAAGAGGACTTTAAAGATTATAGTATTGTGAATTTGTGATAATAATTGTAGTTCAATCATTTTTTCATAATCATGTGTAGTTAATTCCAATTATATTTCTTCCTTGGTAATTCAAGTTTAATTTGGAGGACTTAAAAACAATTGTATTAAGTTCTTTTTGTGAAAATAAATGAAAAATTTATATTTAAGATTTTGTCCTAAGTATCATCTTATTCTCTCCGGTTTCTCTATTATATATAGTTATTATTCTCTATTATATATAGTTATTATAGATAGATTATAGATAGATTTTGAAGGGTAAAAAAAAAGGGTTGGAGTAATTTCGCGAAAATAGGAAATATTGTAAGGAGCTACAAGATTGAAGCCTAAAAGGAATATAGCCCAGTACGAATGAAAAATTCTCATAAACCCACACAATTAATCTGATCCGATCAGTAGTTTATATGCCCTCATCCTCACCGTTGATTAATCAGCCATAGTATCTCATCCTTGTTCTTTTCACCTTCTGAAGAACGAGGACGCCCTCTTTCTTCATCGAAAAGGTGATGATACGCTCCAACCCTTTATGTTTTCTCGAAATCCCATTATTCGTTTCTGCTTTTATTCTTCTCTTGAGGCGTGGTTTTGTTAAATTGTCGAAATTACTGCTTGAATGTGGAAGACAACTTCCATCTTCACTATGGTTCTGTTCATTACTTTGATTATCCTTCTTCTGTATAAATGAATTATGTCTCTTCTTTTATTAGTTTGCTTTCGAATGGACTATTACGTAGGATGGAGTCATCATCCGGTTTACAAAATCAGCATATTTTCCGAACAAGGTAAACCCTTTTGTAATTCGTTCTCTTATCATTCCCGACTGTATTGAATTGAATTTCTGTGCTAGTAGTAATCGGGATTTGATTGTATTTTGTTGGAAATGATTCAATGAAGCCCATTGGTAAAGCTTAATGGAAGAAACCCACCGGGGCGTGGGAGGGCAACGCCTGATTTAGCTAAATTCGTTGAAGGTGTCAGCAGGAAAAAGTATTTACCTATACGTTTGTGTTCGACCACCTCCTACGGTGGTGGTTTCAGGCAGCAGCAGGGAGGACGCTTAGTAGGCGATGATGATGGAGTAATCATTGTCGATCATGGCTCCCGCCGGAAGGAGTCCAATCTTATGCTAGGTAAATAAGTCTCTATATGTATTATGTTCTGTTCTGTAGGTGCATATAATATGGAACTGAAGTTAGAATTACTCAATTTGGAATTCACTGTTTCTGATGATGGACCCAGATGAATTCGTGAAGATGTTCAAAGAAAAGACCAAGTACCCTATTGTGGAGCCTGCCCACATGGTACTTACTCATTGTTTTCTTTAGCCTTAGAACTGATGCTATTTTATGTAGAGAATTTTAGCTTGATCGTTTAGGAATGTGTTCTAAAGATGATGGCTGGGACTTATAGTTGAAATGTGCTTTAGTTGTACAATTGCAGTCCACTTGGTCAAAAGGCGAAATCAACATGGTATTTCAAGATGTGTTTTGAATTCTGAAACTTGACCAGCTTTTCTCATCTAGTTTAAAAATCAATGAAATCGAAAGTGCAGCTTAAATCTATGAACTTGTTTTTCTGCAACAGTTTAAGTTGTCAAGCTTCCTTGTCTCTGCTTTGTCACAGACGAATTGCGTTACACTTGCGAAAAGAAAAAAAGGAAAAAGAATCTATGTACTTGCTAATCAGCATTTCGTTTCAGTAATCTCTCCTTCTAAATTTGCATTATGCTAGTTACTGCAACGCGAAAGTAGTTCTTCACACATTATCTTCTACTCTTATTAGGAATTGGCGAAACCATCTATTGAAGATGCATTTAGTTTGTGTGTTCAAAAAGGAGCAAAGCGAATTATCGTGAGCCCGTTTTTCCTATCCCCTGGTCGACATTGGACACAGGTACCCATAACAATATCTATTCGGATGCAACATTCATCTCAATCCAAGTCATGGATGTGTGGGAAAATCAGCAGCTGTGATGTTTGCTATTTGAATTTTTCAGGATATACCCTCCTTAGCAGCTGCAGCAGCCAAGGAACATCCGGGTGTCTCATATTTAGTTACAGCTCCTCTGGGCTTACATGAATTGCTCGTGGTTAGACATTGTTCATTCAATTTTGCTATCTTCTTATATTCCCATTTAGTTTTCCGATGTTCTAATGTCATACCTTGACTAATTAAAAACTGTTAGGATTTGTTGACATGCATTCTAATTGATAAATCATATAATAGGATGTTATGAACGACAGAATTACACATTGCTTAAGCCATGTTTCTGGAGATGCAGAGGAGTGTTTAGTTTGTGCTGGAACAGGAAAATGTCAACTGTATGGATGACATGATAGGACTTTCAGACCTCAATATCCGTGACAACACTTGTATCTTTGGGTTGAAGAGCTGGAGATCTAGTATATGCAGCTCGTATCATATTATCTTCCGCGTGTATCTTTTAGCTTTAATTTTGAAGAGCGAAGACAAAGCCATGCTTAGCTCATGGGGAAACTACCAATAATGGACCTGACAACTTGCATTTGTAGTTGGGAGCAATATTTAAGAAGTATTGGTGCTGCTTGGTAGTTTCTTTCCCTGCTAGTTTCACGCTCTTCTTCCGCCACCTTTGTAATTCCTCTGTAATTTCCTCTTGTATGTGTTGTTTAATTGTAAGTGGTTCTATTTTGATTAATTGTACACATTCTGCAATGAAGTACTATATCTCTTGCAGGATGTTAATCTTCAGGATCATTACTTTGTGTCTTTGTACAATCAGTGTCTAACTAAATATCAAGCATCAAAGTGCCTGAATAAGTGCTGCGTTTACTAATCTTACATTTTCTATGGCATCATTAGTAACATATGGTTGTTATAGACAATACTAACTTTGTGGACAGCTGTTTATTTAATGAAAATCTCTCTAGCTTGTCTCTGCCAGAGTTCACTTCTTGACCATTCTCTGGAGCATCCTTTTTTCTCTTGATTGAAGAATATACTCCCCCCGTCCCATAATTATTGTCCAGTTTGGGTTTTCATTTATGGTTCAAATTGTACTAAAAGTGAAATCTCAAACTGAACAATAATTTTGAGACATGGAGTATATGTATTACCCTTCCTTTTGGTTGTTCAGCTTCTTCTTGAAAATTTTAAGAAGTCTTGGGAATAATTAGGGAAATGCAGTCATAAGTCATAACGAAGGGTTACGGAGCCCTCAGGCTGTGGCTTGAAGAGAGTTGCCTGAAACAAATCATTTTCAGGCCTCAGGATATTAGTCCGATAAGAGTAAGACTACCCGGAAATGTTTGCCTGAAAGAAATCATTTTCAGGCCTTCAAGTCGTCAATAATTATCATTGGGATAAAAAAGTATTTATAAAAAATCCACAAACCCGGTCGTGAAATATGAGGCCTTGACGCAATGGCAAATTACTTATTGTAATAATTTAGAGCAATGTCTTTTTATCTTTTCATCAAAAAGATAATTATAAAGCATACGAACCAAAAGAAAATGTGATAAACATACAGATGAATGGTTATTATTATTATTTTTTTTTAATTTTCTTAAAATATCGATAATATAAACCAAAAAATAATAGTGATGATATCTTCCATATATATGTGATGAATATTACTGATCGTAACTTATTGTCGTCGGAGAAAATATTTTGAAGGATTAAAAAAGAGTATAATAATTTCCCGAAAATAGGGAGAGTAAATATTCTTTTATTTAGATTTTTTTTTTTTTTTGAAAAGAAAAAAAGCCATGGTTTATTATTTTGGAGAATTCCAGAGTTGAGATTGGGCCTAGGGAGTATCCGGAGTGAAAAGTCCAATTTTGTTTAAAGAGTATAGCCCAGTGTCGAATTGAAAAATCTCATAAACCCACACAATGAATCTGATCCGACCAGTAGTTTATATGGCCTCATCCTCACCGTTGATTAATCAGCTATAAGTATCTTATCCCCGTTTAGGGTTTCCTTTTCACCTTCTGAAGAACGAAGAAGAGCTTACGCCCACCAGCTCCCGCAGAGATCCAGCGGAACCCTCTTTCTTCATCGAAAAGGTGCCGATTTCTGCTTTCTCGAAATCCCAGTATTCATTTCTGCTTTTATTCTTCTTTTGCGGCGTCGTTTTGTTGAATTGTCGGAATTACTGGTTGAATGTGGAAGACAAATTCCATCTCCCCTATGGTTCTGTTCATTACTTTGATTATCCTTCTTCTGTGTTAATGGATTATGTGTCTTCTTTGATTAGTTTGCTTTCGAATGGACTGTTACGTAGGATTTTCCGGTTGTCGGAGTGTCTGTATATCGTAGTAGTTTTTTGCTGCATTGTTCTTTTGAGTTTTCAAATATGTAATTGCTTGGAAGTGTTTTTTATTTGGGAAGTTTTCAAATATCTTTGTTTTGCTTTTGATATCCAGGATGTATTTTTATGATCCAAATATTCAGTACTCGGCATACATTAGTTAAGAAATGGCCCACTTGTGCTTCTGTGAATGCCATGTAGATACACTGTTATGTTGTACTTGTGGTGGTTTTGTGATTGATTGTTACTTTATAATCTGTTCCTGATCTTTCTTTTATCATTTTTGAAATAGATCTCTGAAGATGTTTACGTCCAGGAAGAAGATTCACAAGGATAAGGATGCTGAACCCACAGAATTTGAAGAGTCTGTGGCACAGGTAACATGATTTCTGGTTAAAATAGGGTTTTTTTTTGTGCTTATCCTGTTGAAAGTGGATGAAGTGCTTATCATTCTAAAGTGTTTTTTTCCCCTTACAGGCCTTGTTTGATTTGGAAAATACCAACCAAGAGCTCAAAAGTGACCTGAAGGATCTCTACATCAATTCAGCAGTGTAAGAATAGTTTAAATAGACTGTTTTGGACACATTTACTTGCCTGTTGAATGATTTTCGAAGTCTGATGCTGGATTCCTCCACTCCCTCTTTCTGTTTGCAGTCAAATCGACGTCTCTGGTGGCAGGAAGGCTGTTGTTATTCATGTTCCTTACCGTCTCAGAAAAGCTTTCCGCAAGATTCATGTTAGGCTTGTCCGGGAGCTTGAGAAGAAATTCAGTGGAAAGGTAGCCACATTTTTGTCTAGTTTTAGTATTCAGTTCATTTTGCGTTAGACTATCTATCTGTTGTGATGTCACCTCTTTCATTGTTTAGAAGCATGTTGACTTCTTCTTGTATTGCATTGTGTTCAGATTGGAACCTTCTTCTATGCTTTCTGTTTTTCTGTGGAGTTTTACGTAGTATGTTTATAGTGTAAACTTGGGTCTTCAGCATGGGAAGTTTGTTATTATCGTAGCTACTTTTGTATTTCCCTTGATGAATGAGATGTAGCTATGATGATGAATGTTAACCCAGCTCATTATGAGACCTTTTGGTCTAGGAAATGAACTGTTCTAACATCTTTTCTGAGCGTTTCGGACCACCAGCTTGCTGGTTCTTGCCACAGTTTTTTTAATGTGATTCAATTGAGGTTGGAGTCTTTCTTGCACCTGTCAGACTATATTTCATAATTGCTTGCGTATGAGTGTTATTTCCTGTTTATGCATAGAATCGTAGCAAGTATATGTTTTTCTTTTCTTCCCCACTGTGGTGAGTAATGTTGTGCTTATGTCAACCACAATGAACATCTTAGAACTTCAGTTATTTCTCGAGGTTGATTCTAACTTTTGGTTGCAAATTGTGACTTTTAGGATGTGATTCTGATTGCTACAAGGAGGATTTTGCGTCCCCCAAAGAAGGGTTCTGCTGTTCAAAGACCACGCACCCGAACACTTACCGCTGTGCATGACGCCATCCTTGAAGATGTTGTCGTTCCGGCTGAGATTGTTGGAAAGCGTGTTAGATATCGTATTGATGGATCCAAGATAATGAAGGTATGGCCTATAAAGCTTTTGAAGTTCTGTTGTTTAGTTTTGCTTCTTTTGTGTCTCTTTCTATGAAGGATTGCATCTCTTCAATGTGCTTACTTTAAAAAACAAGCATCAAATTTCAGTCAGTTGCCCGTTTTACCCACTAAAATATTGTGCAGCATTTGTGTTTTTAGTTCTGTTGGGATGGTTTAAATTAGAATTTGCTTTGTGAGATTCCAATTATTGAATTTGGAATACTTGTCGTGACTTTTTTCACTTTTGCCAGGTTTTCTTGGATCCCAAGGAAAGAAACAACACCGAGTACAAGCTAGAAACCTTTGCTGCTGTTTACAGAAAGCTTGCAGGGAAAGATGTTGTGTTCGAGTACCCTATGACAGAGGCTTGAAAATGTATTAGTATTAGATCTGCGCAAAAGTCTTTGTGATCAATGCTTGTTACAGTTGGTTCAAACCATTTAAATTTTGGTATTTTAATTTAAGTTTCAAGTAGGCAATTGAACGCTAGATACTTGCCATGAAGTTTTTGTGATATTCTATTAAGAAATTCTGAATCTTGGGAGCCCTTCTGCCTCTTCTCATCACTTATTTTTGTTGGTTAGATGGATTTCATGATTTTCTTTTCATGATTTTCTTTTGTAAACTCGTATGTCAACTTAATGCACTTGGCTGGATTAGAGCCTATATTTTAGGAGAAAAGGAATTTCTATATGGGAGTTGACATTAAAGAAGCCAAGTGGTTTATAGTGAAAGAACAAGTTAGGAATCAAACTGCATAGCTTTCAAGTTCATTGTCCGTAAGAGACTGGAGAATCATTCTGGAGGATTAGTTGGATACTTATATGTGAAATTGACTTCATGAAGTATGTTAATCTTGTGAAATTGACTTAATGAAGTACCTTAATCTTGCCTGTTTCGAATACTTTTGGTTGCATAAATCCGGACCCTTAATCAGCGTTAATGTTCAACAGTTAAACCAAAGAAAATGTAATCCGATGACCAAACCATTTAAAAGGGATGAATGACAAGCTTAATTTAATTGTTTTAAATGCTAGCTAGTGGATATAGGCATAGAGCTGAAAGCCTGAAACAGAAGGTGAATGATTTGATCTTGAATCAGTCTTACAGGTGAGCATTTCCACCAAAGAAATAAACTAACTAAATAAAAAAAAGGTGGGAGGAATATGCAACTGCAACAAGTAGACTTATAATAGTTTAAGACCAAAGTCTACTAACCAATAATTATCTCCTAACTCATAAGAACAAGTCCGAGCAGGACCTCATTGCAGACAAGCCTCCTTTATTCTCCTCTGTGTAAGTCTAAACACTTGGTCATCCAGAGGAACATAACCATTATAATCTGCCCTGTTTAGAAAATGGCAAGCCCGAGAATGGGCACTGGTGGTTGTTCGAGGTCAGGTTGGTTCAGATTTCGCTACGACGAAGATCAAGAAACTCCAACTGACACAAGAAACGTATTACTCATTGTGGTGGCGTTGATCGCGGCCGTGACATTTCAAGCTGGGGTGAATCCTCCAGGCGGTGTTTGGCAAGATAATGCAGGTGGTCACAAGGCAGGAAGGGCTATTTACGCGGATCAGAAACCGGCGTTTTATGTGTTCCTGATAGCAAACACTTTAGCACTTTCAACAGCAATACTCATCCTCATTTCACTAACTTACAAATTCCCTTTCAACCTTGAAATATGGATCGCAACGTTGTCCATGTTTGCAACTTATGCTTCGGCCATTTTCGCCATTGCGCCCGATGAATCCATTAGGTTTCGCTACGTGTTGTGTGCTGCTGGAGTGCCTTTCGGGATTCAGATGATGAAGAAGCTTTATCAGTGGAGCATGAGATCCAAGTGATAAGTGATCCGAGGAAGGAATGAATATGATCTTTGGCGCGTACTTTGAACTGTGATGTATTTATGAATCTGTAAAAGCTTACTAAGCTGTCTGCAAATTGTTTTACACTTCAATTTTACTAGTGTAATATGGGAATTTCCGACCATTTTCCTTTTGCAATACATCTTGTTAGATATGTATATTGTTTCCAATGGAGTAATCACTATTGATTCTTCTAATCCTAATATTAATCTTTTTTTTTTCTTCGTACAATGAAAGAGACAAAAGTCTAATGACTAGATAAATACTTTTCGGGGATAAGCAGTCCCTATAATATCATGCTCCAGTCACGGTTTGACTTTCGGCAGTGGAACTTCTAATCGGTAATTTCCCTGGACACTGGACTGCTAAAGATGTTAAATAATTCGCAACAAAGTTTGCTTCTTGAAACTCATGTTTCAGCTCAATCTCCCAATCGTGACTTAACAAATCTCGAATGCCATACACAATTCCTGCATTCAAGCCAACAACATCATTGGAACGGAAACATGGCTCAATAAATTACGAAATCATTGGACTTCTCTAATGGTTGATAATTTGTTTGTCCACCTCTCAATTATTGTGCAATATCACCTCTCAAATTTTATGAAATTCTGAACTATACTTCAGTTATTAGCAACAAAGGACTTTACTAGCAAATTTTATCGGGCTTTGGCTGTTCATCCACCAGTGATACCGGCCCATTTGTAAACGTATTTGTTGTTTTGGCCCGTACTGATGCTGCAATAAGCTTTCACCATTTTCCACATTTGATCCCCTAACTTACTGATTCTCTTACAACTTCTCCATAGTTTTTCAGCCCCATTAAATCAAAGAAATTCCTATTCATTCGGCAAAATCTTTACTCTTTCGAATTGGAATATCCTTCAAAACCCTCTATGAAGCAAAGTTCCCCTTGTTGAATCATTCTCTCCATAAGCATGTTATAAACTATAATCGCTCCTTTTGTTCTTCGATGAGTTTTAAGAAACATGTAACTTAGCATTAGAATGACCTTAAATTGTAATCTCCTTCAAACTGTAAAAATTATCCACATAAAAATTGTGATCCGGCTGGTCAAAGAAGGACAATTATACTCCCTCCGTTCCTTTATTATAGGCCATTTCGATTTGTTTTAAGTTTTATTTAGTATTTTTTTCCAATCGAAAAAAAAACCTTAAAAACATTTCCTAATAACTAAGAGAACACAATGAATGTAAGAATGTAGTTTTAAGGTTTTTATTTTTCCTTTCAATCGAAAAAATATACTGAGTGAAACTTAGGAAAATTAAAATGTCTTATAATAAAGATAGAAGGGAATAGTTTATTATGGATTTCAAAGGGCCGATTTCTGCTTTCTCCAAACTTTTGGGGGAAGGGTAGTTGCAGAAGCAAAAGCAATCAATCCAACAAAAATTGGGTGAGAACTATATAAAATTTAAAAAGGGAAAATTCATTCATTATTACTTAAAAGCTGAAAATGGTCCCCAGTTGACATTAAAAACGAGATTCCTTTGAATTTCTCCACAGAAACTGCCCGAACATATTAATTACCAACAAAGAGAAGAAAAGGAAAAAGCAGGAAGAGCATATGAGCCAAATTACATGACTTCCAACTTCCCATAAACCAATTAGACAACATTCTTCAGATCATTTCAGGCTGTCAGCAAGGAAAAACCCCTTATTCTGTGCAAAACAAAGAAAAGAAATGACGTTTTGAATCAGTATAGTTCAGTACTGGATCCACAGTTTCCAGATCAAGCATAATTTTTAAAAAAAGAGACCCTCTTTTTCCCCCCATCAGCTATATAGTGACTGTGTCCCTCTCAATACAAAGCTGGTGTGTGAGTGTGTGTTTTTGTGTAAGTAAGGCACATGCTCAACTAGTTGATGATTGCACATGTTACATGTTCCCACACCGCACCAGAATCCATACCTTCTTACAACTGTCAACTGGCTTTCGCTTGTCTTCACCACCCACCCTTAAAAATCAACACCACCAGCAGTTATTCCAAGAGTCTAAGGATTTGAATTGATCCTTGTAATGTCGTCTTGGCGGTCCATAATTTCATTCTCGTGACAAACAAAATCGATGAACTTACACTAATAGCTAAGTGAACAATATTACCATTTCACGTACGTGCATTTAGGTGCACAACATCCTTAACTAAGTCATTCTCTGTCTTAAAATTATTGTTCAGTTTAGATTTTCACTTTATTTTAATTTTTATTAAAATGATAATTTAAATTGGACAATAATTTCGAGACGGAAAGAGTAAAACTGTACGGAAAAATGAGTAAGTCTAATATCCTTTAAAAAGAAAAAAAAAAGAAAGAACGAACGAAAGAAAAGAAAGAACGAAAAGGAAAAGAACACTATTTGTCTCCACAGTCCCCCATGGCCACACCTGCATACCCAGTTGCCCATGATGTCCCCAACCGATGGAGGTCCTTTCACCATTCATGTCCCTTTCCAGATTGGGCCTCCAGCAATGAACTTTTGCCAGCCTGTGATTTTTTTTAATCTTTTTTTTTTCCCGATTTCGTGACTTCCTTCAAAACAAAAATAGCATCTTTTCTAGTACTGTAATTTTCAAACAATGTTATTAGTAATTTACAACTCACACTGATCTCAATTCCTAATTGGGATTGAAAGCAGAGTATTCTCTCCTATTCATATACAATAAGCGAGACAGATAATGCGTAGCAAATCAAAATAAGTTGTAATGAGAACGAATTACCATGGCGAGACACAGAATTAACACCCAACTGTACATGCCTTTTTGATCCAATTTAAAAATAGATCAGATTAATACAGGGCAAAATACCAGGAAAAGCAGAACACATTCGATCGAGATGGAGTTTTTAGCTAAAAACATAACAATAAAACTAATTCTAGCCTAACTATAGCAAGAAAAAAAAAAAAAAAGAAACTGGAAAACAAAAACTTAATCAAACAGCTAGTTGCTGTTGCTGTTGTTGTTGTTGATGGGATGAATCATCTTCGTTGAAACACAAGTACTGCATCTTTTTTGATGATTTTCCAGGGTGGTACATTGTGGATGATTCTTCCTGGTTATTATTATTCATGGAAGGAAAAGGCTGCATTAGCATTTCCCGCTGGAGATAAGAACAGTAAGTGTAGAAAGTTGAAGGGGTGACATTCAAATGGAATCCCAGCCCAAACAAGAAATCCACTTCAAGAAAATTCATCTCTGTTGTGCTGATTCCTCCAACTTTTGCATAGTATGCATTATTGTAGTACCTGCAAAATCACAAAAAAAAATAAAAAAAATCAATTTTTAAGCACCGAATCAATAACAGAGTTAAGTACGTCAACCAAAAAAAATGCCAACTTTGTTGTCATTAAATGATCAAATAATAATAACAGTACAGAGTTAAGTACGTCAACAGTTGTGCAAACGTTGTCTTAACGTGTCGTGCAAAAATACCCCAAAAAGACATCAAATCACTTAATGGTGACTTGTGCATCTTGCTGTGCAACTCAAATGTGGATAAATTTTCATCAGAATTTAGTATGAACAGAGCCCCTGATTTTTGTGAAATTTGATTGATGTGCCCAAATTCGATACTGCAACCGACACATTTGGTCAGCTTGCTGCTTTGAAAATTTAATCTTTGGCTGTAACATCTCAGTTTCCAAATTAATACATTAAAGTTAGAGAGTAACAAAATGGTAAATCGAATCTAGCCCAGAATCTTGATTGAGAAACATAAGTAACTGAATTTCCCATAATTATCATCGAAATCCAGGTCCAAATAAACTTCTTGTATGGCTGTCTTCCAAGATGAAAACTTTACAACAATAACATACTCAATTTAAGATGGTTTTCATCAGATTCGATTTACAGAATCAAAAGGGCATAATTCAAGGCTGAAACAGATCAGAAATGTAAGTAACCAGAAACAGGGGATCACTGTGAAATTCTTCATCTATCACGAAATCAGAGCTCAATTTACACAATTTGAAGAACCCAGAAGAGGAAAGCCATAGCACCGACAACTGATCATCATCAAGCTTTGGAATTTTAATCGAGAGATAAAGAATTAACTTACATGTCATCCATGAATTTGGCAGCGACCATAACAGAGGTGATGAGGAGGCGATGAACATTCAAAGAATTGATGGGCAAAGCGGGCTGGCGTTGAGTGAATCGATCAAGGTAAATGTAAGCAACGATGAAGCAACACGGGCTGCAATTAGCGAACTTGAAAATCCGGTCAAGATAGTTCTCGATTGAGATTGTCGGCCTAGTGAGGCCATGGAAGACTGAGATTTTCTGGGTCTGTAAATGAGAATTCAGATCGTTGGATTCAGCCACTTTTTCTAACAGAGATGAGAGGAAGTTGATGAGTTTGGACATCATCCTCGGACACTCCAGCTCTGCCATCGTTAATTTCTGTTGTTTTTGGTCTCTGCTAATTTATTTTCTCTTTTTTTGCCTTGGCAGTTTGCAGCAGAGATGATGATGATGATGGCGACGATGATGGGAATAATGTTATGATGTCGAATTGTATTTATATCTGAGCTTTTCGATTTTTTAACTTGGCGTGTGACATAACAACCTGTAAGGTCAAGGTTGGTCGTTATTACAAGTTATATATTTGTTCCGGGGTAGAAGTCAAAAAGACACTATTACCCTTCAAGAATTTGAATCGCTGGTAATGATCGAGAGAGTGAATTTACGCTGTAAATATTTCAATTATATCATAAGCCAAGAAACAACGTATACACATTCTATGACATCTCCTCTCCCAAATCCATCTGAACTTAGTAAGTATTGGTTTGAGTACGTGATCTAATATAAATTTTTTTTGGTATAAATAAAGGTGGTAAAGCCTGAAAATTAATTTAATACAGAACGTTGGTACGAGATACCAACTATATCATGAAGTAACCTGGGTTTCACAACATCCAACTAGTTTGTTGCAATTGGATCTAATATAAATTTAAAATCTCAATGTTATACAAATCCAAAAATTTAAGGTAAATTTTTTGAGACAGATGTAGTATTTAGATTCTTGCATTCATAAGTGAGTTCTGTGCTGACTTGAAAAGGAGCAAATTTGAGTTGGATATGGTTTAGTGATTCTTTAAATTTAAACTTGGGTATGTAAGTCAAGAGAGGGAAACCACCAATCCAATGTGGTTTTTGTAGAACATTATGGTTAGGACTTGGAACTTTTTCTCTTACGGCATTTGATTAAAAGCTAAAAAAATTTGAAATAAAAAAGAGGCACTTTTTGATGAAAAAGTGAAAAACGGTACTAAGATTATGGACAGTAGTGATGGCACGCCATATAATTATCATGTGATTACATGTGTATTAACAGCAGTGTTTTGGGGTGAATGAGTTTTGGTTTGGTGTCCCAAACTTTTTGTGATATTTGCATGTGTCATGATTCTGATATCTGTGTGTACATGGGTTTGATTTGCTTAGTTACTACTATTTCAGTGTTGGGTGCATGATTTGTTGTCTCATATTAACTTACAGAAAATGAAATGTATGGTAAAAAGTTTATAGTAAAATGAGATAATTAATAACTCGATTCATAATTTTTGCATTTCTATATAACCTTCTCTTGTTATAATCACTTTCATTTTTCTTTTAGTAGTATTATTTGATATTCACTTTTTTATTGGTCAATTTCATATCACTATAAACTTTCAATGGTATATATTTATCACTCTAAATGTATATGATTTGAAAGTTTGGGTAATTGGATGAGGAAGAAATTGAAAACTGAGGAGACCAAAAGCTTTACATCAGAATGTCATACTCCCTTTAATTAATTCATTTAATCTTTTTTTTTTGTTTTAAAAAAAAAGAGAAAATGGGAGAAAAAGAATGTCAAATGTTTTAAGCAAAATTGTATGGAGGAAAAATGGTAGAAGACATTGATGTTTAAGAATCCATATTTTTTACTGGAATATATTATTACCACATTTATCCTACATCACCCAAAAAAAAAAAAAGAAGGACCACTTTATTAATCGAACTATTATAACATGCTAAGCTAAAGCTAGCTATCGTCCCCTCCATTTTGTCTCGTCTTGTTTCTCCCACGTCTAAACTACAACTAATATTCTTCAACAAATTAATTAATTTTACAATACTAAATACAGGCATTACATTTATTTAAATCTTTTTTGCTGGATTGGTTAAGCAGTAGTATCTTCATTCCCTGAGGATCCCGTATGGGTTATGTGCTATTTCGTACAGAAAATCATTCATGTTTGTGACTGAAGAATCATTCAATTAAAATATTAATTTGCCCCTCGACATGATCAAGTATAAAACAAGAGCTTACTGTACATATGATCGATGATAATAAGATCTTTTGATTTACTTTTTCTGTGACGACCTAGGCATATTCAATATCATTTTTTTTTCCTTAATCCAAAATTAGTAGAATCTTATATGATTTATAAATTTACATCATTAATTATATAAATTAATAAAAGGCAGAAAAAAAAAGGATCTCATTTGCTATTGGTGCCAAAGGGTATTACCTCAACTATATCATGCTTCTGTAAGTTGGCACTTACAGAAGCATGATATAGTTGAGGGAAAGTGTGTAAAAGCAAACGTGAAAAAGGAATCATGTTATTCCTTTGGAGTGAAACAAAGGCAAAGGATTTATAAGAGAACACACACACTCACATACTACATAAATTATACTCCTTCCGTCCCATAATTATTGTCCAGTTTAGATTTTCATTTTTAGTTCAAATTATACTAAAAGTGAAATTTAAACTGGACAGTAATTTTGGGACGAATGGAGTATAAAATTAAAATTTTGACGAGATTGGACATATCTTTCCACTCTTCTCCCCCTATTAGGACCATAAATAACTTATATTTTGCATTATCAAAGAGATTAATTACAGGACCCTAACTTTGATTTTTCATGAAAAAGAAATGAATGGAATCGAGGTAATGGTGGGAGTATAGAATATACTGTACTTGAGGTACTCAACTGTGAAATGGCGCATTTTCTTTGCACACATGATTAGGGCCAGGCCTTAATTTATACGCATCATTTGTTTAATTCCCCAACTTCCAGCTTTTGCCTTTCTTCTCTCTACGTATAGATTATATATCTAAAACTCAAACTCAAGAACCTAACCTATTTTCTGGTTGATATTAATAATGCTGTTAGATTAGATGTGATGGTTCCTCTTAACTAATTTGAAGCTCGTCTGTAATTCTTGACGTACTGAATTTGATTTGCTACTGTAAGGTAGGTCCTTGATCATTATATTTGTTTTTGTATAATTAATGTAATCACATTAAATTAATTAGTATATTCTATATATACATGGTGCTGTCGGTGAGAAAATTCTTTTATTTCATACGATTATATAGGTATCGCTTAAAATGGAACAGTATGCATGACAGTGTAAACTTGTGAAAATGGCTCCTATTGGTTGATCTAACAAAAATATGCAACATATAATATTCTTATTTTGGGACGAAAGAAAGTACTTTTCTGTCTCAGGAAAATAATATAAAATTATTTTTATCAAGTGCCGAAACTGTTATCTACGGATCGGCCCGGTAAGCCATCTTCTTAACCCGAAACAGCTGGGCAGAGGAAAGGAAGTTTTGATATTTGTACTAAAAGTAATACAAATCTGAAAATTAAGAAAAATATATATTTACTTTTTGTGACTTAAAATCATTGTCTAATTTGAATTTTTATTTTTAGTGTAATTTTAGGACGGAGAGAGTGACTATCTAAAAACACACCAAAAGGATGGAAATAAATTAGTCAGGGATTTAGGAGATTTGAATGTTGAATGGGACATGATAATTGGTCGGAGTGGCATACGCTAACATCACCAGTTGTGAGGATGAGATATCAGCATCACCGACGGATTATTTTTTGGATTTGATCCCTTATTTCTGCATCAGATCTAAAATCATATTTATTTGTTCCAGTGACGGAACTAGAATTTGAATATTGCAACGGCTCAACTAAGTATAAATTATTATTTTTCTTTAATTTTATTGGAGAGACTCAGCTGAAAATTTTAACACTGACGTAACGAATTACATACTCTATTAAGAGGAAATTTCGAACTTTGCCGCCCGGAGGGTTCGCCAACCCCCGGGCCTCTATGTACATCCGCCCGATAATCCACTTCTTTTGTGCATGTCGCTGTAAATCTGGAATAGAGTTGGATTCATTTGTCTAGTTCTTAATACGTAATTAATTACTTGATAAATTAATAAATTTTATTAATATTATATTTTTCCCGGTCATGACTTACAACCCACCTAAGAAACAGAGACAAACAAACTCGATAAAATAATAAGATAATAGTTTTTACAATACTATATAAATATATGCTATGGAAAGATCACAAATTAATAATTATCTAATAAAGTATATAAAAAATAACTAGGAAAATTTATTTATTTCATTATGAATTTATTGACATTTTTATTTTTTCCCTAGAAAGTTATATCTTAGCAAGTTTAATTCATCTTGTAGATGTAACCTTAATTCTTTTTGTTGAAAAATTATTAGCATTAATCAATTATTAAATTACTGATAAAATAATGATTATTAATTCATGATTAACTATATGATATTATAAAGTTTGTGTCTCAATATTATTAATCTTGTTGAGATTAATGGTAGTTGAAAATAAAACTTTTCCAGCTACTTTTTCCTTCCTCCTAGAATCTTACTACTCTGTCTACAAAAATAAAATATAACTATACCGATTTCAAAATTCAATATAAGCTAGTATTTTTTTGGGAATAAATGAGTATATTTTATTATGGTTTCATTTAACTCTTTTATGACTAGATTTATACCTGAGCATTGCTCGATTTAAAAATAGATTACAAAAGTTACAGCATTTGTAAAAAATAAAAAAGTCCAAAATAGAAGGTGTATAAAAATGTATAAATGTAGGAATAAAAGTTGTTAATCGTCTAAATATTCAGTTTAGTTGATTTTCTTTTTTTCCGTAGAAAAAAAAAACAATTTTTTCGGGGGACTTGGAGAAATTTTTTGGTGCAATTTTTAGGGCAATTAAATGTACGTATCTTTAAGTGTGTTTTAATATTATTCGTAAAAATAAAAATTTCAAAAGATTATTTTAAATCACACTTAAGGTACACTTCCACACAATTTCATTATGTTCTTACTTTTTTCACGAAAAGAAAGAAATTAATAAAATTTACTTAGATATTCTAACAGAACTAATCTTAACTAATAAAATACATTTAGATATTCTAACAAAACTAATTCTAATCAAGTAATAACGAGATATATATACTAATTTTTCTATATAAAAAAGAAACTATAATAAAGTTATAATAATTTGGATTTTAATTTTGCAAATGGTTGTATGAATAAGACCGCCGGACAACCTTTGTGTTAAATTTCATGATCAGAAATCGCATTGTTTTCTTTATTGTGTGAATTATTTCCCTTAACAAACGTCAACATTAACGTAATACAGTAAATAATTTTAACATCAAAGCTTTATTACAAATTTAATTTAACTTAGTTATCATTTTGTTATACACTTAAATGAAAGGCGTATAGAGTGATGACATGTGATACAATAATCTTAAAAACCCTCAGGAAAGAACACTCAAAAATTGAAAACTTTACTTTTGATAAGCATAGATTGGACAAAAACTCTAAACCCTAACCATCCCTTCCAACCTTCCTACCCAACAAAAATCTCTATACCCTAACCTTCTTGTCTTTAATTCTCTTCGTAAAGGCACGAAACATCCGATCGATCATAAAATCTTATTAGATTCATCTCTCTTTGATGGCCCCGACTTTGAGGAAAAGGGACAAAACTCACGCCTCTCTCTCTCCGGCTTCAAATTCACACTCACCCAAGGTAAAAGCCCTTTCTTTATTATTCCAATTTCCAACCGTCCCAAAATAATTTTTGTTCTTGTGCTGAAATAATTAGACAAATTCAAAGTATAGTAAAATATATATTATAATGATAATCACTACCTTTCAAGTTAATTAAGTCGATTCGATTTTGGCATGCTCATCCCGCATTGTTTTGATCGCCCTAAAAAAATAAAAAGTGTTACCTGTTGTAGGGAAACAACTCAACGAACATGAATGTTATTTTTATTTATTTATTTATTTATGTTTTGTCGAAGAAGTTTTATTCGTTGGTTTATGGGTTTTTTTTTTTTTTTTGGTTTGTACTACTTTTGGGCACAAAAATCTCATATAACATGCAATTTAGTTTCATCAACCTAAAATTAATAATGTCATTTATTATACTATACAACAGTTCAACTAATATGAATTTTTATCTTGTCATTGTTCAACGAATTTTCATTCCTTTTTAATTTTCACTACTTTTGCTACGGTAACACTCGGTGAAAAATTCAGGATAAGAAGAAGCCTAAGTTAACCGAGTTGGCTAAGGAGAGCGTTAAGGGCAAGAAAAAGCCGCAGTCGACCGAGTTCACTGAGGAGACTGTTGACGCATTGCTCAATGACACTATTGACAGACGTAATTTTAAGGTCTTTACCTCTGATTCTTTTAATTATACTAACTCTTAAGAAAGTGTGTGTGCGCGTGGTTTTTTTTTTTAATTTTATTTTTACAATAAAGGAGGTAAAAGACTCGAAGTTTAAATTAGGATAATTCTGTGAATGCAAAATGTGAATCACTCTTACTGAGCGATTAGTATTGCTGCTAGCAAGTCTCTTCCTCTCTCTAATGTAGATTGAAAAATGGCTTTTCGGCTAGCTGAAAGAGAGTTCTAAACTTCTAATTTGTTTTGTTGGAATTTTGGTAGGAAAAATGTGAGAAGCTAAAGGATTGTGTCACCTATTTGCATGAACGAGAAATTATGCATCTTTCTGAGATTGAGAGTCTCAAGAAAAAACTGGCAAAGATGGAGAGTGAATCAGATGAAAAGGAAAAAGTATACAAGGTAATGATAATTTTTGTTGCCTGGTAGTTGCTGATAATGTTGTTGTGTGACCTACTAATTAAGACTAAGGTGTAGGAGTTTTGGTTTACAGGAAGCTGTGGATTTCTTGGCCGTAAAACCGGTGGTATTAGCTCTTTCTAAAAAGGCCGCAAAAGATGCGCAGCAGCTAGTGAAAATGACCGGTGATGCTCTGCAGGATATTGAAAAGATCCAGACGAAGTTGACCCATCCGGGAGCCGCCAGGGCTTCTTAGGTATGTTTGCTCATAATGGTTGGTCATTCTGATATCGCCATTTTAGATGATTGACCTTCAACTGAATCAGATGTATATCTGATATCTGTTGTGCTTCATTTGTACTTCATATCCTACTTTCCCTCATAATTTGGAAGATGGCCTTATTTCATGATCTTCTCTTGAACATCTGTGTTAATTTGTCGATTTATTGGTAACCTGTGTTCATGCAAATCATTGAAGCTGTTTATCTCTTGGTTGTGCAGGTGTGAGCGAGACCAACTTCTTTTGTGCATGTTATTACTCTCTAGTGGGATCCATTCATCCAAGATGTCGTCTTTCCTGATAGTTGAAACTAAACTAGCAATTGCACAGTACTATAATGATTCAAGAGTATGATTGATCGGTGATTCTGTTGTGTGGTTCGTTTTAGTCATTTTTAACTTGTGCCTTACAACAATGGTTTCATGGTTCTGTGTTTTGTCGTCTACAACATTCCTAAACAATTTTCTGAAACCCCCCACTAAGCATATCATTAGTCGAAATGGTTAAATACCTTCTGAACTTTAGACCTTCAACCTCGTAACTATGGTTACAATCTATCATTCATCCCAAAATCCTGGTAGTAATAAATTAGCTTTAACTTTGCAAACAGCAACCTAAGCTTTCATGATTGAAGGCATTGTTGGGAAGAAGAAAACAAAAGACAAGGGAACTAAAGCACAATGCCTTGAGCAATCAGAAAACCCATAGAGATAATACAGAAAAATAAGGGACACGACCTATTCATGAGGACAAACCCGACGCTATCAATTTTCCTTTTTTTTCTTTTTCAGGAGGGCAAATCCGAAGCTATCAAAACCTTGCAAACAATTCTATAAAATGTTTACAAGTTGCCAAAAAAATCATCCCGACTCAAAAAACAAAAGCACCATTAAGCTTATATTTGTCCCTGTGAAATGCAAATGCAAAAAATGTTCAAAAGTCTAAGAGGATATCCTTAGAATTGCATCATGAACAACTTAGCTCAGAAAGTGGCAAAGTGCTCCATTCATTGCCAATAAAACTGATGGTGAACTTCGTTCCACCAAAACTTCCTTCTGTTTGTTAACAGGGCCACCATGGTTTCTCCACAAAAGCACATACCAGATATATCATGCCATCTAGATATAGCAGACGGGTGATATCAATATGTCCACCTGCACAAACGTAACAATTCCTAGCTATTTAACCATCTAGACTGCAAGTAATTGGAAGCCTAGTTTTAACCTGCAGTCATACCCTACTTTAACTCAACTAGCTGCAGCTCCAGAAAAGCCTCCCCCAACTTTTTAAGCCATGTCCTAACTACAGATGTAAACCATTTCACAAGCTTCCCTGAAGCTGTTTGAGAAGCATTTCAGATTCATCATCATCGCCACTTTGGTCCCTCTCAAGTGTTGGTTCAACCCCAGTAAGTGTTCTGTTGAAGACATATGACATGTAAATTTCATCATCGAGGCAACCCACTTGTTTCAATATCCCCAATAAAACTTCCTTGCTTGCCATGTCATCTTCTTTCTCACAATGCATAAGAATGGAGGAAACATTTTCAATTCTAGGTCGCCAGCTCCTTGATCCTTCAGCTGAGACAGCCTTTTTTATGCAAGACAAAGCCTCAGATATTCTCTTAGCCCTGATATGGTCTTCTGCCAGAATCTCCCATGTCGTTGGATTTGCTTTTCCTCCAACCTCAATCATTTCATCAAAAAATGCTTTAGCCTTATCTGGAAAGTCATTCCTAACATAGAACCCCAATAGAAGATTCCCTATTCTAGGATCAAACATTGTCTTAACCGAAAGCCATTCTTTATAAATATTTTCAGCACCTTCAATATCACCCAACCTAACAAGAGAAGAAATCAAAGAATGGTAACCCAAATTCGGTATTCTGGAAAAGAGGGATTTGTATACATTCCAGACGCGATATACTTCCTCCTTTTTCCCTAGCGTACCGTAAAGACTCATCAAATAATGATAAGGAATGCGATCCCTGCCAGTAAGTCTGCCCTCAACATTCTTCAGAGCACCGAAAGCCTTTTCCATCTCCCCAAGCCTAATGTACACTGTAGCCATCGTGCTGTATGTTGTCCAGTTGGGAATGATGGTTGTGTCCAGCTTCATTTTTTCCAAGACCTGTTCCATTTTCTCTACAGATCCTTGGGCGCCACATGACGACATCCAAATATTATAGGAGTATATGTCCAATTTTATATTTTTCTCCATCATTTCCGAAATCATTAATTCAACCTTCTCATACTCTTTAAAATTCAGATAGAGCGTCATTATAACATTATAGGGCAGTGACATGGAAGCGTAACCTCTAATCCTCAATTCATCCATCAAGGATTCAGCTTCTTCCCTCTTTTTAGCATGCACATAAGCATTCAAAAGGGCACCATACACGCGTTTATCCTTTAGGGAATCTGGCAACTTCTGGAAGTATTCTTCGGCACTTGAAATACCACGTACCTTCGCGATGAGGTCCAGCTGGATAGCAGTGTCACTGGTGGTTACTCTATACCTCTCTGACCTGTTGTTCATCCACTCATAGACCTATAGAATACAAAGCCATAATATTTAAACTTGAAAAGAACATAACAGGAAAACAGAGCAAATGGGTTCTAAATGAATTCCTTAAATCCATGTGAGCATTACACAAACATAAGAATACACATGCTCGTGGCGCTACTGCCGTAGCATGATATTCAAAGTATAACAGCCAGGGCTAAACGATATGATCAAAGCTTCCTCCTTTACATTCATGCAGAATTTCAACAACCATTACAGAAATTCCAGGGAATGCTTAAAACAGTAACAACATTACACATTAGCAGATATTAGCACCAAACGAAACCACGATCATTTCAATAAACACGAAACGCCAAAGAAACAACAAAATACAAGAGAAGCTAATAACATAAGGCCTTTGCATATCCAAAACCTTACAGAAAATCAAATATCTGAAGGATTTGATTACCTCAAGGGCAAGCTTGAAACGCTTGAATTTTCTGAGCTCCTTAATAACTCTAGAAAGGTCCCACTTGGACAACCGATTCCCATCAATTTCCCACTGATTCAACACAGCAGCGGAGCCCTTATTCGGATCCTCCAAATTAAGTATCCTCTTGTAGACAATGCTCCATTTCGCCCCGGGCCTTTTCTCGAAATCAACTGTCCCATAACTATGCACCTGTGTGTGAGAGATTCGGCATGTAAAGACTACATCTTTATTGGTCCTAATGGGTTTAACACCGGCTGAATTGCACAACCCAGATGGAATAGAGACTGAATAAGAGAAATTTGATGAAATGGGCACGTTGTTGTTCTGCCCATTGTTGCGCAGATTCAGAGGAGGTTTTGAGGTTGTGGGTTGCAGCAGCATCTTTGGCGGCGGACTGATGCTATGAAGGCAGAAGAACTGAAAATGAAGCTCAGTGGTTTTGGGAATTGGGGAGCGGGTCCTTGGTGATTTTGGGCTCACTTTTTGGAAGAAGAAAGAACTCAAAGATAAGAAAAACGGAGATAACACAGTCGTTGCAAAAGGGTTTTACTTTTGCCTCTTAACTACTTGATTGTTTCCAAATGACCCCAAAACTATCCACTTTGTGCAAGAAGGCCCTTTCAATCTACTCCTTCCGTCCCGAAATTATTGTCTAGTTTGTATTTTTATTTTTAATTTAAATTATATTAATAAAAATAAAATATTAAATTGAAAAATAATTTTAGGATAAAAGAGTATTTTTTTTGAGCTCAGTAGATTGGTAATAACAAGCAAATTGTAGATCCTAAAATTTTCTTGATGAAATTATGGAACTCTATAAACATACTGTTTTTTTTTTCCCCTAGAACGAGGTGTCCCATTTTATGTTTTATACTACTTTATAATCGATCTATTTTTAAGAATGTGATTTTGAGTGTTAGACTAAATAGTCAACCTATAATTTGTATTTCACCAAAAAAAAAAAACTACAAAATTATAAATTGCCAAGTATTTCTCCATCAATATGAAAAAAATGAATATTTTGAGTAGAGTATCATTGCTCATATTATAATATTTCAAATTCATTTGATCAAATACTAACATTACAGGATCAAGCTTTAGCCTAAGATTAAAAAAAGAAGTTGCTTTTTTGTGTCAAAAAATTACACACAAATAAATGACTTTCAGACTTGACAAAATGCATAAAGTAGTGATACATATTGTTGTACAAAAGCACAATATTCTTCTTATTCAAGACAAGATATTATAACTTTCAGATGCTTCATCAGACTGAAGAAGAATCAACAGCATCACCAAGAAGCGTAAATGCAACAGTCTCCCCAGCAGGAGTATGATAAGTAGTCTTACTATTATTATTATCATCCTCCTTCACTAAGGTGGCTATTTCATCATTTTTGTTGGTACCAAAATTGAGTTCCTCCCTCCATAATGTTGCATGAAACAAAATGACCGGAATCGCTGAGACCAAAACGATCAGGAGATGCAAACCGGCTTTGGTAACGATCATCAAGACGCCGGCTGTAACGCACAGAGCAAACAGAACCAAGAACTTGAAGACGCTGTGGTTCAGAAAGAGCGACTTAGGCAGGCAGCGAAGGAAAATCAGGTACAGGAAACCGATTTCTTTGATGCCCGCCAAGATAGTAAGCGAGACTTTACGCGCTGGGATGAGGGTAATGAAGAGGACCACATAGACAAACAGCAAGTAGCACAGGCCGAAAGAAACCATGTTTTTGACGATCCTGATGGCGGCTTTTTCTGGAGTGGATGGGATGCTCAAAGGGAAAGTGAAATTGAAGGTGTATGATGATGATGAATCAGGGTGTTTCTGATGAGCGGATTTCATGGTTGAATCTTGTTCCTTCTCGTAAACTGTCATTTTGGAGGTAGAGGAGGATGATGGCCTCTGTACTGGACCGAAATTAGGAGGCATGAAGAGATTAATTTGTGTGGAGAAACACCTTTGAGAATGCATGAATTCTATAAAGCGGAATGATAAACAGGTTCAAGTCATTTGATGAGACGACTTGTTGGACGAATTAATCAAAGTCAATGAATGATCGTATCCAGCACGTAAATATAAGAAAATTGGTTGCCTTCCAGAATGAAGACCCAGTCACCAACCAATCCAAGGATTTGATTTTTCTCTTTTAATTTTTCTAAAGTTTTTACATGAACATATTATGCATCATGACCCTGACGTCTTTTAACTGTATCTTGTGCAAAAAGAATTTTACACATTTGACAATTGTACTATGTACTAACACGCCGATAACTAAACTTGGCTTTTGAGTTAAGTGAGAGAAATCTCAGTCGCATGCCTTGTAAGTTCTTGACTACAGTCTCTGAAGTCTAAACCTAGCATCCAGTCCATTGCTTTTGCATAATCTCATGGTTTTTCGTGTTTCCATGAACATACACTTTCGGCTCCTTAACCTGCGAATCATACAAAAAGAACAATTAACACACTGAAACAATGCTTCCAAACCACAACAAGGGGAAGCCATCGGCCTTTTTACCAGTGATATGGGAGGAAAACCACGGCGAAGCTTTGCTCTGGAAAATCCCTTCTCTGAAAATAGACACCGGAAACCAGGGATATTTGGATGTTCACTGTGTTTTACCATTAGCCGAGACCACACCAAAGTATTAGTGAAGAAGAAAATATCTAATTAAGTAAATTAACACATGAAAAAGCTAGCACTGCCGTTAAAAATGAACTCAGAAGTTAAATTAGTCTTCGTTTCCCAGAACCAAAATTCAAAAGCATATCAGAACCAAGGAAAAAAAAATTTCTGAAGACAACGATGAGGCAAATTTTATACTTTCAGGAAGATTCATTAATTTCTCTAAACACGATCCTCTTCAATAGGCCTAGGAAATCTATTGGTGCTTCTCCATGTTGTTGCATCTAATATCATCTTTCATTAGTTAATAGTATCGTTCCAATATATTATAACATATATAATTCCTCTAGGGGAATATGATAACTGGAGTCGAATAGATACCGATGATGAGTGACAACCTGATTTCTCTGATGACCATTTCACTTGGGAACATTCAAATGATAACAGACTAGTGTACAAGAACTTAACTAATGTCTACTCCTATGGCATATTTATTCACAGTATGAAGAAACACTCTTAACACAGGTGCAGTCTCATTTCAAGAATAGTAGAAGACTGTTTATTAGCTGCTTTTGGACGGAAAAAAAAAAAGAAAAAAAAGCACAACAAAAGAATGAAGTTGGCGGACGTGAAGCTTACTTTACAAGATACGAGAAATTTCTTTTCTGCAATTCCTGCAGAGGAATTCCTTCTTCTTTCGAGTATCTGCAAATAAAACAGTGACGTGTTAACAGCCCAGAGAGAATGGCAGGAAATAGAAAGCCATCAAAATAAAAGCCACACACATTAATGATTTATGTTTAAACCATCATAGTGGTAAAGAAATGAAAGTGGACTGTCTTTTAGAGATACATTGTTACGATGCTTTTGGAGAGTTGCAACATGCTTGGGTTGAAGAAGGCAAAGCTTGTACATAATGAATAAAACCGAACAAGTATTTATAATTCGTACCTCCAAGGATGGTCATTCTCACAAAAGCGGGAGATTCCATTCATGGCAGATAAAGTGTCAATATGCACCCATACTTCAGTAGCATTCTTTGTCAAGATACCTATGAATGCCATGTCAAGAATTACTTCCAGCAATGACTCCAGTGAAGAAAAAGCAGCGACAAATCTTTATCAACTCAAAATAAGAAATTGATATCGTTTTCAAAACAAAACCATCTAGAGTACACTAACACAGAGGTGAAATCCTCCTCGACCAAGATCATCATATAAAGGGACGTTCGACGAGAAAGCATGAAGTTTTCACAATAAAGAACAGATCTTTTTAGTTCCTGAACACATTGTTTCTGCAGTTTTATTTTCCATATGAAAGCAGTTCACTGTCAAATTTCTAGGCCCAAAGTTCACTTCTACAGTCTCATTATCTAGTAATGGACTTTTTCATAAATGCAAGACAAAGCCAGTAAACACTCAGCTTATTTGCATTGTTTTACAGGCTAACAACTGACGCACAATGGTTTTTTATAATTATTCCAGCGCAAGGAAAAAGTACTAACCTGTCCTGTGTAAAGTCTTCAGTGCATAACCGCTGGGATAATTCTCATAGGATGCAATAAACATCATGGCTGTACATCCTAGACTGTGAAATCATGATGAACGTACATAAGAAAAACTGGTTAAGAAACTATCTAATAGAAAAGGTTACAAAAACATTTCATACCTAACCAAGAGTGAACCTAACATGGCAACATTAAGAAATTTCCAGAAGCCCTTCTTCCTGTTGTTATATCTGAAATATAAATTAAAACAGAGGAAATCAGCAAATGAAGGGGAAAGCAAGACAGAATGTAAGTATTTTTATTTTTCCTTTTAGCATGATACAAGTATATCAAATAATGGGAAAATGAGAAAAGAAAAGAGGGGAAGGAAAATTAACAGACAGCAGATAGTTTTAGTACAGTGTCTGGTAAACTTAATTTCCGCCATAAGTCCACGGAGCAAGAAAATTTTGCATCAAGAAGACAAAGCACCTTTCTAATTGAAATTACTTAGTGAAAAAAAGGTATCTTTGACATTCTTGCAGAGGTTTTTGAGATGGCACTAGGTAACAGGTATGTCGTTTTATCCCGGAAATTTTCTTTCCCAGAAACTAGTTTGGGAGCCAAGTAAACCAACTTTGAGATATTAGAACTTTATCAACACTGGCCTCCTTATGCTTGAATGTGAAGACAGTGCGACCCAAGAGGCATTGGTGCAGTTGATGTATTGATTTCCGGCAACTTCACCAAAATTAAGAAACACCAGAACTGAAATGAGCCACTTTAATCTAGTCCATTATTAGCACAAAGCTGAAAGAATTGTCAATAATGACTCTTCCAGCTCCATTTCCAATGACGTATGGAGATCAATAACTGTGAAATAAAATCTGATATGTGCAGTACAGGCAACGCACATTATGAAACACAATTCTAACAGCGTCAAGGAAAGAATATTTAGCAAGCTCAAAGAGAGTTTCTTTCAGAAATGAGAAAACAACTGCTAACCTCCATAGGATCAACCAGTAGGCATTCAAAAAATAAGTCAACACTGACTAACCGGACCCCAATATTACAGGGATCAGGCATTAAAGCATCTCCCTTCCAAATTCAAAAAAAAAAAACCTCTATAGCTCCAGGATTTCATTTTTTCTGGTATAGCAACAACTGGGCAAAAAAAAAAAAACAATGGGCAAAAGGACAGACACTACCATTCAGAACTCTACGACTCCCAACAAATTCCAGGACTCGGAATTCATGCATTGCAAGACTAATTTATAAATAAAACTGAAACGGATAAAACATTACTGCCACCAGTCTGAAAAATCTCAGCAATGTCAAAGAGAGCTACTTACATCCTGCTAGCAGCAACTGCTGCAGCCATATTGAAGATAGGAAGGGAACTAATAATAAATCGAAGTTCCTGACAAAGTAAGAAAACTCATCTCAAAACTTCAGACAGCTCCATCAATATCAATCAAATAGATCACTCATCAAGAAGGGTGCACAATACCTTATGGGGAAGCTTTGAGTAAAGAAGAACAAATGAGAGAACGGGAACAATGTAGAAGACAGTCCTTCTATCAAGGAAGACTCCTAGCTGAAACGCCAAAATACACGTGCATTAAATGAAAGACATTGCAACCTTATTTTGATGGAATAAACATATTCTGAAGTTATCGATGCAGAAAATCAAGATTACATCTTAAAGAAGATGAACCTCATCACCAGGTTCCTTCCCTAATCGAGCAAAGACCAGGAACCAAAATTAGAGATAATATACTTTAAACTTTAACTCACCAAAAAGAGTGGATACGAGGAAAGCAAGGAACGGGGCAGTGCTGAAGTCCAGTACCAGTGAAATGGATGTGTCTGGAGAGATAGAATTAAGGACAGCAGGAAGTGATGGAAGACTCAACAAAGCTATCAATTCTCAAAGTTATGCAGAGAGGATCCAAGGAGAATAAAAAGCAAAAACTGAAGAGATTGATCAACTCATGCAGCAACCATGTGATTTTTTAAGCAATAACATAAATCCCATATGATTTTTTAACCACGTGATTTAGCAATTGTCAAACATAAGTATTACAAAGGCAGGGCTCAGACAACAATTCATATTTATTGACCAAGCAGGTTTTAATGGAACAGAAAGTGATTGCATCACTAAAACTCGGTCACATTGATATAAAATCACGAGTCTATGTTATCTATAAGAAGGTTGAGACCCACAGAAAAAAATAAAAAGGATTACTCGTTTAGAAACACACAGAATTGGAAAATAAAAACTTTTGTATCAGATGAGACTAACAAGGGAATGGCCACAAATGCTCAGGAAATCTGTGGATGCTGAAAATATAAAGTAATTAAAAAGAGATTCAATATAGCTAGCAAAGAATAATGTTTCACATGGAATCTTGACGGAGTCATCAGCACTGTGTCCAGATTGTAATGATGATGACATTCATCTTTATGATACATTAGCGGAATTCCATTTCTTATGAGGGAAAATTAACTGATAAAAAACAACATTCACCAACAAAACCTCCAAATGTAGAAACTTATAGACTCGTCGAAACCGCATAATGCAATATGGAGTGGGAGAAAAATCCTTAATCATGTAAAACTTGGATAAGACCAAAGCACAAAATACAGATTCAAGCTTTGAGAACAGAAGGTTGTCTTACCAACAAAAACATGTAAAAAGTGAAAACATCAGAGCATTAAAAAATTTGAAATAAAAAGATACACCCCATTCAGAACTCTTGTTCAAGACAGAGTTGAACCAGAAAACTTCAAATTCTGGCCACATCAATTTCCTCCACATAATCGAATCAACCAGCACAGTGAGACCTACAAGACAGATACAACATAAATGCGTACACCAAAGGCACTAATTTTACAAACAAGTACAATGACATACAGACTTAGCAGTGACAGAAAATTCGATGGTGTTCTTTTAGACACCACAACAGAAAAATAAAATATAAAATTTTATCACATACCTATGCACAACAAAGTAGTCCCAATGCAGGTCCTTACTGCCTTCCAGAACGAAATGGATTTTGTCTGCATTTACGCAAAAGTGTTATTAGGAGCAGGAAATAACAGTAAGCTAACGGAGTTGAAGAACATACATGAAACAAACAAATTATCAGGAAGTTAGGTCACCATCTCATTATCACATAGAAGTTCCAACACTAATGATTGCTAGATCACACATTCGATTGTCCAACTCATACAACTAGGGAGGAATACCAAAAAAGAACTGAAAAAGAAACTACTAAAATCTAATGGAGAATGTATGTACTGATAAAGCATGTCACCAACATATGACCTATATGGCTGGACACACATAGTGGAATTATGTTCTCATTCTTATTTCAAGTAATCTATAGAAGTCACACAAATCTAAAGATTCCATTGGCTAGTCAAAGCTCACGGGAAGGTATGATGGTTACCAGCAATAGCTCCAGTCCAAGAGGAGAAATCAGTAGCAGCATATCGCATCTGAAAATAAGTGTAGCAAATATCTGATCACAAGAAAATAAACAATCATTACCTACTCTTGCAGGAAAAACTCTAATTGATCGAAATTTAAAGATGAAAAAGAAGATCATTTACTACCATCAAAGACGTTGCAGATATTCAGAGGTTACAACTGTTTTTCGCTTCAGTTTAAAACTAAAACAAAAAGAAAGAGAACTGTGATTTTGTTGGTTTCTTGATTAAAATTTTGATCAGTATCTCATCACGTGACCAATGGCACACCATAGAAACTTTTCTGAATGATAAAACAGTTTATTTTTCAGCTCTTGATAAATATTCCACCAGTTTGTTCTTTAGATTTATAATATCACAGCGTAGCTTTCTTCTCTCTCTGATTTGGCACCATTAATTTCAATAGAGGAAAAATATTTCTTTTATTGAACCTATGTTCAAAGGTATGTCCATACACTAGGTGATTGTGGTGAAACATTATTTTTAGTTAGGTATAACTAATAAATGTAAATATTCAACCTATGATAATTTCCAATGGAATAGAGTTAGGACAACAGATAATTATACATTCACAAAAACCTTGAAAATAAGCAAAACCAACTCTATTCATACTTCTAAAAGCTTGCATCTGATTTTAACGCCAGAAAGTACATACCAAGCATCTTAAAGCAGCGTAAAAGCTCCCTTTCAGCCAAAAACCATATGCCAAATTGACTGTAGGAAAAAGTAAAAAAGAAACATTAGGAGCATTCTACATTTCCACTGCAAGTCATTGGCCCCAAGAACAAAACCAACTATACATTTCAGTGAGCGCGGGTTCAACTAAGTACCATTTGAAAGAAGTAAATGTGCAACCGGTTCGTTTGACACAAGCGAGAATATGCAGGTAATAAGTACCTAAAACAAAGGCAAGTACATTGGGAAGGGGGCGGGTACAGTAGAACAGCATGTGGAACTGGAGTGCAGTCAATATTACAAAAAAGGCTTCCACCTGGTAACCGAATTTCCTTCTAATCTGCGCAACATAAATATCTCATATACTATTTAATTTGAAAGCTCAATAATTAGATAAACCCAGATATAAAAGTTTGTAAAATAAAATACACTTCAAGAAGATACCTGCACACGAAAAAATCGAAGTGTACACAATACCAGGCAACCGAGAAACAAGCGAACTGGACAGAATACAACGAAAAGTAAAAGAAAAATAAAAAATTAGGGAAATGATGCTAAACAAAGTTACATCAGGACTTGCACATAAAAAGCTCACCTGCATAAAGGCTACACACTTTTGGTATCTGTATCAAATTCATAGTAAATACAACTGGAGAGGCCAAAACTGAGACGACAAGAGCACCTGGAACAAAAATATTATGAAGTTGGAAGCGTCTTGAATGCTATTACATAAAAACCAAGAAAAAGAACAAAATGTATCTTCAGATTATATTCTTCCCAATAATCATGCCACTCCTCAATACACTTTTCATGAATAGATAGAGCTTTTGATTCAATGCCTAATACCATCTATAGCAGTAGACCCTCACTCTAAGATGAACATTGACAAAGGAACAAACGAAAAGGCTTCAACAACAAAACACGGTGAACTACTCAAAACTAAGCCAGTTCAAGCGTGTTAAGCAATAGCCTAAACTCGATAACAGCTAGAAGATGACTTTCAGGCCTAAATTGTGCTTCGGACGAGCAAGGAAATGGAGAATCAGCTTACCAATAAAAGTTCGAGGAACTACTCCTGGAAACTCCAAATGATCATACTGAAGTTGGCAAACCAAAAAATGGGCACAAAGTGTCAACAAATTGGCGTCTTATAACACAACTGAAAGAAAATGTGAAACTAAGGAAATAAAGAAACGTTTTGAAATGAACCTTTTCTATGTGATGCCTGTGATATAAGATATCATGCATTGCCTGAAATGCATCAAAGGAACAAAATAAACCGAATCATTTATTTCATTGTAACGGAAAAAAAAAATTACAACAGCAACTTCCGAACCACTTCCTTGCCGGAAAAATAAACGGAAAATTAGAAAAAGGAAGAGAACAGAGTACCTGAAGATTGAAACTTTCCTCAACCTTAGTATAGGGCGCCATGAAAACATAGAAAGCCGCAATAGTTCCCAAAAATAAGTCATATCCTGATCACAATGGACAGAAATCCAATGTTTTTCTTATTTCCACAAACGAATTGAAGAAAACCCAGATTGTGTAATCTGAAGAGGAGAGAAGAGTTACCGTAGAGCTGCAGAAATTTCGAAAAATTGAAAGCCATTGTTGACTTCGGATTCGAGGATTTTTCCCTCTCTAAGTCTGTTAGAGTTTGTCTGAGACAGTGTGTTAAGTGATTCCGACGTTGTACGCTGGTGGCCGGAATCTTCGACGGGGAGTGGAAACTGGAAAGCCCATTTCTCCTTCACTATGCCAAAGCCCAAGGGAGTGAAGCCCGTCAGTCTTACCCAGTGGATCAATCTTTCCTGTAGATTAGCTTTTTTGGGCCGGGACAAAAAAATAAACGAGTTTAACCCGAGTAAATTATTTCGGAATACAAGTTAATTACCATAGACCAAGTGTTAATTAAATTTGATTGTGAAGTAGCAAAAAATTGGCTTACAAAAATTTGGTCATTTTCGATCAATGGACTATACATTAGCAAAATTTGGTTTCTCTAGCGGGTAAGAAATATTTTGTAGATGCCTTCCCTATATTATTAGTCATAGATTACATTTGATGATGAGTGAGTGATTACATTAAAAAAAAAAAAAAAAACGAAAGAAAGAAAGAAACAAGAAGAAAAAGAAGGGGAAAAAAAAGAAAAAAAAAAGTGTAAAGAATTTTTTTTGAAAAAAAAGTTTCATGATTGGCCGAGCGATTTGTACACTACTAGCCCGTCACCATGTAAAAATCGTAGGCCATACATCGAAAGTTGATGTTGGGTTACTCAAACTCAACAGAGCTTATACTTGATACTTCCTCCATTTCATGAAATAAGAGGCAAATTTGATTTAGGACTATTGTACCCCAAATTTTGTTGAGCTTGTCTCACTTCATAAGTTCTTACATAGTTAGCCAATCACAAAGTTGTGAAATGGAAATTTGTACACTACCACTATGATTGCTAAGTTTCAACCAATTGATTTGTAGAGAATGTAAGTTGTATACCGTGTGTACAGCTTCCAACTTAAATTTATAGTACCATGTACTCCCTTAAAAATATTTTTTCACATTCGTTGTGTTTTCCTAATCATTATGAAATATTTTTAAGATTTTTATTCCAATTAAAAAGACATTTTAGATGAAACCTAGAACGAAATCAAAATGCCTCAAAATGACTTATAATAAGGACCGGATGAAGTATATAACTCCTGGTCCGACTTGCTCATTATCTTGTCGACAAATCTTGAACAAATCTTCAGTCAATGTAAATATCATATGCATCATATACAAGGCAGTACTTTAGTAAATGTCAGAAAACTTGTAACTAAGAAATTGAAGTTCAAACATGGACCGCAAAAAATCATATGAACCATATACTTACATAACCTCACTAGTCACTAACGTTGTGTTCTCAAAAAGAAGACCTATTCCAATGGATACATCTGAGATGATGTAGTTATATAAACATTGAAATTAGCCGCTTCGGCACGTATATAACACAAAAGGTATAGAGTCAGGAATTTCACAATTAATTATGTGGCGCCAGCAATTATTAACAATAGAGCAGTTTGGAAAATGGTTGTGAAAGTAAACCCTAAAATAAATTTAACGTATTATTAAAAAAGGCTGTTAAGAATTCAAACTTGCAAAGTTTGATATGTATAAGGTAGCAATTCGGACATCAATTCAATTTTTTTTATTTATATATATATATATATATATTTGGGAAAAATGTGATGATTAATTTGGCATCAAAGAAGTGGACACGTTTTCCAGAATTTTTAAAGTGTGATCACTTTGTGTCAGTACGAACCAATCCCACTTATTCTTCCCCCAAATGCAAGAATTAGGAAATGAAGCGCGCGCGCACACACACATGTTAGTTGGGGATAGTTGGTTGCCCTCCAAACGTGAAAAGAAGTGGCCAATTTGGCCAAATCAATCTATATACCAGAAAATACGAATTTGAAGGGGGAATTAAAGGGCAAACAAATGACCCAGATTAAGAGGAAACAAGGAAAGATCGATCCATCAAGGTGGAAAAATAGAAAAAATTCAAGTACGTAAATTCGCCATATAACTCTCACAAGAAGGCAATATTATCGAGAGAGAGAGAGAGAGAGACGAATTTAATTAGGGTAAAGGTGCAGTTTAATTCACTTATCAAACTAAAGCAAGAAAATCACACTTGTAAAAAAAATATTACAAACACGCTTTTTGATGGTCACAGTATTCCGCAAATGATTAAACCCGATGCACAATGCACGCATTCGATAATGATTAATATTAAGAAAACTGCATGCAGATTGGCAGATGTACTTTGCAAGAGATTATAATGGTGAAAAATAGATAGGTTTCTTACTTTATTTAGTTCATGTGTTTAGGAGATGATTATTTAATAATGACATCTAATGAGTCAAAAATAACATGATGATTATTAGTGATGGTACGTATATGTACCATCCCTTGCCCTAGTTTCCCTGAATCTTCAACTTCAAGAAATCATCATCTTTTATTACTTCCTCTTGAAACATTTAGTCAAAAATGAATTATATGGCACAAAAAAGTTCTACATATTTGATCCTTGAAACTAAAGTTCGTAACTCACAACACATTTCCGCTAAGATTTTCGGTCTCACTTTTTACATATCAAACTTGTCATGTCAATAAGATAATAATAACTAGACTTTTATGAATCTGCTAACCCAGCAATGGTGGTAAGATTTATATTAAACTAAAATAAATATATTTGAATTCCAGATTTTATATGATAATAACTTGTCATTCCGTCAGACCTTCCTAACCATTTAAAGTTTGAATTGTGGATGGTCTATTATAAAACTGAAAACTAATTAATTAATTAATTTCCATAATCGTGGTCTTGACCTAGCTAGCTATATTTACTGGAGCCTTAAAAAATACTAACAACAAAACCCACGAACAATACTAGGAACTAAGCAAAACTCACTAGTTTTTTTTTTTTTTTTAACAGTAATAAATTAATAGAAGGAAAAGTAAAGAGAAATTAGAAGGAAGTAAAGCATTCATGTTCGGAGGAGTTGGAATCGTCGCAGGGAGAGTGGTTGTGTCGACCTTCATAGGTGGTGATCACCATTCTACAATCCTCCGATAATCTTTCCACTCTTTTCTTCACCCTACAATTATTATGTGTGCACCTGTAGTAACTTCTGCAAAATAAAAGTTTTGAAAATCAGATCAACTTTCACAATGTATTCTCAAATTATTTAGATATTTCTTCCGTCCTAAAATAATAGAATAATTTAAAACGATACATTAAACAGCCCAAAAGGTTGAGATGTCATGTTTTAGATTTACATCTATCATATTAGTGAAATTCATTTATATACAAAGGCCAATATCAAACTCACAACGTAGATACATGAACATTACGTCCAACCATTTTCATTCTACACTTGCTTCGAAATGAAGTTCGGGTGCTCAAAGAAGTAGTCAAACTGGTACTCTAAATGATTCTCTTATAACAAAGATAAACGATTATTTCACATAAACAAATTATTTTGGAACAGGTGGAGTACACACACTTAAAAATAAAAAATAAAAAAAATTTTCTGCCCATCAAGAGATTTCTTTACCTGATGATTCTTACATTTTTGGTGAGACAAATAATGGATGAATTACCTTAGCCTGTCCATTCTGGTTTTCAGTTAGGCAACAAATGGCCAGTAATTCATCATACTGATTTCCCTAAAGTCAATGTAACAAATGGCTGGTTGCCTTGCATGGTTCTGAAACAAGAATTGTGACCTTGCAGGATTTCAACTAGGAAATGATTACAATCTAACCATAAGTTCCCTTGCAAACAAGGAAAACCCCGTCCCAAGAATCAAAGGTGACTATTGGGACAAATTAATCCCTTATCCCAGGGATCATGCATGAAGATGTGAATGACAGGGAAAAGACAGCCAAAGGCATGCATGGACTTCTCTAATAAGGTATACTTATTGCAAAAAAATGTTTTAAAAAATGACACACATCATAATATGGGATAACAAGCTATATTACTTTTTACAGTTTAACTAAAATCTCGACAACCAACGAAAGAACCGGAGATGTCACTACAAAATGAGTGTTACAGAAAGAGTATCTCAGTGGTACTATCGCAAGAGAACTGGGAACCTTTTAAAATAAAGTTTATATTTTCAGCAATTGAAATATTTTTAGAACCCTAACCTTAGATCATAAAAAACTATGCTCTCATGTACCTTATGTATAAGATCGGAGAGAAAGCGATGAGTGGAGAGATTTGGTCATCATGATAAACAATGTTAGTTAAGGCCAATATATATGGAACCACCATTTTGGCTTCAAAACACAATTCCTCTAGATATAACACTTAATTAGTGAACCAAAGCACAGTCCAACTGAGACTGAAACACAATGGTGTCACAAATGTGAGGTTATTAACTAGTGAGACTTTGCTATATTTCACCTATTAACCAACATAGAAAATTAACTAGAATCCAGTTAAAAAATTGAAAATATATGTAGAATGTGTGTATCGCAATATAAAGGGGAGTGAACAAAAGAGGAGTGCAAATTAACATGGAGAGCACAGTGTCCTATCAACATTCTTCCCCACTTCTGCTAGAGAGCAACAACGACAATGTATACAAAACTTGGATTTCTCCTCTCCACAAAGATTGGGCTAAACCATATATCAAACTGACCAAAAAAACACTGACATCAAAGCAATAATCTTCTCTAGGAAAAAAAAATTATAGTGGGGAACTATATATTCCACTACTCAAGAGTAAATCCATGACAACAATCCAACAAATGACTAGGAACGCAACGAAATATTAATCTACAAGAGATCATCAAACTATCTTAAGTACTGACCTTGGATGAAGGCTGTTCTTGACGACTTTTTGACCATATTTCCTCCATTTATAACCATCATCAAGTACATCGACATCACTCCTTGTCTGAAAACAGAATCTGGGCTCTCTTAGCTTTCTTCTAATCTTCACCTTACCTTTGTCTGAACTCCCGGAATTCCGCCACCTGCCAAATTATAACAACAAAAATGAAAATTAATAAATTACCAAACACAGTAGTTATAATGGATATAAGACCAGCTAGCTGTATTACAGATTGCAATGGAGAGGCTGGTAATGAAACAAACAACAAGAAGCCAAAAATGGAACAGTACTAATCATGATGGCTCCTCTCTTAGTGATGAGAAGTTATGATTCTTTTTTGTACTTGTGTGTGTTTCATTGGAAATGTGAAGCAGCAGCAGCAAGGTCACATGGGTTTAAATTGGATGTTACAGAAAAAGGATAGAGTGGGATATGGAAATGGAAATGGGTTGTGCAGTGTGCAAAACAATCATTGTATGTTTATTGGAAGTTGTAACTCAGATTCTGGGGAGTGAATCTCTACTACATAAGGCAATATCTTCATAGATTCTGATGAACCAAAAAAAAAAAAAAGGCATTATAAATAGTAAAGAACCTTCTCTAGGGTATATCATGTGAGACATAGGCTAGGCCTCCTAATTATAAGTTTTTAATTAGATTCCCCCAAAGAACCAAAAGAAAAAACCCATATTTCTTTGGATCCATAAACAAATCATTCTCATGTAGTAATCCGACCGTATGAATAAACCTACCAACTTCAATGAGAAAGGGTCTATCTATCAAGTTTAATACCATGAATTGGTGGCCTCGATTGCATTATTATTACCACTGCAACTTTGGTCATGAACAACTGTCTTGGGATCCAGATCACCAACCTAATACAGCCAGCCACCAAAATTAAGATGGCCAAAAATAACACACATCAAGAACTAATTAATCTCACCAAATAAAAAAGAATACTAGTATAAATATCAAAGTATATTTAGGACCAATAATTAAATCTAGATCTTACTTAGAGACATAAAAGAGTAGTAGTATATATATGTAAAAAGTACCAACCTGCAAGTCAGTGGTATTATTATTCCATGAAGAAGGTGTATTAATATTGTTGGTAATAAGTTCATTGTGGCTAAACCCTAAAGAACCCATGTGATGATCTTTGTTGTTGGTGGTGGTGGTGGCGGTGGTGGCACTAGTGGTGGCGGCGGTGGCGGTGGTCGGAGGAGGAGGGACAAGGTGGTGGCCGTCAAGAGGAGGAGGAGGAGGATGAGAAATATTCTGGCAAGCTTGAGAAGAAGAAGGAGATAAGAAGCTCAAAACCTGATGATGATTGTGGTGCTGATCTTCAAACTGAATAAAACCCATTTCTGCAGTATTATTATTATTATTAGCATGATGATGAGGATGAGGAGCCGCCACCGGTGAGAATGAAGAGAAATGAAGGTGATGATGATGATGATAAGCTGGCAACCCTGAAGAAGATGATCTTTCTCCTTCCATTAGTTCACAATAAATATCATTCAAACGTTGATTAATATCCAACAACTGCAAAAAACAAAAACAAAAAAAGAAGGAGAAAAAACAAGGAAGTCGTTGATGATGATGGAAGGAGCACTCAGAAACTATTTCTGAAAAAATTTTGTTTTTTGAGGAAATTGATGATTTTTATTTTTATTTTTGTTAGTGGAAGTATTGTTGCATGTTTGTCCTATAAACATATACAAACGTGTGGAGGGATGAAGAGAAAGAGAAAGGGAGAGAGAGAGAAAGAGAGAGCTTTGTTGTTGTTGTTGGTGGTGGTGGTGTTGTTCTAATGTTCTTGAAGAAAGAGGGTTTATTGCTTATTGCTGTGGTCAGGGATGTATGATATAGGCATAGGGGTGGGATTTTTTTTTCTGTCGAGTCTTTGGTGCAGTACAAATTTCGGTCAACAAAGTAAACGCTGGAAGAATGAGAATAGAGCCAGAGAGAATGAAATTATTCTTTCTGATCTTTCTTCATAATAAGGTTGTCTCGAGAATAACGAGGACATTATATACAAGTCACGGTTCATTCATTCATTAATATTCTCCCCCAAAAAAAAAAAAAAACCCTTGGAATTCTGGACATGCCAAACACTGTTAACTTTTTTTTCCTGTTATAATAGTGAAAACAGAGCCTACGAAATTACAATTTTGTGAGCTAACTATGGTTACTTAAGTATAAAGTGGAACATATAATAACAGTTAAAATGTTATTCTTTAAAAAATATAATTTACTTTATCATACAGTTTCAATTTAGTATAATGAGTAATTTTTCTAGAATGAAAGAAATACATGACATTGTGATATCAACAGCACGACCCACAATAACTCATTTGTATATATGTTTCACGTTATTGTGAATGTCGTTAGGCCATTTCAGAAGATGATAATGAAGATAAATAACTCGTAACCAACAACATATGCTGGCCCAGATCAAGTGATATAGAATTCGGATTTCTTGAAACAACAAGCGGTCTAGGAGTTTAAACATTGTGTTGAAAAGAAAAAAATGAATTGAAAAATCCAACCCCAATTAAACCCCAGGGTGTTGTGTGTGTGTGTGTGTGGTGGGGGTGTGGAGGGGTTGGAATACATTGTCATAACAAGCCATTGTAGCCGGGTTCGTCGCACGCTACCTTTTATCCATTGCGGAGAGTTGTTAACGTCCTTAGCTAATTTGAAATGATTAATTAATGAAATATTAAATATATGATGGTATGAACCGAGTTTTGAATAGTACAATTTTTGTTTCTAGCCCTTGTTTTTATTCAAGTCTTCGAATTTTCAAACAACCAGCATCCAGCAAGAAGTGGTGTGATCTAGCTTCTTCTTTCTTTCTTTTCTTTCTCCCCTTCTTTTTGCAGAAGCATTTGCTTAATTACTATCCACTGGAATACTGGACGAAGAAGATAAAAAAAAAAACATGTCACCAGGGATAACTGATTAATTAGGGACTATAAAATGAAGAATACTTTCGTTTCACTCGATGGCCAAAATTTTTATACTCTATCCGTTTCGGAAAAATAGTCCACATTATAAATTAAAAGTTTATGATGTATATTATTTTTCTACGACAGAAAGAATAAAATTTTGAGTGTAGAGTTTCATATGTCAGAATCAATTTTGTATTTACTATTAGGATTCATTTACTATTTTGTTATAATGTGTTAAAAATAAACAAAATAAGATTTTAGTTTCTAAATTGGCGTTGTACGAGTGTTTGCAATACATAGAGATCTCAGAGCTCTTATTTTTTATGATTTGAGGCAGATAGGTTGTCACATTTTGGTGAATCAGATTTGCACTCTCCGGGTGAACCTCCAACAATATTTCGTACAAAACCTGTCTGGATATGAAGGTAAAATGAAAGTAACGATTGGAGACTTCTAGGTTTTGACTTCAGCTATATATGTCTCAAACAATTTGCACTATTCATTCCAAACCAATTTTTAGTTTCTCCTATTATATAACTGTCGTTGTTGATCCATCCTATTGAACAGTGACGAAACGAGAATTTTCAAATCGAAATAACGAAACGAGAATTTTCAAATCGTTGAATCGAAAATAGGTTTATTCAACCATCACCGAAGGATCGAACTGAAAAAATTTCAATTAATAGACACCCTACTAAGAAAAAAATTAACCAAGTCCAACTATCCGGAGGTCGATCGACCACCCTGACCCCCTTGAATCCGTCACTGCTATTGAAGTTGCCATGGTTTCGACCGCAATTGAAACAAGATATTATAACGGTTTCTCATTTACAGAATGTTATAGTTTAACAATTTTTTTTTTGTCTTATTTTATAATGTCCATCTGATACAGTTTAATTAGTTCGTACGTTGACCGAAGTTCATCCTTTCTAGACATTAATTGCTACTAATAGTTCGTATACTATAATACAATTTCACTTCATCAATTTCCCTAAACGACGTATGCATACACGTATGGATAACACGATTTAATGATGAGCTTTACATAGTCAAGATCTATAAATAAATAATTAAATACTCCATCTGAAAATGAAAATCTAAACTGAAAAATTATGTGAATTGAACTAAAAATAAAAATCCGAACTGAATAATAATTTCAAGACAAAGGGAGTACTATGTTCAAATGGAATTGTAGGTCGTCCTTCCGTACAACCATTTTGTATTTAGGACAGTAATTAATAATCGTTTTGTTTCTGTGTTCACATGGTTTCGATTTGAAAATGATTATTCTATTTATTGTAACAGTTATATTCGGAAGTGTATATGGCTATGTTGAACCATGTCTGGTTGAAGGTTAAAACTTAATAAGAAGTTGAAGTGGTAAGGTGGTGGCTGTGTGTTAAAGCAAGGTGAAAACGTATCAACCCTAAAATTCCAAGAGACAATAAGTACTTTGGGGTCCATCAAAGCTTCCATCCATGTCCAAATGTCAAATGAAAATTGAAAATTGAAAATTTGATGGGAGGAAAAAAAAGAAAAAGAAAAAAATGTCATAAGCTTCTAAAATCAGAATCAAGCCCAAATCTAATTCCAATAGATGGAAATGTCTATTCAGGCCACCCTCCTTCCCAACAAAAAAGAAAGTAGAAAAGAAAGCCCTAATCATCACTCCCACATTTCATTTGCCATCTTTCTCGGCCTTCCACTCAATAATATTAGTAATACACAAACAAAAACTACACATATCTCATCCACAGTCATTGCCTACTGAAAGACCCCCTCCATGAAAAGACTCTCTCTCTCAAAATCCATCCATCTTCTGCAAAAATATTAAACCATTCATTTGGAGTTTTCAAAAGTTGATTGTCATCTATATTAAAACTTAGAAATATGTATCAACAAGCGATCTATTTCTAAACATTAGAGAATGAGCTATATATATATACACACACAAATGTGGTGTCTCTCCTAATTAGGTTCTATGTGGTTGGTTTTTTGGTGTTTTTTCAAAAAAATTTTATTATTAACTGTTTCATCCCAATATACCTTTTCACATCTTCAATATATTTTTTTACAATTTCAATAGAAAATACACCTAAAAACACACATTAAAATACGATCCAAACATACCTTTAGTTATGTTAATTAGATTCAAATGAAACCGAGTGTTATAACTCAAGTAAGTAGTTTGTATGTTCGTATCATCACAACAATAATGAATATATCATCAAACAACAACAAAACAAGCTAGAATTTGATCGGAAATTGGAAGTTCAATAACAAGTGTTTTTAAGTCCCTTTTTGCTTTCTTTGACACCCCAAATATACCTAACTCAAATATGGATTAAGCATGACTATAGTTTTGAATATCCGGTAAATTAAAATAGTCAGAGTACTACAAGCTCGTTCATGTTTCATATGTTTCCTACAACTCCAAAGCTGTGTTTTACTATACTTCCCCCACTTTCCTCGGGGAAGTCAGCAATGATCATCTTCTGTCTCCTTCTTCTGTCTCGTTATTGAAGATTTATCCATCATCATATTTCTGGATGCAATCACGCATCATCGGTTTTAGTTTAGCTAGCTATATTATTTTGAAATAAGTGCAACCATTAAAAAAGAAAGAAAGAAATTAAAGAAAATGATCACTGCACGAATTAAAAGCATAACGAAACTTTGGCCAATTTTAAATAAAATTACGAAACCTGATTATTGTATTGCGACATCTTATATATAATAATGTATACTTATACATTTTTTTTTTAAAAAAAAAAGCTAAAAATAAAAATATGAGAATTCATGGAAAGAAAAGGCATGCAAGAACAGTCAAAGAAATCTGCTTTCGGTTTTAGGAAGATTTGATGCAAAAAAGTGGAAGGAATAATATATGGGAAGCGCAGAAAGTAGGGCTACTTTGTGTGTGTATACACAATACATAGTAGTAGTAGCTGATCATTCAAAGAGTATAAATCAGAAAATCTATCTATTTATCTGAGATACTGACAGACACTTCGTAATCCTTCTTGATGAAAGGCCCTCGTGTACCTACTGCTCCTTTCTGTTCAATCACTAAAGGTTACTTCCTTTTTCTCATTTTTCCCGGTATAATATATTCACCATTTATTTTATAATATATATGTGTGTGTATGTATGAAATGATGGAGTTATTTGGATATGTATATTTGGTAGGGATTGCATAAACCCTAGCTAGTTTTAGTATACTCGTGTGTATTTAAGTTTAAGTTTGTTGTCTCTTTTTAGTACTTGGAAAATTGTAGTATCATAACTTATGACATTATACCACTACAGATGTATATTTAAAAAATGATAAAATGTCTTCCGACAAACAAAAGAAAATTTATAATAATGACTAAAGCACATTTTTTTGCTCATAATTCTTTTCTTGCATTACCAAAACAAAAAGTCTTTGTTATTTGAGAGAAGTTGTGTACAAGGAGCAACTAATCATCATCCCTCACTAAATCCTTTCATTTTCTAGCTCGTTTCTCCGGAGCTAGCTAGAGCATGTTTGGATAGTTGAAGTGAGATTCGCCTCTTTGCATGCGCAACAATAACATAACTCCATAACGTCTTCCTGTTCCACCAGTAGAGGCACGTAAATGGTTTAAACATGATATGGTCAAGGTTTTGTACTCAAGATAAGTTTTAATATCTTGTAACTAGGTTTTGATCTCTCTTATTTGTAAAAAAAAAAAAAAATACTACTTGTTTGGTTCCAATATATAAATAATATTTATAGAATCAAAATATTACGCATATATCTTATGTTGAGATGGAAAGGGTGACGAGGATGGAGTATCCAAGGAACAACTTTAATCTCATATACAAGAATCGGATTCGGATTTAGCCAAAATTTTGATGAGTGCTAATTAAGGTTCAGCATGGATACATAGTCATTTACGAACACTTTTTTTTTTTTTTTGCGAGTATTAATATTGATTTGACAAATTTGGCCGGAAAGAAAAGTATTTATTTACCACCTAAAATGTAAAAATCGTTTCAAAAACGAAACTGTGATCTACTGTGCAAGATTTGTGACGAAGACTAGTTCTATTCTACAATAGCCATCGAGAACAAAAGAAAAAATGTGTTGAAAAAACAAAAAAAAATTGAAGGACAAAGACTACTGTAGATGGGAAAATTAAATTAAAAGAATGTAACTATCAAACTAGCACTGCTGGGTAGTATATGAAAAGATAATTTACCTACGGATCCGACAACCTAATGATTTCGCATACAATTTTCAAAGTAGCAATAGATAACCCCCTTCACTATAGAGAATATAATAGACAGGTTACAAGTTGAAGCAATGAAATACCGGGGGCCAATGGTTATTTATTGTTTTATTTTTTTCCCCTTTTATTACTTATTATTTTTAGGATGTAATTCACTAGCTAATTAAGGATCTCCTACATCACTATTATATAAAACTTCCTAAATCACTGTATAAAATTTATCACATTTACCATCTAATTATTACTTTCTTTTTTAAAAATTTTATTCACACATTAGTTTACTATTAGATGAACTCGCCGGAACCATGTGTCAAAATCTTAACAAACGATGAAGAAGGAAGTGGTGTGGTGTAGGAGATCTTCTGTCATATTTACTTATTTATTAAAGGAAAGACACAGCTTATAGACCAAACGGGAGGAAGATTTGGTTCTCGCAAAAATCAAATAAATTCGTTAAGATGATTTAATTTATACTTAACCTCGGTTAAACTGATTGGGAGAATCATATAATAATTGAGTAATATGGTAACCATACATAATGTACACGCATAAGATTGCTGAATTCCATGCAACCATAATGGCATTGTTTCAATCAACTTGAAAAAGTCTTCCAAATTTCATGATTATGAAAGAGTGTGTGTGGGCATTGGATATTTTGGTAGGGTAACTCTCACCTTTGTCTCACTTCTGTTTGTCCCTTGTGTTTTTTTCACTTATTTCTTTTATAGGAGTAGTTCTTTTTCTTGATTTGGTTTTGAGTTGCTAAAATTCCTGGAAAGAAATTATATGTAAACCCAGAATGTTGTGCGTGCAGGTGAAACTTGCCATTCTTTCAACAACTCCCCACATAAATTGATTATTCTTTTCAAGTTTTAGTTAATCATATTAACTCTACTTTTATGAGTTGAAGCCATTATTCTCAACACACGTGCACATCTCCTCATTATCAAGCAGCTGCAAACTCCTACGCAATTTTTATTTATTTATTTTTTTTTTTTTTTGAAAAAGGGGAACCTAGTTAACGTAAGAAGGGAAGCTATATATAAGTAGCCTGGTAATAATATGTGCTTGCTTACAACATCTATTTGTTCCTGTACGATAAATAATAAAAAGAAAAAACGTGAACATACTTACGCTTATTTATGGTCTGTATTCGTGTTCCGATTCCAAAAGCACGTTTTAATTTATTATTTCACCCTCGATTAAATTTGTAATTTTGTATATTCCATTACGGAAATATCTCAGGCCTTCCCCAAAAGAAAAAGTGTAAAAAGATATATAGACGAAAATGATACTACCAGTATGAAAAATTTTAGCGGAAGATACCAGCCCAATAGCAGAGTTTCTTGGAGAACGTACCAGCCCAACTCATTGTTGGGCGGTTGTCATATTCAGTCTATAATTATCTGAGGTCCAATAGGCACCCAGAAGCCATGGAAATGGTGGGTAGCACCGAATACTTGGGCTCCTATTATTCGATCATGTGTAATTTACTCCTGCCTGCTCAAAGCCTTAAACACCTGCTGTATTAGTGCGGTTTGGAGTAATTATGTTGGCACTTCAGCAAGAATCATCCTGTTCTCATTTTCTTCTTCTTGTTCTTCTTTTTTTTTTTTTAATTTTTCACAAACAAGAAAATAGTCATCGATTAACTAGCTTGCTGTGGGGGTCACCAATTAAATTCATTTTCCTTTCTGCTAACTATTACCAACCAAATAATGCTAATAGTAGTGGACCTAAGACATAATGATTGGTACTACTATTATATCAAACACTCTAACACTTACAACTATCAATATAATGATTAAAACCTAAATGTAACATGATCCTAGGCTTCAAACAGTTTGTGATCATGGTCGGGGGAGCAAAATCAGATTTTCTTAATAAACCAAACAATCACACTTTCAATTGATTTAGATTGTTAAGACATGATTAGATAATGTCACATCTTCTCCAATATCCTTTTAGGTTCGCCTTTGTACAAATTAGTACCGCCATTTTATTTAGAACTACTTTATTAAATTTTTTTCCTTAATTATTATATTACTTGCAACATACTATAACCTATCTAAATTATATTTATAAATCTCCTAATGTTGTGTGTTTATTAACATCGTTTAGTGTACATTTTTTTGTATCATACTTGTAAGAAGTAATCCAAAAAAACATTTCCCAATACTATGTGTGAACAAACATATTAATATCTCAAGACGGATTGCCCAACGTTTATAACTTTCTAAGGGTTTTTGGGTGTGGAAAATAGTTTTAAGGGCCTGATTGAGCTAGTTTCCATACTTACTTGGTCCGACCAGAATTAACCCAAAGTAGCAATAGCTAGAGTCATGCGACACGGAATATTCGGCAGACGTAGGGTTTTGGTCCAACCTCAAGAACCCCCCATATATATACGTCTCAAACTCTAATATTAGCATTCTGCTCGCTGCTTCCTCCTCTTCTTCTATTCACTCAATAAAGCAGGTACCGAGTAAATTACTCAAATTAACAATGGAGCAGACCTTCATCATGATCAAGCCTGATGGTGTCCAAAGGGGACTGGTGACTTTTCTTTACAACTGTGCTTTTTTTTATTCAATCTCTTGTCGGTGCATAATAGTATTTAAGTTCAATTTGGTTTTTCTCTGCAAATTTTGCAACAAAATCAGGACAATTTCACGTTATTGGCTTTTGCTGTTAGTGGATTTGTGCTATTCTGATGTATATCGTGGTGTTTATGGCTTCTGTTATTTCACTATTGAAATTGTAAAATTTCTCTGTTCTTTCTGTGTTGATGCATGATAAAAAGATTGTAGCTCCTATCGGATGATGGATTGATTGAAGATAAGCATTTTCGATTTCTGGGATCCGTTTATTGACAAGTATTGATTTGTTTTAAACTTGATTTTTGTCTGCGTGTGTAGTAGTTGCCATGATTTTTTATTTTATTTTTTCCTACTTATTTGCGTTTAATCTTCTAAATCGTGGAAGATGGAAGCCTTTTAAATATGGTAGAGTAGTTATATAGGTAGCTCGTGCAAAACTTCATCGATCCACTGCTTTTTTTTTTCAAGAGTAATATCAATTTATTTATTAGTGGTTTGTTTACCATGCTTTCAGATTGGTGAGATCATTGGCCGATTTGAGAAGAAAGGCTTCACTCTGAAAGGTGAATTCCTTATTTCTTTATTCAATTTTGTTTGTTTTCTATCAGTTAACTTGTATGCAGTAGATCCTTTGTTGGTTACCTTTTTGGTCATTTACTTGATGTTTAAATGAAACACATTGATGTTTCTTCTCTGTTCCTGGATGATAATCTTAGTTACATTATGTAATAAGTAAAGCTGATTAATGTGATTCTGCCTCGTAATTTGTTTTCAACGGCAATTCAAATGAGTTTTAGGTGCTAATGATGCCATTCGGTACTTTGTGAAGTTTGATCAGTCGAGATCAATCTTTATCTCTCTTTAATCGGGTTTTTCCTCTTGGTTAAAGGTTTGAAGTTCATCAATGTTGACCGCCCCTTTGCTGAGAAGCACTATGCTGACCTCTCTGCAAAGCCCTTCTTTTCTTCATTGGTGGATTACATCATTTCTGGACCTGTTGTTGCTATGGTCTGGGAGGGAAAGAATGTAGTGGCTACTGGCAGGAAGATTATTGGAGCTACCAACCCTGCTCAGTCTGAGCCTGGTACCATCCGTGGTGATTTTGCCATTGACATTGGCAGGTTAGTTTGCAATTTTTCATATAACGTCTGCTCTTGTGTCCTCACATTGTGAGCTGTATGTCTGTTTCATGCCTTAGTTTGATCATTTTGAATCGCGGCTTCATATACCTCATTGAATTGGATTGCACCCTGTGAATTCTTGCGTATACTGACAAGTGCTTCAAACTTTGATGATGTCTCAGGAATGTTATTCATGGAAGTGATGCAGTTGAGAGTGCAAGGAAGGAAATTGCTCTGTGGTTCCCAGAGGGCATTACCGAGTGGCAGAAAACTGTTCATCCTTGGATCTACGAGTAAATGATTTGAGGATAGGTGGCTAATGTGCTATTGGGCAGTTTTGACTGTGTTCGGTTTCTTTAGCTTATTATGTATGGTTAATTTCCTTGGCAGTGGAGTATTAAACTTAGCAACGATAATTTGTACCCTTTTTATTGGGGATATTTGTGGTGTTATGAGTGCATTTTTAAGAAGTGCCTGTGCCTTGGTTTCTTCCTGGTTCTCAAGTTAAATTTTTCTTAATTTTCATAGGAAACGAGTCAGGGACTAATGTCTTGTGCCCGTTTTTACTGCTCTTGATTGATGTCTGCTTTAGCTACCGCCTGTTGGGTTTGATAATGATATACTCCCTCCATTCCAAAATAAGTGTTATCCTACACTTTGCATATAGTTTAAGAAACTTTTAAATAGGATAATAAAAGTACTTGAATATCCTTAACCAACCCCATTAAAAAAATGGCAGCTAATAATATTTAACTCTTTTGAGGGTTATTTTTGAAACTTTGAACACAAAGTGCATTGAAATGTAAGAACGATACTTATTTTGAAATTTTTTCATTTTGTTAAAACGACACTTATTTTGGAACTGAGGGAGTAACAAGTAGAAGCCAAATACCATCCCAGGGGTAATTAATTAAAACATTAATCATTTGAGTATCATGGTTTTCAGTTTTTTAGTTAATGAACTCCAACTTTCTAATCCCAAGACTACTCTAGTATTAGTAGTTGGTATATCGAGTACCAGGAATCCTCCTTTCTAAGCTCATGATAATGGTTCCAATAATGTGGCATGAATTCATCCTTCCCTATTTGCGTTATGAGCTATTAAAAGACAAGAAGCAGTGACTGTTTAAGACAAGCAATAGAAGAGCAATGTCCCGCTTAGCTTTTGTTCTGTGGCGATGTGGAAGCTGGATAGTGCCGTTAAAAGTTCTAAAATTCCACAAGGGTCAATCCAACCAAGATGCAGAAGCTGGATAGTGCTGTTTAAGGTTCTGAAATACCACTGGGGTCAATGAACCGAAGGTTGTATTCTTGATTTCAACCTTTAAACATGGAACCCACGTATGCCCATAATCCCGTTGCGTATAAAAGGAGGTTCTACATGAACGAGCCAAAGATCAAGGAGATTGTACATGGTTACCTTCAGATGATCCATTCCTGAAACTCCATTTTTGTCATTGAAATGCTATCGTTCAGACGATTAAGTACATAACACACAGGGCCACAAAGCCGAAGATAGGAAAAGATTTGTAAAAAGGATGGCATAAAGCCATGACTTCACTGCATTTCTGAAAATATCGACTACATTGTCATTACAGGCATGTTTTCCAGGTTTGTGAAACAGAAACAATTTAAATTTTACTGGCAAACTTCAGCGTTCAGAAATACATTTGATATGGCGAAAACACGACCTGTGTCCTTGAGCTAACACTTAATATTCACTTTTTGAACACCTTCGGGGGAATATTCCTATCAAGAACCCTCAAGCATGGTAATTATAGTTACCTACTCCCAACATCCACTGTCGACATTTTTGACCTGGATGTTTCTTGCCATTCCCTGATGGGGAAAAGCAACGAGCGATAACATGAACGATATAACGTGAAGAACGATTATACTTGACAGAGATCTAAACTAAAAGCTAAAAAGGAAAGCCGGTGAAAGACAGAATCACATCAATGCAAGAATCTCGCACAGCAGCAATTTCCATTCCCATCTTTCAGAAAGTCATGCACTACTGTCACTATCGACTAAGAAGACTGTAAGAGGGTAACTCTTCAAGACGTGTTATGTCTTCTTGCAAAAGCTCATTTTCAAGCTGGCGGCGTGTAGCTTTCATCACAGTCTGCATTGGATGTGGAAAGAACTATAAGGGACCAGAAGAAGTTAACGGGGGGGAAAAAAAAAAAATTGACAAAAAGTTCTAGATCCATTAGATGAGTAATAAGTCAGCAGTTGAAACTCGCACTAACCAGACTAGGTTGAACATATAACTAAACTGTCTACCAGATTACTCGATAATTGATCCAACCATCTAGAATGTTCTTCCTATATCGGACCTACTTCTGAATTCCAAAGATAATATGCAGCAGAAACTTCAAATATATCATAAAAGCAGGCTAAAGGAGTTTCATGTTAAAAATTATCAAAGTTGAGGGAGCATACATTGAAGTCCATGTAAGATGCATGCATTGCAAGCCATTGATTGTCCATCAGCTTGAATGTGATGCAGTATAGGAGGTCGAATGCTGATTCGTTCTCTGGAAGGAAAAAGGCCAAATCACAAAAGGTAAGAGAATGCACCAATCTTATGAAATAATGAGACATCAGGGGAAAAAAAAATTAACTAGATTTTAGTATAAAGGGAGACATCAGGTAAAAAACATGTTCCTGATATGGCCAGAAGTACTTCTGGAAAGACGCAGCTGTAATACATTCCATCCTAAATGACAAAATATATGTTTCTGAGTGACAATGACCATAAAATAGCAATTACCTGCTAGGAACTTCAAGAATGTTGCTCCAACCAAGTTCCGAGGTTTCACTGAAATTATCAAAAGGTAGCAGGTCATTTCATTCCCAGATTGTAAGAAGGAAAGATGGTTATGACATAAAGCAGCAAACTCATGAGTTTAGTGCAACATGACATTCAAATCAGCATCTCCAGGCATAATTGCTTTTAACCAGCTAAAACTCAGAAGTTTCATAAGTTGCAAAGCATATTTTCAGAGACGAATCAGGAAATGGCGAGTGGAAGCTCAAAGCATCTACCATAACTCACCTATCATCCTTAAAACAAATTATTATTACTTTAAAACCTCTAAAGGTCAGGAAGACAAAGAAAATCAAGATGTAGCTTGGTTGTTACAGAAGTACATAACAAATAGCGACATACTGTATGTTCAAGCATTTAGGCAAAGGAAAAAAAGATTACAAACCAGCTTCGAGATCAAGCATCTGAATCAGCATAAAGGTGATATTGACTCCTGCAACAGCAAAAGGGTATTCCCACAAAGCTCGATCACCTTCCTGCTTGCGAAGAAGGTCCTGGAAAGATTTCTGAAAAAAAAAAGGGGGGGTCGACTGCTTGAGTAAACAGTAACTAAAACATACCAAGACTCATTACTCATGAAAGAGAAGATTTCTTGCCATACAAGTGAGACTTCTACAGTGACAGACTATTCATAAACAGTTCATCACTCAACAATCTCATATCCCATAGGTAAACACCCTGTACTGATTTATATTGCATCTCCAAGCTACAGGTAGTACATGTTAAATGTCAAGAATACAATTTCCACCCGAAAGAGGATTAAAATGTTATCGCAACAGCTAGCCCCCATTAGATTTCATGTTTACAGGGCATTCATTTTGAAGAACCTGAATGTTCCAGTCACTTGTGGAATATTTGCAACTGATTATTTAGATGGATGTAGGAGAAACTTGAGAGGAGGAAAAAAAAAAAAAAAAAGAAAAAGACAATCATGCCAATCTACTATGAGTACAGAGGACCATTTGATATATCTAATAAAGAAACCTTGTTGAAAGTGGGCAGTGCAAATAAGCAGGTCATATTCTCAGATGAGAAAATTGAGGGGAGGTGGGGGACTAAAAGAAGAAAAATAAGCAGTGCAACTAGTCTTTAAAATCGCAGCTGATGCAAATTATAGAAACAGCAGAGACAGAGAGAGCATACAGGGAAGTTCCTGGCAAAGTACAGCAAATTCTCCAATGATATGAATCCACCACCCCTATCAAATAGCAAATGATTATAGAGTTAAACAAAGTTTGGGGACAAGCGAAAAGTTGATAGAATATATCCATAAATTAGCTACCTGAAGTCTGTAGATGGATCTTTCCCTTGCCAACCCATTTCCTTCCACTGTTCAGATATTAAACCACGAAGCTCTTCCTCAGGGAAGGAAGCGTTCCATAAGGCGCGTAATGCTTCCTACGATACAGATTGGAGTTCCCTCCAGTGAAAAAGTATGAACAGATGAAGGGAACTTAAAAGAAACTATTCATAGCAAGGTTGAGACAGCTCAAAAAGAAAAAATAAATGAAAATCATATACACCCTCAACAACAAACCTGATGTTCAACATTTGAGCTATCATACTGAACGTCAATGCGATATTGTAACCTCTGCAAGCACTCCTCCTAGCAAAACCAACATGATTTTTTTATTTTTTATTTTTTTAAAGAAAGAGTAATTAAAAAGACAACTCCAAGAATATTGCAAAAACAATAAAAGTGAAGCAATTACATGTGGTAGACAAGCACAGAGACACACCAAGTATTGTTAAGCTAGACATGCACAGAGATGTGGAGACAACATCCAAAAAAAGTGAGCAGATAAGAAAATGTCAGCAGTGCTTTCCTCAAAATATAAACTACAGCAGAAATGTCTGAATACTAAAATCAAAGTTAAAATAAAGAGCGAGAGTTAGAAGAACATTATTTACCAGTTCACAATTAATCCAACTGAAATAAACAACTTATTGTTTATACAATAGGCAGGATGATCACAGCTTTGTTTTGAAATAGAGCCCGCAAGACAATGAAGAGTTACACATTAATCATTTACACGAAAATCCATATCCATGGGAACAAATACTGCTTGACAAAATAGCAGCAGACGATCAAGGACAGTTGTGCAACAAAACAAATCTGCAACAAAGTTCAAATCTCAACCAAGGAAACAGCAGGCTTTTGTCGAAAATGAGAATGATACAACTATTCATGGCAAAAGGTGATATAGCATGAGAATGATACGACTTAGCTACTGAAAAATGATGCGGAACTAGAAGACAGATAATTCTTGATTATACTATCTAACCAGCAAAGATTTTACCTGAGCAGGTGTCAAATCAAATGACGGCCTAGCATCACTCTCCCTTCTCTGAGCACAAACACATGAAAGACCTCTTCCAAGCCATGCTGCGGACCCTGCCACAACCTCCGCTGGAAGAGAACATAACAGTTGGAAACAAAAGACATAAGTGCCTCAAAATTGTAAATTCAATCATGGAATACCAAATGCAACAATGAAAACAAAGAAACTTTGAAATCCAACTAATAACAAAGAAGTAAAAGGAAATATATGTTTTCCTACAGCAAAAACTGCACAAGGATCATCTTTGACGAACCATTGCTTAACAAACACATCTAGGAATTTGTCATCTTCAAGAAGTCATGTTACATATTGCTTTAGAAGTGAAACTGGTGACAGATTTATTCAAATCCAGAATGCATTACGATTTAGGTTTGACAACCGAGGATAAGTGAGGCAAAACACAGGAGTATGTCATAATCATCCAGATCAAAATTACAGTTTAGGGGCCATATATAAAAGATTCTTTACGCTTAGGAGATCTTCAGGATTAACTACCCCTTCCTAGTCGTAGGGAGATGCTAGTTGCCAGCAAATGCCAGGTAATACACCAATCAGCTAGTTCAAACCGATGCATCACCATATGTGCATGTAAATGACCTTTGAAATAAGATAATATACATTCAACCACCTCAATCACAATTCAGAGTATAAGAAGAATTTTAAAAACAACTCAGAAGAACCAATCTAAGAAAGTGATTAACAAAGACATGCGTGCAACTCAGTAAAAGCAAATAACAAATGTTTTGTCATGCCATTCAATCTGCCTCATTAACAGGACATAGACATTGTCGTGTTAATCAACAAAAAGTTGTTCATGTATAACATCCTGAATAGCAACTTAAAAATCAGCACCAACTACGATGATGTTACTAAACAATAATAATAAATCAAGTACATACTCCGATTTTACTAGATATGTGCGCATCAAAATCTCAATTGAGCATTTTAGCTGAGGACACCAGTAGTTATAATAAATCATAATTAGTTAATTGATGGAAGGGAACATCTATTACAATTTACAAGTTTTGAAAGTATGAGGACACCAGAGCGCTACAAACACAATTTTTAGCATTTAAGATAACAACAATAGCCACAAATATCAAAAGAGGTAAAAGTTGCAAGCAGCAAAAACTCACCACAAATGTCAAAGGAAGTCGGCATCAACAAATCTAATTTTCAATTTCACAGATCCAAACTCCTACAATTACTCCTACTCCTGACACAAATCCAAGCAACTAAGAGAACTATTTTGGGTAAATTAGAACAGAGAAATCAAAATAAGACAATATCCGAGGGTGAATAGCAGGGGTTTACAATGAAAGGCAACTGAGGTACAAAATGACCGGAAATTAGGCATATACATTTCTATATTTAAACGTACAGGTATACTCATGGAAAAATTTGGGGGAAAAAGAAAAAAGTAAAAAAGAAAAAGAAGTTCAGTCGTAATTTGTGAGGGGAGAAAAAAAACAGAGAACATACAAGAATGGCAGGTATTACTGTTTCCTCGCTCGAGTCCGTGAGAAATCCTCCGCACAGCTACGAATGATCCTTCTCTATCATCCATCACCATTTTCATCCGCCTAAACAAAAAATGTCACTACAGGCTCATCATTACCGCAAATCTCCAACTCTTCGAACAAATGCAGAACTAATTTCCGACGCCAAAATGAAGCTAAACTAACATTCAATGCCTTGAAACGAAAAGGAATCACCGCCGTTCCGCTCGAAAACGCAAAGATCTACAAAAAAATCCGCCGCTACCGAACCGTATATAATCTCAGACACCGGATACAAGGCAATTAACTCCGGCAGGGTATAAGATCCGCCTCCGTCAAATCACACACTCTCCATTGAAGCAAATGTTCAATTCAAAAAAAAAAAAATCGAAAAAAAAAAAACTGCGCGTATGTGAAAATGTTGTGTTAATTCTCAAAAACTGAAGTTGCCTCAATATATACAAAGGAGGAGATATTACGTGTATGTATAGGCTGGCAAATAATAATATATGTGTCTGTGTGTGTGTGCGTGCGTGTATTGCCGCCGCTGTGGTGATGGTAAAGCTCGACGGAGGAGAAGGAGGATACGGAGAGATTGTTATGATTCTTCTTCTTCTTTCTTTCCTTTTCCCTCTCTAATATCTAAAATAGGACTTGATTTTGGTGTGACAGTCAGGACAGTGTGTGAGTGTGTGAGAGAGAAAGCGAGAGGAAATGGCGTTAATATCGGGTTTGTGTTATAAAAGGGAAGGAAAACGGAGTGTTTTTCGTTTTAGCTAAATTTTGGCAGAAGATAATCACGACAACCGTTAGTGAAGGACTTTTTTCTCATTTTATTAATTAGTGCCTTTTGCTTGGGCCAAAAAATAAAAATAAAAATAAAAAAACAGCCAGCTTTGATGCCAATTTGTTGCTACTTCAGAATTAATATTCTCGATCAACAGTGCATAAATCCTAATAAATATTGGCTTTATGGCATTTTGACTTTCAATTAACTTACATGCATATAAATTATCAACTCCATAGACAATTTTTACAGTTCATTTTTTTTTTATTGTTGTAGTTCTATAAATGAATGAATCATTAAAATTAAGATGGGAATAATAAATTGATTAGAAATGTTGAGCTAAAAGTGAAAAGTAAGTTGTCGGAGGACTGAATTTTTAGCAAAAAGGCTATCCAATATAAAAAAGCCCGACCACTTTTTGAGTTTTGAAAAGTGAAAATTTTATCAAGATTTCTCATTGATAGAAGAAATGTCTTTTTCTTTTCTTTTCTTTTCTTTTTAACCGTAGAAGAGGCAAATTTTTTTAACAGGAAAAAAAAATAACCACCAATTTTCACTAACACTAACATGATTCGCTCGCAAAATTATTTTTTTTTTACTAGTTCATACTGATATGTATAATTTGGGCCGCTAAGTGACTTATAGTAATATTTTATTTATTATCCTCAAAAAAAAATAATAATAATAAACACGCTTCTTTTGTTATGTGTCAAAAATGCATATTAAAAAAGGAAAAGCATTTAGAATCTTCTTCACCTTTAAAAAATGGACTTTATACATCTTTGATTGTTCAATTGAGGAAAAGTTAGTTAAAAGTTGGTTCATCCAACAAAATAATGAAAAATGAGATACTATAAAATATATATACGTATGTAGCTTGTAAGAATGGGAATCATATTTGAAATTTTAGCTTAAACGGTTGGTATTGTTTCTTTTAGGTTTAGGGTGGTGTTGTATATTAGTGGGGCGAAGGGGGGATCTGATCCCGTTGGACTTCAATATAAAAATACTAGTAAAATAATTAAGTCGCTCGAGTTACGTATTTGGAGTTTTTTCTATTATTGAAAATGTTACCTTTTCTTTTTTCATACGTGGGCTTGACACTTTGACACATGCTTTCTGTTTGTTCCTTTTCATTTGTGGCAAAATTACGTCGACTTGGATGCCATTGCGTCCGACGGTGAGTTTGTCCAAATTACGATAGTGAACATGAGTTTACAATTATATATATATATATATATAATAATTTTGATGTCATTCTCGGCGTAAAAGAAATTACATTTACTTTATTAAAATTATTATATTCGGTAAAATGACATATAATTTCAGGTTACACGGCCATTTCATTTCATGAACATTAATCAGCTTGAAGTGACAAAATTGACTATGTTCTAATTTGACTGACTTAAATTTGGGGTGAATTATAAACAGATACTGTTAAATGAATGAAAATAAAAGAAATTACCTCAGGTTCCCTTGTTCTACATGAATAGATGAAAACTCTTGAACTCAACATATATATCCCATGTGCTACTCCCCTCATTGCCAATTGGTTTTGAGGTGGAACCACATGTGGGCCTATATTTGGGCTTTCAAGATAGTATCAGAGCGGGTTTTAATCCGCGGGCCTGTGGGACTTGTGGGGTGAGGTGGACTGACCCATATTGGGTCTTGAAACTTTGGCCAACCCAAGGAAACAATCCGGGATTTGACTTTGAACTTTGATTGGTCCGGCGGGCGACGGTTTATCCGGAAAAATAACCGATCGCAAGACTGAAAAAAAAAAATCAGAATAAAAATATAAAATTGCCCGTCCAAGCCCATTGGGCCTGAGAGGGGCGTGTTAAATGAATGAAAAGAAAGAAATTATCTCATATTCCCTTGTCCCACGTGGATGGATGAAGACTTTTGAACTCAACATATATACCCCATGTGCTACTCCCCTCATTGCCAATTGGTTTTGAGGTGGAACCACATATGGGCCTATATTTGGGCCTTCAAGAAATACTACTTTCTCACCTCAGAAATTTGAATAGTTATAAAGTATGGATATTGATGTCTCATAAATCGTGAGGATTTGTCACAAAATTAAAGTTTTATTATTCGTAATATTTTGAATTTTATAATTTATAACACAGAAGGAATAAAATTTTTCAAAACGGAGAAACAGAAAGAGTTAAATTTTTCAGAACGGAGAAATCATCACATATCTGTTAACTTGTATGGTGATATTCTGCACCGCAATCACAAATTATCTCGACTATGAATAGTGTGAGCGAGCTTTATCATCAAGATACTGGAAATGTATTCATTGTGAGCATGGAATTTCTCTGCCATAGGACAAGTATATATTTTTCTTTCATCTTACGTTGTCGGTCCTCTAAAGTTTATCATTTTTCATATATAAATCTGAACTATATGCTAAATAATCGCCGTGTCCTTGTTAGAGTTCAATTTATTAAGTTCAGAGAAGTGACAAAAAAAATTTTATTAAGAGAATAAGCTTAATTACGGGTGCAAATTTATTTCATGAGAGTTAAGTGGTTAATGCATTTCACCTTTCCAACACGTATTTAATCATCTGACTATGCTGTAGTGTCCACAGATAGAGTTTAAAACGTAACAAATGGATGAAGACGTTTATTAAAGAGTTGGTATCTTAGGACTTAGAGAATACATATAATTTTGAGATGAATGAATGGTGTGGTCCAAACGGGTTATCAACGGTTTTGTATACCACCGTCCCCTGTAATGATATGATGGTGTTTTTTTAATCTACGAAATATGAATAATTACGTTTTAAGTGCGTCTTTTCTATCACATCAGAAAATAAAATAAATGTATACTAACCTAGATATCATCATATTCCAAATCATGTAGCTAGATGCGCAAAAACATAAACAAACAAAAGAAAAGATACACTCCTTCCGTTCTATAATTATTGTCTAATTTGGGTTTTTATTTTTAGTTTGAATTGTACTAAAAGTGAAATTTCAAACTGGACAATAATTTTGGGACAGAGGAAGTATGTGAATGAGAACAATCCAGTAAGCCATAACTCAATTACAGTTAATAAAAAGAAGTCAATCAAAGAAATCTTATTTGCATATACAATTATACATTTGAAGAATTAAGTCCAAGGGAGCAGAGGACTATGCGCTGACTCATGGTCTTCAACAGTGTACACGAACCAATTAACTAATCAATCACCATATCATTGCGACCAATATCACAAAATCCAGTATTAACACTAATCAAATATCATGGTTGCGAAACTTGGTTATATAGCGTGCATGTACGAAGAATTTATAGGAACTCTGTCGTGAATTTTGAATCCTTGAGCTGAGTCTGGTACTTGCGACGTTTCATTATTTCACGTAAAAAATATTTACAACTATCCTAATTTTCTTCGAACTAAGTTAATTACCACTGGGAAAATATATTGAATTGATGAAAATTTGGTCACATGGGGTGTTGGTGAACGTGGACCAAAGCATGATGGGAAGAGTTCATTTAAAGACATCGACCCCATTTCCACAAACATCGACTTTGTACTTTGCTTCTTGTTGATGGTTACTTGAATCATGATGATGATGATGATCATGAACATTTGCCCAGGAACACACACTTTTTATGTTCTATTTATGTATTAATTAGCTAGTCTTCATTATTTTATTTTCATGAGGGCCTACACGCATGGCCAAAATTTAATTGCTGATATTAGATCATGATCATCTTTTCTACAAAGCTAGCTTCCGATTCCTTTTGTTTAATTACGAGGTTGAAGAATGCGATGCGATCAATCAGCATGCCATGGAATTGAGAAAAGGTTTCCAATTGCTATACTGCTTCCTCTAGCGACTTTTTTTTTGAGACAGAGAGAAGATTGTGATATTACGTAACGGGAGCATCAGTGCAAAATAACTTTTGTGCTATGCCAAAACGTAGCTAGTGTTCTTTTGCATGACAACTAATCCATGGCCAATTGGCCGTGCTTAGCCCCATCTCTCTTCCAAAGTGGTTTCTTGATAGGTTCACAAAAGGTCGAGGATAACAGATGATGGTGTATACTTTTTTGCTATTTACTTTAACAAACCGTGAAACGAAAGCATGACTGTCTATGATCGAAACTCTTTCCTTATATATTTTCGTCGAGGCAACGACGAATCGACGATAGCGAATTCCGGTGAGTAAGAATGAATTAGTGGTGATGAAGACTACAGCCAAATACTTAAAAAGAATATTCTATTTTGTTCTAAAGTAAGGTCTGTTCTTAGTACAAAAGTAAATAAAAAATCATAATGCTGTTTTCAATTCTTTTTTGGTGGGAGGAGGACATAAAATAATCTACATCGATCTTTGTCCCTGTTAGCCGAGGACAATGACTTGAACAGGACTCTTCCAGGGATATTGGATTTGATGTTGAACGGGACACAATATTTCATTCATTCTTTAATTATTGATGATTCATTTGTACTTGAACTTCTACATTTGTAGACTTTTGAGGGGGAAAAAAATGTACTCTAAGAGATATCCAACAGATCGAAAAGACGACGTTGTTATAAATGGGAAAAGGAAAATGACATATGAAGAAAAATGTGATTAACAAAAATCCAGTATTTTGTTCATATAATTAAACTAGCTGACTACATACATGTTGCGTAGGTATAGAATATATAAAGATATATATATATATATGGTATTAAGTTAAATTAAGATTGAGTCAAAGATTATATTGAGAAGGATCAGATGTGGCTCTCATGTTTTTGCTTTGGACACTGAGAATATCACCTGCTTGCTGTGGGTGGCCAATCCAACATCTAACGTGGTTAAGTGGAGGATGTCACTTCATTAAATATTTGTTCATGAAATATAAAAATCTCTCCTTTATTTTTTTTTTCTTCTCTAGTTTTCAAGAACTCTTGGAGTACGTATATATATATATATATATATATATATATATATATATATATAGGAGGAAGAATAACACAAAGCACAAGCATTGT